ATCAAACAATGACCAACACAAAGGCGGGGGGGGTTCTCTCCGTCCCATATCTTGCTTCAAATGGTCTATTTGGTTAATTTCAAAGTGCTGATAAAATGTTACCATCTCTGTCATTGTGATTGTCATTCTAGTGCCACCGATCCAGAACCCAACCCCCCATTCTTCACGACCTACACCGTCAAGGCCACCCTGGACTACCTGACCAACTGCCACGCTGGGAGCAGGGCCCTCACACTGGTCTCTCTGCTTGCCAAGACGCAGGTCAGTTGGGCGGACAGACATGAGAATACGCAGGATGTTGTCATAAGGAAAGGCAGTTGGGTTGGGCTACTTGCAAAGATGCTTGTCAGTAAGGTGGACAGACAAGATGATAGACACTGTAAGAGATAGTAATGGATTTTTGTGACAGACATGGTGCCATAGACAGTGACAAACATGAGAGCCAATACTTGATAATCAAAGGATAAAGATTTCAATGTGTACATTTGATCAAATTTCAGGACAGCATCCAGAAGATTCTCCTTGCTCTCCACATCCGTATTTCCAAGTCTCACCGAGCCCATGAGAAGCACCGAATGGTCCTGGCCTATCGCCTCTTCGTTTCCCTTCTCCTGGCCGAGCTGTCCAGCGGCTTGGGTGGCTCCTGGGCCATGGTCCTCCAAGACATCATCTACACTTTGGTCCACACCATCCGGGAGGGGACAGAGACTGGAGAAAGGGAGGGGTTTTGCCTGGCCTGGCCCTGTATCGACCTGTTGCGTGCTGTCTGCGTCACAGGACTGGAAAACTGTCATGAGGTTTGGACTTGGAAGTACCCGCTTCCATAAATCTCTTTGCCAGAAGATCTCAAGGTTTCCTAGAAACTTCTTCAGTACAAACTTGTCCCAGTATGATCTTAATTGCTCCTTTTGAGTGATTTCATATTTAAAACACCAAATATCAGTTACTTCATGAGATGTAAAGTTTTGCCAGTAATTATTATATGTATGGGAAGTCGTTACTGTTACTGAGAAACTTCCCACAACCTGATGAACCTGAACAGAACTAGTTACAAGTTGATGCATATTTTGTAGACTGGTTTCCTGTCTTTGTCCTTCAGGAGCTAGGGAAACATCTACATGTTATCATGGGCACATTGGTGCCTTTGGTGGAGAAACAAGACAGAGTTGCCGATGAGGTAATGCAATCGGGAATTGAGAAATGCTCTTATATATGCTCTTTGAGATATAGACTGTTGATGTTTGCTGTTTTATACCGAATTTGACATCTTTTCGGAGGTAGGTCAAAAGACAAGAAAAGAATCTATTGCTCTGTACACATTCAGGAAGAATTCTTCAGCAAAACTGGTGTTTGTTTTTAATTGTTGAATTTGGCCTCCTCTTAATGTGGTAGTTTTTGTCTTTTTAATTGAAACGTTCGGTGCAGGCGCTGTCGCTGATCAACCTGCTTGTGATAGACAATTCGGCCAGCCTCTCCAGTGCGCTGAAGTATCTGGACCCCCTTCCTGATTCACCTCGACTCGCCCGAGCAAAGGCAGCCCAGAGATCCAGCAAGTACGTCGGAGGAGAGTTCACTTTAATGGAGGTACATTTCCCGAGTACATCGACAGTTAACTTCTGTTCAGTTCTGAGTGTGCTTGAAATGAGTGGATTGTATTTTGCGGAATATTTTCCTGATGTTTCAGGAAGTGAACCATTTCCTGATGGTTGGCAGTCAGCAGGGAGGTACATTAAGGGTGGAAGGGCTGAAACATCTACATCACCAACTGGCGACGAGGAAGGAAGAATTGTCCGTCATGGTCCAACAGTGCGCAGGTAAAAGTGACGACTGGGGTTGATCATGAAGTACGGGTGATTCACACTATTTTGCACCACCAAGAAGTTGCCACGGAATACCCTTGTTTGCAGTGCATTGTGGGAATTGGTTGACAAATTCTTTTGTGGGTTGCATCTATGGAACTCAAAGTATTCCTGATATTTGTTTGTCAGTGAAGGAGATTCCTAAGTGCTTTTCGAGTCACAGTTTGAATGGATCTTTTCTCCTTTCTGTTGCAAGGAATGTCCGATGTATCATAACCTTCCCCACGTTTTCTTCTGACAGACGCTCAAATGCCAACAGAAACATGACCATAAGCGTAAAAACGGCGACCTCTTGGTGGTGCACTGCTATTTATTTTGCCCCTATTGAAACACTACCCAAGCTTTCGTACTTTTTGTACTGAGGAACTTCAATAACTGTGAACCTTGTTTGTGTTAACATGGCTGTTGCCATGGCAATTTGTGTTGTTGTTTTTTTCTTTCAGAGGGCTCCGATAGGACAATTATCCAACTCATCACAGAGCTGGTAGATTTGAGCGGGACAAAAGATGGCCACCTTGATTCTCAGGATGACATGGCACAAGCTGTGAAGGAAGAAGCAGGTATGCTACGCCCTAGCTTTGCACTTGTACATGGTGCCTTGTGGGGCACCGGAACAATGGAAGATACCCCACAGGGCCAGTTTTGATCCTTGTGGGGTACTAAAGTGGTACCCCACAAGAATTTCACGAAACTGATATTTGGAAATAACTCACAAAAGGGGAAATTTTTTATGGGTAAAAATCTGTCGCAAATTGAAGTGTTTTATATAAGGGACATACGGTTGAAATTTCAACCCAGGAAACTGAATTTGGTTGAAATGGCAGTGATTTGAAATTTTGTCTGTGTTGTGTGGGATTTTTGTACACGAGAACGGAAGGAAATACCCACAAGTATACATATGTATGGGGCTATGTTCTGACAAATGTTTCTCAAGCAGGCTGGTCAACAAGTTTGGAACACCATCTTCCATCGTGCTGAAGAAAGAGAGAGAAGCTACTACTTTGTGCCCTGTAGACTTGCAAAGGCTTGTGCACATTGCAACGAAATTTGGCTTGTATTCTGCGATCCATGCATGCGCAAACTGGTGCCTGCACAAAAATTTGCCATTTTTGTTTGTTTTTTGTTTCCAGCACGTTGCCTTGGCGACATAGGAGCACCAAACCTATCCACGGTGGCTCTGCAGTGTGAGGAAACCGAACGGAATGCAAGCTTCGCAACAGCACTAAGAGCATTTGCCAAGGCCCCGGACATGTCCAGATATGTCGTCATCGTCCATCTGCTGAAAGATTACCTGACGGACCCGAAGTAAGTTGCAAAAATTTTGTGACACTATAGAGCCCAAATTTGACTCACAAGGCAGAAACCATTTCAGAAATTCGTAACCGTAAATTTAACCAAAAAATGACGAAGATGTGCACTTTTGTGTCGTTCAGTGTTGATACGGTAGAGGCTGCAGCTGACTGCTTGAAGACCATCCTAGCAACGACCTCAGGTCAACGTTGCTCTGATAAGTACAAAGAGAAAAACATAGACAAGCTGTTTTGCTATTTGCATCCATTCCGACCAAGTAAAAAGAAGGTAATTTTCTTTTTTTTACATTTTCAGTCCATAATAGACTTGTCCCATTGTCTTTTACCGAACAAATAAATGTGAAATAATTTCAAATTTTCTTACTCTATAATTGTATTGTAATTATATTGTACCCTCATATTATTTGCTGTTAGATATTGTACGCGATTTGATTTTTCCATTTTTATATATTCAAATTCGACAGGCCACCAGCAAGCAAGCTCCACGCTGTTCCCGTGCCTCCTTTACACAGACCATTGGCGATCCGTCTCTGTGGCAACCAGCAGGGGGTAACCACGGCGACTGGGTGAGGAGCCTGACGGTAGCCCTGATCCAAAGTGGTGGGTTGCAGGACGAGATCTTGCAGTTGTTGGAACCCATTTGTAAAGTGAAGGTAAAATTAAGTTTCTTCCCTGAAGACATTTAACGTTTTAAAAATTCCAGCTTTGAAACAAATATTGAGATGATTTCAATTCTGAAGATAAAAATTGTCGAAATGTATTTAACGCCTTCACTGCCAAAACAGATGTAATTACCACATTAGATCAGGAACAGCAGGCAACAACGCAGGCTATATATAGAAAGTGCCTTCTTATTTCGGTGACTTTCTCATTGAAGTAGAGAAATTAACAGACAATACCACCTTCAAATTTATGCCCTCTGGACGACTGTTTTAATAAGCAAAGTTTGGATCTCATAATTGAGTTCAATAAATCAATTTCAGGTGGAGTTTGCTGAGAAGATTCTCCCATATCTCATCCATGATATTCTGAGCACCAGCAACGACCTCTACAGACAGATCTTGTCAGAGCGCATACAAGCAGTGTTTGCTGGACACTGCGACAGCACCAGCAGCAGTCGAGCGACGACACCCATTCCTTTTGCAGGTTTGTATCCAGAAGATCATCATTCAGTCCCGATAACCATCTCTCATTGAAAAGACCATTGTTATTCCAGCAACAGGCAAACTATCGCTGAGCTGTAATGTGCATAAATTTGTCGGAGCACAGACAAATATTACGTTTCCTAGCAGGCTTGCAAAATGTCATGTGATATTATAGCTTGTAACTACTGTGGTTCCTAGCTGAATATTTGTTAGCATGGAAATCTGGTAAGTAGTATTTTTCTACTTGGCCGGCTTAAAAATTGTCATGAGTAATTAGCAAAAGTACATTTATTTTTGTGGACTTAATAAAATGGGTCGAACTTTTATTTGTTTTTATTTTTCATATTTGTATAACAGATGTGTCTTCCAGTCAGCTGCGTCAAAGGTCATTACAAATACTGCTTGATGTGATGCACTACTTAAGGACACAGGAGAGACCAACACAAAGGTGGGTAATGAACTTTGACTTGAGGGGTCAGCAGCATTCTCAATAAAGTTTGACTTCATTTGTTGGCAGGTTTGAAATTTCAAAGTTTGAATTTGAGAGCTAATTGTTTGTTGAAAAAGTTATTTTTTAATGTCAATTTGACTGATGTATTTCCCCCCCTCCTTTTTTTTAAAGCCGCACCAAGAGCACAGCTTGGGACAACAATTTCTGGCTTGACGTGAACTACTTGCTGGCAGCCAAAGCAGCTCAGAATTGCAGAGCGCACTTCACGTGTCTCCTGTTCACTGAAATATGGTGTGATGTACAGAGGTTAGACGCTACAAAATGTGATTATTGAAGATACGTGAATTCACAAGGGACATCAAGTGGAAGAAACGACAAATTCCCTAAAACCCAAACAGTGTCTGTAAAGATACTTTGCCTCCCCCAAGTCAACCTCTGAACCTGTTTTCCCCTTTCAAACACCTTCCTAGGTCTCGCCAGGGCTCGTCTGCTGGTGATGGGTCAGGCGTCCAGACCCTCATCCAGCCGTCTGGCATCGACACCCTCAGTTCACTGTCCAGCCAGTCCGACATTAACGTCCAGAGTCTTCTCCTGGAAGCGTACAGCAGCATCGGCGAGCCGGACGGGGTGTATGGATGCGGGGCAGGACGACTGACCGATACGTACGCAAGGTACACAAGATAAGCAGGTTTACAAGGTTGATTGTTTCCTGACCAGTGGTTAGTAGGCCTCTGTACCAATGATGTCACTCTTTTTTTAATGCATGCTCTTCTATGGAGCTTCAAATCTGTCATTCTCCGAACTTGTGAACGAAGTCATATATCATTAGGATGTTAACTCATACGTGATATCCTTTACGTCCAAGTGCTATTACTCAAGTTCGGACTAACTGTAGCCATCCTGTCTGATGTGAATGATTGTATGTTCTGCGTGACCCTTAGAATCCACACTTACGAACACGAAGGAAACTGGAGTAAAGCTCTCAGTGCGTACGATCTCAAACTGCACTCCAAATCGTTTCAGACCGGCAAACAGGAGGTTGGGGTCTTGCAGGTGAGAAGTGTCAGGAATTTGTTATTTTGTCATTTTGGTTCATATTCACACATGGGTCGCCATACTCAATTGGGCCATGAGTTCAGGCCCAGTTAAAGTGCACGTGTCACTTGGCAGTGTTTTACAATAATTGTTGTGTACTTCATGCCTTACAACCCATGAAGAAGATCATGCACATGGTGTGCCTGCCAAGTGGTTGTCGGGGCTAGGTTGCATAGCGCCCTCTCTCATCAGTGCACAGAACTTATAGCCAAACTGTTGTTGTTGTGAACAGGCCATGCAGAATCTGGGTCTCAGCCACATCTTGACGGTGTACCTCCAAGGTCTTAGATCGGAGGAGGTGGCATTTGGTCCAGAGATGGCACAGTTCCAGTACGAGGCTGCCTGGAGAAATGCATTGTGGGATATGGAGCTTGACAACAGGCAAGAAAAATAGTGGTTTTCTTCATCTTCAATATTTGCCAAGAATGGACAGTTGATGTAACTTGATGTGGAGTTTGGAAATTTTTTTTACAGGATTTTTCATCTTACCGACACTTTTGGGAAAGTAAGAATGATTTACTTGATTGTAAAACTTGTCACATTTCCATCAAAAGTACAAGTCAGGGAGACGATGTGGAGTTTTTAAACATCAGTTTGAAAGTTGGATTGTTGATATTTTCATAACATGGATATTTTCATCATGTTGATAAAAAAATTGAAACGAGGAGGTTCACTCACGAATAGCTGCCAGTAATGTGTGCAATTTCCCTTCATGGTCCAGGAACCAGACCAATTCCAGTGGCTACCATCAGTCTCTGTTCACCGCTTTGTCTTGCCTGCGGGATGGAGAGTCTGAGTCCTTCACTGGGGCCCTGCAACAGGCACGACTGGACACCCTGCACCAGTTGAGCCATGTCAGCATTGAGAGCGCCTACAGTGTGTACCCAATGTTATCCAGGTTACAGGGCCTGGTGGAGCTGGAAGATTTTGGCAGCATGATGCTCAGGTATGTGGAGTCAGTTAATCAAACTCCATTGATGATGTCAATTTTGAGAGAAACCTAATGCTGCAAATAACTTGACAAGTTTTTCGTTTGTTTAGCAAACAGCAGCCAAATTCTGTCCTCCGAAGCTGGAATGCACAGCTGGCCCTTATGGACAACGATTTTGAATTTGCCGAGCCCACTCTTGTCCTCCGAACGGTCCTTCTTCAACTCTTACTGGAGCAGTGCAACACAAACAATCATGCCCAAGCTTACGAGGGGTTAGTTGCTCATCTCAAGATCCAAACAGAAATAGCAAGAAAAGCTGAAAGCTTCCAGGTGTGTCTATATTTCTTTTTAACAAAAAAGCAGGTTATAGATCATGCTGCTTGACATTTAGCTGTAGCCAATATTAGGCGTATTTTTGTCACCAGTGTAGCTTTTCTTTAATTCTGTTCTTTTGGAAACATTTCTTGGTAGATCGCAGAAAAGGCTTTGGCCACCTTACAGGCCTTGGACAGGCCGGCCGAGCTCCAGACTAATCACTCCTGGTGGCGGCTGATTGAAGAGGCTAAGGTGTACTGGACTCGCAATGAAAAGACAACCGCCATGCACCTCATGAGAGCACTACTTGACAAGATTAGTAGGGTTAGTCTCCATCTCTAGTCACACTGTCACCTTTATGAAATATGGAATCTTATCAGCACCCCAGGAGGACCTATATCTATAGTTTGATATAAAGTCGCATAAGCATTCATTATGCATATGCTTTGGATCAAGCCCATATAGTTGTGTTCTTAAGCAAGACATCTTACCACATTTCCTTCTCTATGCCCAGGTTTCCACAGAGGACCCCATTGGAGAATCACTTCATCCCGAGGTGCTGACCATATATGGCAATTGGCAGGCCGAGACTAACTCTGACAGTCCCAACGTCATCATTGAGCAGTACTTTGAGAGGGTGTGTATCACTTTTGAGGTCTGTTTTTAGCCCCTTCGCTATGGAGGACTGCTACTACCGCACCGTTGTGTGAGGATTAGTGCATACCACACATGCAGTCTATTCACCATGCAGCTGCTGGTTCAATGGGGCCTGCTGCTGGACAAAGTCCTCCATTCAGGGCATACCACAGCCCAGCAGTCGCGGTCAAAATAATCCCGACGTGAAGGGGTTAAAACAGTTGTGTTTCTGGAATGATTTGCGTATTACTTCAGTTGCCTTTCTTATTTTTCAAGTTCGCACAGTTATACAGACGATTCACAATACAGCGAACCACCAAGATTTTGCCGCGGACAGGCGGCTTTTCAAGTTTACAATCTACATGCTGCCATGATTTAGCATACTTATATGTAATTGGGGAATATTTGATTGATTGATTGAGGCAATCCCTGTACCACACATATCCATCCTTTTGACTACCTAACACCCATTCACAATAAGCAATGTCGAATTTTTAACCAAGATAAACAAGCATCCGGAAAAAATTCAGTTTTTCCGCGCACAGCTCAGTTAGTGAATGAGACTTTGTTGACCATTTATTCCATAATGCACTGTGAAAAGGCGTTTCCGCGATGACCTCTTGGTGGTGCTCTGCATTGTGAATCGCTGGTATTGGAAATACAAGTCACATTTAGACAAAATCTTGTCGACGTCTGGCATAAGTGAGATTTGAACCGCCACCTTCTGAACAGGCGGTGGAGATGTATGACCTCAGAGATGACACCAGCCTGCCAGCGATCGAGTCCCAGCTGTCGCTGGCCCGATTCGCCGACTCCCAGTACCAGAACATCGTGAATTACATGAAGTCCAGCGAGTACGAAGACAAGCAGGCACTGATGAAGCAAGCGAAGAAGGAATACGAAGAACTGCACGCCATGGGTGATAGGATCAGGTAAGATTCTGCTGTGTCAGAGTTTTTAGTTTCTAGACTGTTTGAAAGATATTTACTGTCCCAATGTTAGTCCTTCCCAAATCCTGCAAAATCCACCTGGAAGTTATGGAAGAGTTTGTTGGAGCTTGTGGATTATCAAATTCAAGGAATGCCGGGTTACATGAAAGGTGGCAGAATGTTGAAGTGTCTATAAAATGGGCAAGCAAGTAATTAAAACAGGAGTTCTTATCATTGTGGCGTTTGATTTGAGCTGTAGCCAAATTGCTTGTTGAAGAGTGAAATTCTGAATGTTTAAAACCGAACAATGTTGACAGTTTGTTTCTCTGTTGGCCAAGTAGTCGATATGCCAGAACTCTAAAGAAGCAATCGGAGATTGATGAGAGGGAGTTGGATTCCATGATGCAAGACAGGGAGAATTTCCTGCAGAAGGCCGTCGAGTGCTACCTGAAGTGTCTGGAATTCGGCACGTCGGACCACGACTTGAGGGTCTTCAGGGTGTGCTCGTTGTGGTTCGAGAACTCCAGTGAGGATGACATTAACAAACTCGTTCAGGTAACATTGTCTATTTGTGACAGTTTGGAACAAGGAGCTCTTTGGCTTTGTTTCTTAGACAGGTATTTCTGTCGGGGCTATCAATTTTCAGTTGTATGTCAATTTAAAGGCTGAAGCAATAGCCACAAATACTAGCCAAGTAAGGGATGGCTCATCTGTACTACGTACCATGTTTATGTCTCTTTGTGGACATCTGAGGACAGAATTACTGTGGGGTAAATTTTGACATAACTTTGTGAAGTTCAAGAATTTGCTGGGCAAGTTGGAAACGTTATTTTAAGGTTCATGTTGCAATTTAACTACAGTTTGAGAATTGATTAACTATCTGAGATTATTAAGTAAACAAAGTATTTGTCTCTTAGCAAAAAAACATGTCAAACCTGGTAAAAAACATAAAGTCTTTGTCATCTTTGATAGCATACATATGTCACAGTGTGGTTTGAACTCTCAAAGCTGGCATGACAGAACAATTTTGTTTCTTTGGTGGTCAGGATTCTTTCGAACGTATTGAAAGCCGAAAATTGCTTCCGTTGCTATATCAACTGGCTGCTCGAATGACCACCAGAACTCAAGATAAGCAACTCTTCTATGACGTCCTGAATGAGGTGAGGCCATCCCAAAAACATTATTGTGCTTCTCGTTCCCCAACCAACACTTCTTGCCTATTTCATTTCCCCAGTCAAATGCACAATGCAGGGTGTGGGTTTCCGAACGTCTCCAAGTGTTTAAGTTTTTCGGCCGTGTGCAGAATAAAAGAAATTGATTCAGAAAACGTTTCCATTGCCCTGTTTGAAGGCCATCCTTGACGTCTCCATAAAAGCGGAGTCCTCTTTAGGAAATGCTTTAAAAAAAGCCAATTTAATGTCACAGAACAAAATAAAATAACAGAATAAAATTGTGTAAATTCGCTGCATGAACTTTTGATCCGGCATCCAAACTTGGTATCTGCGTCTACTGTGAACTGGCTTAAAAAGCATCCCCTGTGACACAAAAGCATTGCTTTTTCTGTCTTCACACCCCCCCAGCTGATCGAGAAGACTGCACGAGACCATCCCCACCACGCCCTCCCCATTATTCTGGCCCTTGCTAATGCCAACAAAGATGCTGTCATCACCTCCAGGAGAACCGGTCGGCTCGCTCGCGCCAACTCGATGAGAGACGACGCAAGCCATGCTGATGAAGTAAGTATCATATCCACTATTTGTAATTTCTTCAAACGAGAGTTTCATGTGATGAAGATACAGTTGATAGAGTTTCTTCTTTTTTTTTTTTCTTTTTCTTTTTTACTGTCTGTGGAAGAGCTGTTTTCCAGTGTCTGTTAATTGCACGTGAGTATGAAGCAAAACTACAAATTTCTGTGTACCATACCTTGATGAATTGGACACAAAATGAGGCTCTGAAAGCAGTCTAACCCTTCATTTTAGCCAGCCTCCATTTTTTTCTTCTCCATGGGTGCTCAGCATTTAAAAACATGAAGCTTTGTCTCCCAAGAAACTTTTGGATGGTTTATTTGTTTGCTTGTTTGTTTGTTTGTTTTGTCTTACTCTACAGTCTCGAATGCAAGCAGCCCGGCGAATGCTAGTTAGGCTGAGATCAACACACTGTAACCAAATCATAGCAGACCTGGAGAAACTTTCCGATGCTTACATTGAGTTGGCTTATTGGGACGTCTCGGACCGCAAGAAAGAAACGGGTACGCATTGTCTCATCTGTTCTCATTCCGAGGTAGAATTTGCTTCTAAGGAAAGCCTGGATTAATGTTTTTTCAGCAATCATGACATATCTGATTTGTTCACATCGGATGTTTTTGTTTTTGTAAAGGCCCCGTTAAGCTTGCCCCCAACCAACCTTTGACCCAGCTGAGGCATCTAGAGCATGTCGCCATGCCGACCATGGAGATCCCTGTGGATGCATCCTGTCGCTATGAAAACATCGTCTCGATTGATCATTTTGAGGATACCTTTAAGTTGGCAGGAGGCGTCAACCTTCCAAAGATCATCACTTGTGTCGGGTCAGACGGCATCAAAAGACGGCAACTTGTCAAAGTGCGTTCCCCAAAATATTCACTCTTTTGTTGAATTTTGAAATTTTACGTGTTATTTATTGCTATTAGGACATCCTGTTAAAACCTCTCTTAACTTAGGCCATGTCCGAAACGGGCTTCCAGAGCTATGGCTAGGTCTATTGTCTGCGCGTCTCCCTGCAATTCCAATGGAGTGAAGACCTAGCCCTAGCTCTAGATAACAGATTCGGATGCAGCCTACATTACAGCAATCACTGAAGAGAAAACAAGTTATCTGACCAATCAAAATCCTTTTTACTCAGGGCAAGGATGACCTCAGGCAGGATGCCGTCATGCAGCAAGTCTTTGCATTGGTTAACAGACTCCTCCAACGAAACCAAGAAACAAGGAAAAGAAGATTGCGAATCCGAAGATACAAAGTACGACAAAGCTTCTTAATATTCATTTTAATATTTTGATTGAAATCTCACAGAACAAGTTGAGTAAAACTGAACAACAAAGTAATACGAATTTGTTGTCTGGGTCCTTGACTCTTCCCAATTGTGGTCTCTTTTTGATTGGCAGATTGTGCCTCTTTCCCAGCGTAGTGGTCTGTTGGAGTGGTGCGAGGGCACCATGCCACTGGGAGAGTATCTTATTGGTAATCAGAGGACGGACTTTGGGGCTCACAGGCGTTACCGACCACAGGACAGCTCGTCCATGGAATGCCGGAAGAAGATGGCGGTAAGAAACACTACAAGTTGTAGCTGACAGATGACAGAACTTTCAAACTGCTCAAAGAGAAATCACAATTATGTAGTTGGCCAACCATGTGGAAGTGGATTCCAAAAAAAAATGCACAGAGTATATTTATTTCAATCTCATTTGCAGGATTTCTGTGACGCAGATAGCCTGAGAATTTTTTGTTTTTCCGTTTGAACAACTGTTGAATCTTTCGTCCTGATTTAGATGGCGCACAGCAGCAGCGAGCAGGGCAAGAAATACAGGGAATACCTGGAGGTCATGAAGAAATTCCAGCCTGTCTTCCGTCACTTCTTTCTGGAGAAGTTTCCTGATCCTGCCGTGTGGCTGGAACGGAGACTAGCCTACACCAGAAGTGTAGCCACCTCTTCCATTGGTAGGATGTTGTCTTTTTTTTTTCATCTGATCACAATATTTTTCAATCCTTTCTTAATTTGGTCATTTCATTTCTTCGAATGTTTTCTGTCCTGATCTTGAATTTGTGAAGACCTCTATTTGTTGGTGGGTCTCTTTTGGATTAGAATCTTCTAAAGTTTATTTCTTGAATGCTGAAATTCATACTTTTGGATTTAAAGTTCATCACTTTTGCTGGGAATTTTGCAGAAATTGAAGATTCTGTAATTTAAGTTGTTTTAGTTGTTTTTCTCTGTGCGTAGTTGGATATGTCGTCGGCCTTGGGGACAGACATGTCCAGAATATCCTGATTGATTGCAATCAGGCTGAGCTGGTCCACATCGATCTGGGTGAGTATGCATTCTTCCCTGGTTCCCTTACTTTATTTGATGTGGAAGTGTGGTGTAGGTGCGAAGGTGGCCATGTAAATGCTCACGTTATCGTCAAACCGAGTATTTGTTGCAATTTATTGGATTGTTGTTGCTGTGTAGGTGCAGTTGAAGTGAATAAGTAGAAATATCGTGTGCTCTGTTGTAAGTCTGCCAAATGTCACGGCTTGATCCATGTACATCTTGGCATCAGCAGTTGTAGGAGAACTAACAATTTTGGATTGAGAAGTAACACATCCTGAAATTTTGAAGACGCTTTAGTTGTCAAAATCTCAAGGACTGGTTTGCCAAATTGCCATTCTCGGGGAGCAGAGAATGTCAAGTTTTGGCATATCCAGATATTTCAAGGTCAGTTGGGTGCTGGTTTTGGCCCCATAGGACGTAGCTAGTTTGATTATCTTTTTTTTTTTTTAAATAGGCGTTGCATTTGAGCAGGGGCGAATTCTGCCCACACCGGAGACTGTCCCATTCAGACTGACCAGAGACGTAGTGGACGGGATGGGCGTAGCTGGCGTGGAGGGGGTCTTCAGAAGGCAAGTTGGGAAACATGGCATGATGTAGTCCACCTGCATTATTTGATCAATGAGGATGCTTTTTTTAGACTTTTTTGTGTAAGACAGTCGTTAACAGCTGACAGACCTCTCCGTGGTAACACAAGTCTACATTTTTTTCTCCAGATGCTGTGAAAAAACCATGGTGGTAATGCACAACTCCCAGGAGGCTTTGCTAACCATTCTGCAGGTAAGGTCCATACCTCAGGTGGGGTCAGAGGTTGAATATGAATGTTGATAGATGTAATTGTCTTCCTTTAAGTCAGCGTGAACTTTTTGAAATGGATCTTTTTTGTATTTATGTCAGCCTCAAGTAAGAGGCATGCGTAAGCACCCTGCATTTCTTTGGAATAAGTTTTGCTGATTGATGACCTGTGACCTTTGGCCTTATAGGTTCTCCTGTACGATCCATTGTACGTCTGGACCATGTCCCCCCAGAAGGCCATGGCCCTGCAACAGCGGCGGGATCGCAACGACCCGGACGCCTCTGAGCTGAACGCCACAACGTCCGCCGACCTGACGGACGGCGAGGCTGGGTTCAAAGGTCAGGACAGCAGCGAGGGCACAGAGGTCAACAAAGTCGCTGAGCGGGTTGTGCTGCGGCTTCGGCAGAAGCTGCAGGGGGTGGAGGAGGGCGTGGCCATGAGCGTCAAGGGGCAGGTCAACCGGCTGATCCAGGAGGCTCGAGACCCCAAGAATCTCTGTCGGCTGTTCCCTGGCTGGCAACCCTGGATATAACCATGTGTCAGGGTCAAAGGTGAATCAGAAACAAAAGAATTTTGTTTCTCCTCAAAACTGTCATCATATCAGTTACTCTTCTTTCTAACGAAAGTTCTAAAATTCACCGGTTGGAATTTTGCTGATTGGTTTATTTATGGAAAGGCAAACCTTCAGGTTGAAGAAATTGATGAACTGACGAGAATGCATCCAATTATCGGATTCTTGAAAGACACTGAAGTTCTAAAGTAAGTTGATTCTGTTTTGAAAGTGCTTTTTTTCCTAGCGAAACATCAAAATTGTCTTCAAATTTAAGCAAAGTGCAAGATTTCTGACACAAGAAAATCATTGAATTAGTGGTCATGGCACACAGGTGCTTTGTATTCAAATGTTACAATGACGTTTCTGAAAATCAAGAAAATTCCAGTGACTATATTCATTATATTCTCATTTAAATGGAAAGATCAATTAAACATTATGCAAATGTATGGCAACCCAGAAAAGCCATATACAGCTTACCGTTCTGCAATAAATTTCCTTTCAAGTAATCTTTTTTTTTTTTACACTCGTGTACTCAGATAACAGATATTTTGCATTTCCTCAGTGCTGCTAGTTGACAAGATATCTGTGCAACATTCTCTGGTCGATCACAGAAAATAATTCTCCCAACATGTTTGCCTTTAAACAAAATAGAACCGAAAGAACAGATCCTTTTTATTTGAGAATTTGTAAAATATCAGTTGGTAAATGATGAGAAAAGTGACAAAATCGTCCATTCCATACTTGAATAACAGTTATAATGCTGTCTTGTGCCCCACTTAAAAGAGAAATTATGGAAATTTATCATCAAATTCTGTCACAAAATCACAGGTATAAAGGTGTTCGAAACAAGTCTTGAAGCATTCTGAAATATTGGCGAGAGATAGATGACACGGGAGCACTGAAAATTCTCTCTGTCAGTGTCACTTTGACGTTTTTACAAAATTGTGGGCCCTGTGTATTGAGCAGTTGCCGACATACAAACGCAAGATTTAACCATGCTCCCTGTTTCTTCAATTTCTACTGTCCAAGCGACGCGTGTTCGTATTCTTTGCTATTTCTGTACCCAGAGATGCCATAACTGCCAAAATAAATGCTTACTTGAAAAATAGCGAGTTGTTTGTGTCCTATTTATTGATAATGGATGGAAACAATTTATTACTTACTCGGAATCTGAATATATTATGAAGATATGAATTTCATCAGAATTATTTTGGCCCCAGATTTGGCCTTAAATTAGCTTTGATTATTTGCACTGTCAACCGTGAGGGGCCATATCAAGACAATAAAATAGTCTTATCTATGTTTGGGGTCACCGAGAAATGGTAACTACATTGGCCAGTATCGGTCAGTTCATTTCTTAACTTCTTGTAAAATACTAAGTAATGTGTGCTCAAATGTGCACTCGTGCCGAAACGATTTGATCTAACCATGTACAGGATTTTAAATCATCTTGTGAAATACCTTTTTGAAGAAGCACAACAGCGTGCGCAGTTGACGCGTGCGCACTGTAGCTCTACGCAAATGCAGCATGGGACGAAATCCCCAGACGCCAGTCCAACGCTCAGGAATGAAACGACTTCTGTAGCGGTTAATATTTACATGGTTTTGAAAACAGTCCATTTTTTTCTGAGAGAAAAAAAGCGCTTGTAACAGTCCCGGTCGATGCTCTTGCTCGGAATTAACGCTTCACACAACAGACCCGGAATTTTGGAGCGTACATGACCAGCCCGCCGTCCGGGAGGTCTAGGGGAGGAAGCGGGTCGCCGTCCGGTACCTTGAAGGTGAAGCGCTGCATGACAGTCACCGTGAAAATAAACAACTCCATCTTGGTCAGTGCTTCGCCTAGGCACATGCGACGCCCTGGGGATAAACGAGGAACAAGATCGTGAGAAATCAGAAAATTAAAAAGATTTGCATTTAATCTCAATAGGGCTTATCACGATGTAGACGGGGAAAAATAAAGAGTCTTGCATGTCGTTAAATATTCATGTGCGTAGTTGTCTATTTGAACATTTCACCTCACATATGCCGTCGGATATGCACGATTTACATATTAAGATGTACTCGTTAATGGTGTGAAACAGGTATTAGCAGGCCTTGGCTAAATCATTTTTATTTACATTTTGTTGTGAATTATTGTAACGGTCAGCTCACCCAGTCCGAAGGGAATCCAATCTTTTCGGGGCACCAGTGTCTTCCCGTCAGCGGATAGAAAACGCTCCGGTCGACACTCCAGCGGGTCATCCCAGAATTTGGGGCTATTTTGGATGTAGAACACGTTACCAAAAACTGGTGTATCTAGACAAAACAGAAAAAAAAATCAAGATACGTAACCATGAATGATTTTTCGACGATGTAAGTCTCTTTCTATTCATTACTAAAAAATGGAAATATGTACATGTAATCTGAATTGAAGTGTTTTCGTCGACTATTACGTCATCAGATCGTGTGCATTTGCAGTGTTGTAGTAACGTTTGCTTGTCGATACCCTTGCTAAAGACACTTTTTTTCTCGTACTGAGATAGGATTGATCATTTTGTGAGGTTTATTATCACCACGATGTCCCAAGTGTCAGCTGTTGGCACTTCTTTGAGGTATATGAACTTTTTAGAATTTTGTTCAACTGCAGATCTAATTGTAGCCATTGCACGTTTGTCATCGCTTATTTTGATTTGTCGAATTCCAAGGGAATTCAATGAAATCTTGTCACGTTTCTGTGAGAGTTTGTGTCGCCACTTGTGATCTATGTGATCGGATTCCCAACTAGTGCTCGTGTGAGAGAGGGGGCGTGGTATTCGTGCTACCTTTAGGGATGTTGTAGCCGCACAGCTTGACGGGCACCCGGAGGTGTCTGAAGATGATGGCTGCCAGAGGGCGAAGTCGCTGGATCTCCATCAGGAAGGCGCAGGTGAAGGGCATCTCCTCGCGTTGCGTGGTGGACGGAACGCCGTCAGCTCCCACCGCACGGTCGACTTCCTCCTGGATCTGTTTCCACGACAACAAGAGTGAATAAATGAAATCAGGAACGACTTTTTCGGGTTTTTTTTTCGCTGTGTGTATGAAGCTGAATTCCGTGCAAGCAGGCTTAAAACAAGTTTATCCTTTTGAGTCTAAGTTTGTTGGACTTTTTTGACCTTCAGCAACTTTGTTCAAGTCTATAGAAGTTATTTGACCGATAACGATTGGCTGTTTTGATCTTCATACCAACGAATCCTCGTCAGATCTTGAAATTCTTTAAAAGCCTTCATTCTTTCACCCGTCTTTGACATCTGTCAAAGGTTTTATGACAAACCCGGTGGTTGTTGAGTTATAAAGCCGCGTGAAGATGTTTTTTGAGTGAAGACAGTGAGACTTCCCTATGAGCTTCGTACCGTGGTGCCGCTCATCTTGAGGCAAGTTCAGAAAGGTGCAAAAATACCTTGGGAAAAGTTTACCTTCTTTTGGATTTCTGGATGTCTCAGCATGTAGATGATAATCCATAGCGTCGTGTTAGAGAGAGTCCCGGTGCCCGCACCGAAGAGATCCGAAATGCTGTGCACGATGCCCTCCTCCGTGTGTTGTATGGGATCGTTGGTGTCAATTCGTCTCTGCATCTCCACCAGGTAGGCGTCCATCATGTCCCTGATGTTGTCTGGATCCAGGGTGGCCTTGTGGTACTTGAGATGCTCCCGGATGAAGTCCTCGTGAGCCTTGAACATCCCTCGTCGTCGCTTGTACCAGCGAGTGTGCCAGAGCGGCGGGATGATGTTGGCGGGCTCCAGTAGGCGCACCCCTTCGATCAGCTCCGTCATGATGGCCAGCTGCTCCTCGAAGGCCTTGTCGTGGTAGTCGTAGCGCGTGCCCAGGCTGATGGCGCAGATGATGTTGGAGGAGGCGTTGAAGAGGAGACTGTTGAGAACCACGGGCTGGCCGTTCAGCCGCTCCATCTCCCTGCAGAAGAACCGGCCCTCCTCGTGGATGCGGGCCTCCAGGCTGCGCTTGCCGAAGCCGAAGCCGCGCAGGGTCTTGACGGAGAATCGGCGGCGTTGTCGCCACCGCTCCCCGTTCTCCCAGAACAGACTCCCTGCGTGGGCAATTCAGATTAGAGTTTGCGAGTCCCCCAAACTTTTCGTGAAATCGTAAATTACCTTCGCAGAAGCTTACCAACATCAAACCAATACCAATCAGCTGAATCGGAAATTTTCGTAGACTGTATAGCTTCTTGAACAGATATGAGCAATCAGAATTAGAAATGTTTTACAAAAAGTTGGAATTTTTGGCGGAAGGACCGGCGGTTTCAACAGACACGTGTATGTTTGACTATGTTGTATTGTCACTAAAATCGTTTTGATTTGATCGAGGCTTATAACCCTACGATTCAGTGATTATAAACCTTGTTTCAGAGAATCTGCTGTGTCCGATGAACCTTTTTAGAACATGAGTGAGACATTGAAGTAATATGAATTTTTATAGACTTTTACAACTTGTAGCTACAACTTTTGTCCACGTTCCTGGCGCGGGTTTGATGGATGTCGATGATGTTGATTAGGTCCTTACCTACATCTCGCTTGCTTTCTAAGACCCAAGACATGATCATGTTGTCCGAGAACTCGTCGGCCATTTTGACGTAGGCCTTATGGAGCGTCTCGTAGTCGCTGAGCATGACCACCAGCTGCGGACCCATGCGGATGCTGAGGATCTTGCCGTACTTGTCGGCCAGCTTGCTGAAGGACACCAGCGGGTCCGGGAAGAGGCCCGGCAGGTACCCGAGCAGGGGCCATCCCAGCGGACCCGGGGGTAGGTTCTTGGGCTTTATGAGGTAGACGAGGAGGAAGACGAGGACGGCTACGACCAAGGTGACGACGTGTCTACTCTCGATGAATGACGGCAGAATGGCCTCCACTGCGGTGTCCATGATTCGAATCAGCGCAGCTCTTGACCTAGCTTTTTACCGTAAATCCCTTGGGCTCACCTTGTTGCAGGTCTACAAGCGTCTGGTCGGATATTTCTCTGCTAGGAGTTGCTACGTGTGATGCTTTTTCGCAAGGTTGTCCTTCTGAATGCATTGTCTTTGTCTTTGGACTAAACTTAGCCGATGTCGATCTTTGGAACTGCAACTTGAGATAAGAAAGGCCGGTGTCGGGTTGCGTACTTTATGGACGAACTTTTGGATAAAAATTATTTAATCTTTTCATTTTTCCAAGTTTGTATACTTTTCGAAGAGTCTTTTTTTTCCTAAGAAATCTTCAGTGAACAAATGTGGTTCCAAGCTATTATGTTCGATTTACTGACCGGCAACTTCACTGGGGACAACTTCTTTGGTAAATAGGCCTAGTTTTGGTTGCTTAATGTCTCACAACAGATTTTCGGGGATTTTGTAGTAATCTCAAATAATTTGATGTAACACAGGTGTTAACAAAATAATGTACATAAACAGTGGACGCGGAAATGTCTTTTTTCACATTTACAATGTACATATAGTGATTTTTGTTTCAAAATAAACAAAGGGCAGTTTTTGTACGCACTCGTATTAACACATAAATGCCACATTTATGTCAGCTGCCCAAATTCTTAATTTTGCCAAAATGGGCAAGGTTTGGTCTTGTGGGACTGATCGAGTCAACGAACTCCATGCAAGTCGCGCATATTCAACGTTCTAAATTGGTTTTGCAAATTTGCATTGTGGTAAAAATAGACACGATACCTAGCCCGAAGCAGCATCGTGCTTTGTCTGTGCCAACTTATTTTAGCTCTTGAGTACTTGACCTTTGATATTTTGTTTATGGATAATGCTGAAGTTCAAGTAGGACTTGTCATGAAAGGGTATCTATACATTTATAGGTATCTATACGTTTGTCCGATGGGCCGGCACTTCGTTTGGTCACGCTGGTGAATCGTTTTGATGTGATTTTAATCAAGTGATTGCGACAGCACATAGCGAGGGGTGTGCCTAATTCAAATCCACAGGAAGAGGGGCGGGGTCTAGTTTGTTCAAATGGAGGCGTTGGGGTCGACAGCACATTGGGACTGAATTGTTTCCAGCAAATAGTAGTTATACAAACCCTTCGGGCCTTTCACATGTGGGAGCTTTCTTCTCTTTTAGCCTCGAGAATACCTGTTAAGAAATTCTTGCTCACATTTCTTGATAATTTCAGTAATGCTTGTTCTCGTTTATTGACGGTTTCACGGGATGGCGCACTTTCTGTCGCGAGCCACTCAACATGCATTTATATGTCTGTGCTCAACATCCCATGAGTGGATCTCCATCACAGCGCCCTCTGTCACCAACTTTAACGAAGGCTGCGTTTATCACGAGAAACTGGGAACAGACATTTTGCCTTTATAGAAAAAAATAGGTCCGTTATCCTTTCCTGAGCTGTACATGACGTTTTCGTCGTCTTGTGTTAACTTTCTGAACGGTGGATGGAGCTTCCTAAATGTGTAGCATTTTTACAATTTGAAAATGCCCAAAAGTTCAAATTGGTTTAAGCTTTAATGCGCTTACTTTCATTTTTTTTTCTTGAGCAATTCTTTTCTTATTCCCTTTCAAACTTCTTCTTGTTTCCTCTTTTACCACATTCTGCCACCTGCCTCGATCGGTACATTTTATCGAGCCGTGGCTCCATAATCGAACCCAGCCCCCGGAACAGTAAACTCGTACCACAGCGCCACTTCCTTAAAAAAAAAAAAGCCAGTGTCCTCCAAAATGACTGGGAATTAAGAAGATTAAGCATTCGTGAGCTGGATTAACTCCACGGGGGATAAAGGATATCCTTTGATAACTATCGACCCGTGTATAGCTTTGCAGGCCAAAACACTGCCTTTAAGCCTGTGTTGGGGTGGCATCGCGGTGAGTGAGTGTTTAATATCCAGAATTATTTATATAACTGTGGACAGTTACATTCACGGGATTTCGGAAATGTATAATTTATCGTCTGTTGGTTCAGCGAAAGGGAGATGTTTTGCAAGATGTAGATGTGATTGAAGGAAGTCTTCACAGGACAAGCACCATCCTTGGAGCTATCAGCCGATGGAAGTCAAACGAAAACCCCTATGGAACAGCAGAAGAGAGTATCTGTTTGATGGACAAGACCCACTTGTTGCGTGGAAACTACATCACCAACGAGATTGGATGTAACACTACAGCGGCCTTGTGTTTGCCCACGTTCGAACGAGACGGGCCTACAATACGAGGGTCGATTGGAGACGACGCTTCAATGCACTGTCAGAACACATCTGCAAGAATACTGCCGTTGTGCCTACATAATCTGTGAAAATTGGCCAAATGGAGGACGCTAAAGCTGAGGAATCTATTTTTAGACCAGAGTTATTTTGCTAAAACCTCCTGTGATTGCTTTGTTGACACCAGTGCTCTTCAAATCATCTTCCTGGAACTGTTTGTCACTTGCGCACCTGACTTGTCGACAATGGGTATAATAATCAATATCTTGCCGATGCCTTCTGTTTACCAAATACCCGACTCTGACTTTAGAACTCCTTTGACGAAATTTTGACATAAAGAGACTGTCGAGTTGGCTGCAAGAATAATACCTTTGGTGCGAAGCGAGAAAAGTGACCAGAAAAACAGTGAAACGAAAGGTCATTTACATCGACACCTTGGAAACTGTCCAACCCTGGATAGCGTCGCTGTAAACGTCAACATAAAAACTGCCAGAAATCGATTTTTAATGAATCAGCATTCTTTGGTAACTGGACTGATATGGTACGATGTCGATTAATTTGCAGAGCACTCGCCATTCACATGACACGCCTCACGCCAAATTAGAAAAATCGCCACGAGGAGGACTTTGGACACTTTCATTTTCAAGCCTCGAAACTAAAAAATAACGACACTGGATAGCGTAATGAGATTACTAATGATTGCAGGACAGTGTGGCGATGTGGGTACCGCACAACCGAGAAATGTGCAGTGAGTGGTTATATAATACACGCAACCGATCTGTCTTGACTCTTTTTTTTAATGACAGTTAATTTTCGACTCCGTGTGACGACAGGCGCTAGATCCACCTGCTCTTGGATTTGCGGTGATGAAGTCGTGCGTGTCGTGGTAAGCGAGGCAGACAAGTCGTCATTACCGTGTAGTCTGAAGCTCCTCATCGGCTTGATCGCAAGCGTGCGGCGCCGGCCCGTCTGCCTGCCGTAGATACCCCGTGGCGTTGGCTGATGGAACTACGGATTTGGTAAAACATATTGATTCTCTCGAATTTAAAATGGATTTACTTCCAGCAAGGATTTCCTGCACTTTTCCCGAACCCTGCGAGTTATTTTCAAGGCATCTGTTTCACAAAGCAAGTCAAAAATAATGGTGAACATTTAGTTTTGGATGTTTGTGTGAGAGCTCTGTGTTGCTTGATTTAAAAAAAAAGGCCTAACAATAGGTGCTGAATATTCGCGTAAGATTCAGCGATGGCACAGAATTCTGAGGTGTGACTGTAATTTTTATAATGATACCCTGGCATGGTTTCTAAAAGCTGTTGGTTGGCTTGAAGCAAGGGTTTAAACTTAACAGCCATGAGCGTTCAGACTGCCAGTACAAAGCCGAAGGAACGTCGGCTCAGCGTGAACGTCACGATGTCTGTAGTCCACAAGACCAACCGGTCTGAGGATAAGAAGTTGGAGCGTCGCGTGGAGCACTTGAAGCAGAAAGAGCACCAGGACCAGGTCCGACACTGCACTGAGGTCAAGAAGCTGGAGAAGGAGCTAGAATCCATGCAGGTGCAGGTGGAAGCTGCGGGCAGGACCTTCTCAAAGAGGGAGACCGAATTGCAGGATGTGCCGTACCTGTTCAGCAAGAAGATGGCGGCGCAGCAGCCCAGGGCCGTCCGGCAACGGCGGCACCGGGGAGACTCGGCCGCCGCCGCGCTCAACAGAGTGGCAAAGAACGTGGAGCTGAGTGGGAAGAGTCGCTTCCGCTCGGCCGTGATGGCGGTGTGCGTGGCGAAGGGACTCGGTGAAGCCGCCTCCGGTGAAGCAGTCCGAGAGCAGGAGGACCGAGAGACCGAGGAGGGTGCTCCCGGGGAGAACACGGCGATTGAGGGTCAAAACATGAACAGGAGCCTGTCGTCGGCACGGAGTGGGGTGAAGCGGGACAGATTGAGGAGGAAGACCCATCCAGCGGACAGGCCCAACACGAGCCCGGGTAAGACTCTAACACGGAGGTACTCGGCACTGCGTCCACCATCAACGGCCGACCAGACCGGGAGCCAGAGTCAACCTCGACCAGGCATGAACTCGGCCAGAAGCGTAGGCAGACGAAACACCACCGGGAACATGTCGGTTCGGAGCGCGGAGTCACCGTCACTGACCCCGACCGTAAGCCTGCCGGACCTGGTGGGCGCAGCCCGGGCGTCCATCGTGCATGCCGCCGAGTCGGCCAAGGCGGCCTCCGTGCTCAAGAGGCGGGGCAGCGCCGTCAGCACAGTGACGGCCGCCGAGCGGGAGCTGGAGAGGCGACGGTCCAGTGCCGCCCTCCGTCTCAGGGACATCAAGGCGGACCTGTCGAAGCGGAACGTGGACCTCCAAGACCGCATCAAGCTGTTTGTTCGGACAAGCATGCCAGGAGAGTGCACGGTCAAATCACCCCGACGACTGTTTGCGATACCGGTCGGTGGGGAACCAGCTACCACTAGTTCAGAAATGGATGACTGACATTTTGCTCTTAAGCCGATAATGATCAGTGGATTGAAACATAAAACCTACATCACAAGACTTCAGTAATTTTGTCATATTTTGCAAATATACCAATTATTATATGACTCTAGGGTCAAGATTAGGTACAAATCATTCTGCTGGATAACGTTGTATCCCTTGGATTTTAGCTCCATTGTCTGTGGTTCGATTCCTGGCGTTTCTGTCGTTTAGTCCATGATAAATGAAACATAATTTCTCCAGGTTTTTAGCAAGGATACAGGTTCAGAAATTTGTGTGTGTGTTTTCAAGGATCAATCTTGTTGACATTGTTTAGAGTTACGAAATTTACAAACAAGTTGAAATCTAATTCCAACTGAAATCTTTTGTGAGCCAGAAGAGTGGTCGTGGAACTTCAGAAAGGCGGCCGAGCGCCCTCTGTCACTTCTATTTATTGCAGTGGCTTTCTTTTCCGTGTTAACAATGCCACGAAGAATTAAGACACAACAAATAACAATAGATATTCCTTGCTTTAGATAATCAAATGAGCTGCTGTACTTAATTGAAGCAGTTTTACGATTTCAATTTAGAATGTGTCAGTCTAAAATCGATATAGCGCCCTCTATCCTCCACACGCAAGAGAAAAATTGCACACTCGTTTTTGTGAGGTCATGCCTGAACGCTATGGGTGTTCAAATTTGAACCACACCTTTCTGGGTCACATTTTAGGGGATATTTGATTTGTTTGCACTTTCCATTCCCAAACACGTTAAGTCTGTCAAGTCATTTGTACTCGGCAGCCCACGCGTCATCGCTGTTGTTATGCACACTCCCACTGTGTCAACTTACTGTAATCCGGATAACCACGGTAGCGGGATTATCCTTTATTTGCACTCGAGATGTTACCGTTATATATAAGCTGGAACAACTATTCCAAAGCCATAACGGTCGACTGTCGTGCACTTCCCGGTTATTCAGATCTGTTACACCATAGAGAAATTATTGTCTGATACCAAGACTCCAGACATATGGAGGTAGTCACAAAGTTCACTGGAAAATCACACAGTCGACCGGTAGAAATAGACATTGCATCTGCATTTCAATTTGATTTGTTTTGTCTGTACCATAGTCTATAAAATAGTTTATTTTTTATTTTTATTTATAACTGATTTACATTTACCATATCCAACGATTCAGTGTGGGTAGTATTAAACGTAATCAGTATACCAGTGGAAATATTTAAAATTGGATGAAATCTAATTGTAGTTTCGCCAGCATGAATGTCAATTTAAAATGGTCGGGTTCCTCATAGTATTTCCATTGAGTTAACCCACTATCATTTATTTTGTCATTGCAGTACTTGGCCAAGCAGTAACGCCATCTCACGCAGAAGCGGAAATATCACTTTGGACCGCAGAAAAGTTTTCCAAAATATCTATTTTGCTTCCATTATTTCATTGTATTACGTTCAATAATCAATCAGACATAAAAAGGAAATTGAGCTTGTTGTAGATTCCTTAGTTTGTGTAGAAAATTCCTCAGCTTCGTTGGGCCTTCTGTCCTTTGCTCTTATATTGTTGGGCTGAAGCCATATTTATTGATCTAGCAAGTAAACATGATCAAGTCAGAAAGCAGGTTGTATTGTGTTCGTCGTGAGCCTGTAGTCATATCCTTGTACGGACAAGAAACCATGCCCCGGTGGATTAACTTTCACCACTCATTCAGAAAGCCAGGAAACTCTATGCAACATCAGCAAACAAACTCAAGCCCTTTCTCGAAGCGGAAGGCCTGGAACGTAGTTTGTTCGCTGGACGTATATGTTTTCTGATGGTTTATCTGACACGCTTGAGTATTTTCTAGACATTGTTAGGATTAGGACAAAGGAGGGAAACACAAACCCAGTGGTAACAGCATTGAAATTCCTTTCTGTCGCACCGCTTCACTGAATTTTAATAAAATTATTAAGTACGTCAACAGCTCGCAGACTTTGCATTATTAAAGCCCACGAGTGAACCTAACAATTTTCATCAAGTCTTAAGCAATGTTGCTCATTATGTTTACTGTACCGTAATACGCAAGCGAGATTTTTCCAGAATTTGTAAGGAATTTACACTTTGGAAGCGTTTTAACATAAACCGAGAGAGCTGTTTTTATTTGCTCTTGCTCGGTCAAAGGTAAGTTCTTAATTACCTTTGTGGTGAAATTCTAAGAGTGGAAAACAGCGTCGATGTACTTTTCACGGTATCTGATAGACTGATACTGGAGCCATAGAGAAGACGATTCCTTCTAAAATTACAAACAGTTTGAAACTAATCAAGGAGCTGTCTCGGTAAAATTATTAATGACATATGCAAACATATTGCCACAATGCATAACTCATTAATGGATCGTTTCTTTGTATGATATAGCGATTAGTGCGTGTGTGAGGTGAGATCATAATCGAGGATTTGGCGCGCGAGGGGACAACTTTAGTGCAATTAATTGTGTGACATGCAGATAGGTTATTCGAGAAGTTGTAAAATTCTGCACTTTGGTCGGCTAATTAATAAACATCGCTCACAAGTTAGTGACAGCTTAGACTAAGAAATGGAAAAAAAACATGAAAGCACCTGAGAACCTTGTAGTCAACCAGAGGCTGGAGGGAAATAAGGGGAAATCAATAAATCCAGATACAAAACTGATTAAGAGAAATCAAATGAAAAATTTTGAAGCCATAAAACAGGGCCAAAGATGTGCTAGCCTGTTATAGGCCAATTAGTCTTGCGTGTATTAGTTGATCGGTCAGCAGACGATATTTGAGGATTATGATTTGGAAGAGAACAGAATAATCTCCCCCGGCTTTCCCAAATTGAGCAATTTGAGGTGCTTATTGGCAGGTTTTCAACGTGGGAGGCGTGTGTAGTTTGTATTTATTTCTTTATTTTTTTTCTTAATTTTATTTGTGGGAGAACTCACCGTTCCCTAATATCACTACTGCTCAAAATACCGAACAGGCGCTCCATACCAAGGTATGCCGGCGCTATTAGAGTGTTGTAATTATCAAAAGTTACCGTTTCCATTGTTTATCACCCAGCCAACGTGGCCACCAGGCGATGGACTTTGGTATCATTTGATTTCAACTAACGAGCATATGATGACGCGTTGTCTTGGCAACGGCAATACATTATACAGTGATGGTAACATACTGTGGTTGCACACGGTGAAGTGGACCTCTTATATCAACCTGTGTGAAAGAAAATTATATGTACTTCTCCGGCACAGATTTGTTTTGCGGCCTTACTGGAGTTATTATTTGTTCCGGTCGCATAAATGTCATTTTTTGGTGCTCCTCCTTGAGGGTGTAGCGTTGTTTCTCCAAATCCTGATTTATATGGACGCGTGGGTTGAAATGGTCAGACATCAATGCCCCCAAGCAGACAGAAACTCCATTTCAGACGAGTTAATGTCTGTTGTACTTGTACGATGAATTACGAGTCCCGAGGAATGTCATGTAAGGTCCGCACAGGTGTTGTTGAAGTGGCCTTCTTTAGATCAAGCGAGTTTCAAGTGGCCGCCATATTGGTTCTTAGAAAATCATTCAACTTTCGGGAAACACACTGTCTGCCTGAAGTTGCAATTGTAGCATCCGCGTCTACAGGTTTTGAGATAAATAATATTGTTCTTCTCGGAACATCTTGTTGGAAATGTACATTTATGGATTTTCGGCTTCGGAGGCACAGACACCAGTAAGGTTAAAGAATGTGTCATGACGTTGACGAATCAATTTAGATTTCTGCGCAGTTTAAAATTCTGATTTACGAAAACGTTGCATGCAAATCAAGTTTCACCACATGTGAATGTATACATAAATAAGGACACAAGGGGTTCAAAAAGTAGTAATGTTTATTGTTTCTTCGGATTTTTGGAAAGGGAATTATCTGTCAAAGATCCCATACATGAATTAAAAAACTACGAAGGAGTGTACATTTTGTGCGTTACATAATTCATTATAAAAGCGGCATTTTGACATTTCGACCCCAAAACTGAAAAATAAATCATACCCTGAGTAAAAACAGATCTCGGAATGTATCTCTCCACGCTAACTTTTGAACTTTATCAGCGGAACAAAGCCAGTCTTTTCTTCCCGTCGAGTGTTCAGGGCTAGAAACTCTAGTGGCTCTTTGATAGCACAACAAAGACCACCCTGGCAACGGACTGGCCCCGATATCGACGGTGAACAAAGCGGGCTGTTGACCACGGTGTCTCCCGCTAACAGGCCGGCAAACAGGAGATGGGTAATTTATCTTTAAACCTGGGGAGTCTTGTCGACGGCCTTTAGAAACTGTGCCAGATAAAACTTTGTATTTGGGTTTGAAACCAGGTTATGCCCTACTGTAGGTGTTGCTTTGCGTCAGTATACTGTGCAAGTACAGTATAATTATGCTTCGCTAGAGTTGATGTCTGGGGTAATTGTGGGCGAACCGGGGGGGGGCGTTTTTAAGGGAGATGAACATCACTTGGGCAGTAGGCAGAAATTTATTTTCTCAATCTGGCAGTGGTTGTAGCAGGAAACCATGAACTCAATACATCAAAGGAGGTGCAGTGGTGAAAAGAAACCATGAATGACATAAAATGAACCAATGACAATGCCAAATGACCGCCTTGGAATCCGAACTTGCCTGTAAAGTGCACGTATGTTCATAAATTTCTCGAGCAAACAATTTATATTGCAGTCCTATTCATTAATTATTGATGGTAGGGACGGACTACAAACGAGTCTAACTCTGTTAATTTGACCTTTCAAGCCCAAGATGAAAAAGGGATCGTGTTAGTCGATAACACCAAAAAGGGACCCTGCCAGTCGCCTGGATTCCACCATTTCAGCCGGTAGAAAATTTCAGCATCGACACGCTGGCAATTTTTTTTATATTACTGTTTTTCCGCCTGTAAAAATTTGCGATCCGCGATTTTCTGCAGCAAAAAGATGTTTTTTTCCACTGGTACTGTTCAACTTCCACCGACAGACGCTTGTGTCAAGGATGCTTTTGGAAATACGTATCCATGGCAACTCACCAAGGCGATTTGGACGGTCACATGGTGCCATGAGTAATCTTGACGGTGACTGATGATGACGATCTTGATTTGGGGAAATGTTGTAGTGACGGTTGCTGTCATAACTTCGGGTGCAAATGAAAAAAAACGACCACGGCTTCACGTTGCTGGCGTCGTGGCATGGACTAAATCTGATGGAGCTGTGAAAGCAAACCAGGTTGGTTTTTCACTCCTGCTTTGGATTAGAAAACAAATAAATACGCAGGATTGCCACGAGCACGGAAAGTTGGAATGCGGACATTCTGGTCGACATCCTTATTCCACGCTCCGTTGGTAGAACAAAAATAGAATTCCATGTTTAATCGCGGCAGTGATCTGTTCATTACGGAGCCAATCTATGAAGCAAAGTTCTATGAGCTCTCTTCCATTAGAAATGGACATATAATCGCACAGGCTGCTCAAATATGACTTTGTACTTAACGCGGTACCGCGGGTAACCGACGCACCTCAGAGAGCGGCGATACGTGACGGTTCGGACCGGGTGCATTTTGGAAGTGAGATGCAGTTCACGCTGGTGCCGGGAAATATCTGATGGAGAATTCCAAAACTAGAATAGCGGGTTCAGACGATTCCACGAGATTAGAAGCAAGATTGAAATTACTTCTGCGATTTATTAAAAAATATGTATGTCGTGGACGAGTCTTAGAAAACGCCGGGACTTCAGTACCAGCTAATGCATCGTGTTTGACGCTGACAGAAACTCGAGTTCTGCGTGTTTAGTCTACTGGAGTGAGTTTTATTATTGTGGTTGGCATGACAAACGATGCCGATCTCCTGAGCAGCTTTGAAACTGTTATCAAAGCGGATCCAATGAACATACTTTTATAAACCAAGAACAAAACATACCAGAAAGTATGTACGAAGTAAAAATCACAGAGATGGTAGCTAGCCATATGAGATTACCGATTTTGGAAGACACTTAGACTGACCGACAAAACAAAACTCAAATATTCCCTCCAAACGTACAAGAAGGGCAGAAAGTTTTGAGACAACCAACGTTGAAATAATGGAAGGACCTTTACGGTTCACGACGGCCATGGGGGACGGCCGACCCAAGGCGGTGAAGGACCCCTCGGCCCCTTCTGCGCCGGAGGAAGACGCCAACAGGGCACGGCTCCCCGCCGGAGGATACTACGATGACAGCGAGGCCAAGCTGGCCAATCGCTACGAAGACCGGCGGTTGGCCATGGCCATACAGGGGATCAGCCTAGAGCGGTGCCGTACAGTGGCAGAGATCGAACACGGCAAGAAAACGGTGAGTTTTGTTGGGAGATTTTGGTTTGTCTGCAGGACACTAAGAATCCCTAAAAAATACTGGATAAAAGTAAACTGAGTTTTGAAGCGCGTGCGTCTTTTTGAAAACGATTTTGGGTTAGCAATAATTGAAAAAATAAATTGCATGGCATCTTTCAAATTGCTCCAAATACAAAGCCAGTAGATCGTTTCAGACGATGGTTTTACTATTCCCGACACTGCACATAAACATTGTGCCACTAAACAAAGTCTAAACCCTTCCATTTGTCCTAACAGGTGCGCAAAGGCTTCCACAAGATCCTTTCACAGCAGCAATTACTGGATGTTGCCCGGGCAGATAACGTCGTTGGGTCCCGGCATCCACCGCCCAGCGACACACCGCGCTCGCCCCGTCCGCCAGCCTACCGCCGCCCGCTCAGCAGCAAGAACGCTCGCGTAAGTCCCCAGACTCAACTTCAGTCATTTATTTTTTCCCCTTAAAGAGGCCCTCTTACATCAAGTTTACAGTTGCCTCCTCTAATTTCCAGCCAGGTGCTGAAATTCTCCTCGCACCCATGCATTTGAAAATGGGTCATTTACAGGAACGCATAATTTCAACTCAATTTAACTTCTGGGGAAAGTTTTAACATGCTTTCAACGCTTGAATCAAAAGATTTTGGATGTATGACTGAAACTGCTTTCACAGGATGACGCTGAAAATGCTACCTTTCACTTTCAAACAGTAAATTTTAAAATGAACAACTCTGCTTATGCGAGTGTCCGTGTGGCATTTAAAGAGGCCGGAGGTTCTTATACCACTTCAATCAGTGTTCTTTGTTACACCGAAAAATTTACATTTAAATGAGTTTTCCATTGTCTTCTATTTGACCAAGTTAATTTTGTTGTCATTCTGGCAGGCTTCCTCAACATCAAGACAATATCTTCATCGTAGCCCCTCATCGCCAAATTTCAACCCCAACTCCTTAGATGCTAAGAGCACTGGAAGGAAGTCGGATCCTGGACCCCTGAGGAGGCTGTCGCCTCATGAGCCAGAACAGAAGATGAGAACTTGTGAGGGGTTCCGTGCCTCACGACCCTTGACCTCGGGTGGTAGGAGAACAGTTGGTGTCCTGCGTGGGAATGACGGTGGAAGAAGGGAGGAGGGATTTGGAAGGGGAGCAGGACCTACATCCAAGCCCCACAAACCAGGGGACGGTCGCAGCAGGGCCAGGACAGCTCTTGGGTTCAGGCAGAGATGCCGGAACCAGCACAAACTGGTTCCACCTGGTTCCAACCAGATCCAGCCCAAACCGGTTCGGCCCAACCACATCCAGCACCTACCGACTCAGACCAGTTCAGCGCAGACGAGTGCCAGCGAAGATGACTCTAACACCGATGATGATACTGATGATGAGGTGGTTAAAAGGGAACCGAGACAGCGTTCCACGAGTGCTTTTGGGGCTGACCAAGTACACCTCATGCCCTCGTCGGATGAAGAACCGGACCTACTTGCCGGGCAGGGGGTGATGCCACGGCAGCGAAGCAACTCCATCCACAACCGGCCCCACTCCACGGCGACGAGTCGGTCACGACGGGAGCTCAGCCGGCTCACGCACATCGACGCCATCACAGCCGCTGAAATGGCCCTCCGGAGGAAAATGTGGCTGGCGAAAAAGGAGTCCCAGAACCACTTTGGGGATGTGGCCCTCCAACAGAAGGTCCAGGAGTTCATCACCAAGTTGGACGGCGACAAAAAGAAGGCAACACAGCAGCTGATGACATTTCCAAACACGGATCAGACAAAGGAAGAGCACTTCGTATTGCCAGCATTGTGACAAACTCCGCTCCTCTCCCATCTCCTCAACTCATTCTTTGGATTAGATTCAGTTGTAATCGACCTCACACGACCTACTCTTGGCAAAACAAGCTTAACCCAACTTGAAAAAGGGAGAGTCTGATGCCAGACAGAAAGAAGAAGAGGGAAGCAGCATTACAAGAACTACATATCTTGTTCACTGAAGGAAGACGCCGAGAAATTTGGAGAATCTTGGGCCCGAGTGCCCAAAGCGCGGATACGTCGGAAATTACAGGCTCCAATTCCCCATCACTAAAATTTTCGTTGTTCATGCATTTCTTTATATAAGGCTTGTCTTTTGGCTGTCAGAAATGAAGAATAAGGAATGTGTTCGTCAGATTTCATACATTGCTTAGGTTATTTTCTGTCAAATGAATCAGAGAATCGCTTTTATTTGACCTTTTGACATAACTGGTATAGTTCATTTGTATTTGAGTCGCCAGTAGCATTTTCATCAGAACTTATGTACCTGTTCTTAAATCTGCAGTGTGCATGACTGCATTAAAAATGAGAAATGGTTAAGAAGTGTTTGAATAAATGCAAATTTAACAGAAACAAGTCATTTTGAAGATTGTTTATTTGTTAATTTTTGAAAGCAGAGGCACTAAGAATGTACTAGCCACCTTAGGGACTGTTACTAATCTTTAGGCTTAGAGATAGGAAACAGCTAAAACAGAGAATTTCTCTAGGGCTTGTTAAATTTCCCCCATATTATTCAAATTCAAAATATTCATTGCGAATGTCCTGTCAAAGGTTACAAAGTGTTTTGTGTGTGTTTATATAAAGCTAACGATTTTCGTGCAATTTGAGAATAAATTTCTACTGCTTATAAATATGCCCAGTCATTCAACATGAAGTTGGAAGTTAACACCTCCTGTGATTTTTTAAAGTATTTAACTGAGGTCGATTTCCAGGGTTTTATTATTAATGAATCATCTATAATCATAAGACAATGAATATTCATAGGATAATGATATTACCAGTCAATGTACATGTACAATAACATCACATGCTGTATTCGGCTGGTAACCAGCCAAATGCTAATTTCCGAAGTTTCACAATTTTTCCTGCAAGATATATCTAGTGAGCCAGAAAAACAGACTGGTCACTTCAGCTTTTCAGCATATCAATGTTACGATAACTGTCAAGATCTCATGGTACCAGACAAAGGATAACAACAGTCTTCAATTAATCGCCCACTTTAATCCCCGCCCCTTCCCATCTCCCGCCCCCTTCCCCTGAATGCTACCTGTAGTTGTAATCTATCATCCCAGGAATCCGGAGGCAAATATTGTAGTAGGCTTGGCAAAGGAGGTTGAACTCCTCCATTGTTAAAGTCATGGGCCGTCTCATTGGGTCAATCGCCGTCTTCCAGAAAATCTCTTCTGTCAGGTCAGGCCTCTCCAAAGGAAAGAGACTTCTGAAAATGGGCAAAACAGAAACATCTGAAATTAACCCTAACCCTCCTCAGTCCTCCAACAGGTGAAGGATTGAGGAGGGTTAGGGTTAAAGATTCCAATTCCATCCATACTGACCCTCTGAAAAAGAAAACTTGAATCGGGACCCAAAGTAAAACACGAAAACATCATTTTATCCACAGCGCTCAACTCTTGACTGAACTCTTTGACCCAAAAACTGAGTTTTGAGCTCACAACTTCCAACTTACATCTTTGACTGCAGACAAGAAACTAAGTCTCAAACCAACACCAACTAACCTTTGAACTTAAGATTGGCGAACCCAAAGTACTCGCAAGCAACATCTAAACACTCACTCAATTCCTCGTCTGCAGTACTTTCTTCTGAAATGGAAGACTGAACGGACCAATTTCTCGACCAGCTTGAACGGCAGGTCGATGAGCGGCTCCTCCAAGGGCGTAAAGTGGACCACGCCCACATCCACCTGCAAATCAGACAAAATATAATATACTTGTTCTCTCAAAGTTTTCTTGAAATGCGCGAGCAGTGACAATTGAGAAGTTAAATTGGAAGGGGATTCCAGGTTGAGACAAGTCTTTTTGAGGGACACTTACGTCTGGTTTGGGTACAAAAGCCGTGCCGGGTATGGTGAAGCAGTGCTTGACTTTACACAGATGCTGAGCCATGATGGAAAGACGGCTCCGCTGGAGGTCTTTCACAGGTGCGACCAACCTCTGCGAAAATTCACAAAAATCAAAACAAAAACAATAAAACTTTGAAAATCACAGGGTATTGGCAGTACAACGGAGAGTCTGAACGACGATTTGGCAAACTGGAAACCTTGGACGTCACATATGCTTCAGTGTGCTTGTAAGACAATGCTATTTTTAAAAAATACTTTTTCAGTTTTTGTATGCCTTTGTAAAAGTGAAATGCGGACTAAAAAGTTTGTCCATTATTTTAAGAGTGTTGGTCTTTGTTCTCAGACCCTGTTACTTTGCAAAGGTCCCTCAGAGGATACCTCAGCGACTTCCTTCTGAAAGGTCAGCAGCATACGGGTCCGACCAAAGACAAAAGGCCCTCTGCGATTGGACAGAGCTTCCAGCCAGCGGATTATCAGCGGCGTTGACACGTTGAATGGGAGATTACCAATGATGTGGAAATTAGGAGGATCTGAAATAGCCAAGAATAGAGTAAAAAATGATGTTGATCCACAAGGAAAAAAAAACAAACATGATCAATTTAGGTGACAGAATCTATGGGCCACAGGCATCAATAACGTCTGGTTGTCAACAATCCAATACATTTCTCTAATAAACGTATGCCTTAAAACCCATACAGAATTCCCCATCTTTGATGAAGTCTTTGAAAAAGGAAATGTAACCTCAAATGGGTTTGCCTGTCTCCAATATGATTTCATTATCAGCCTCTAGAGGGCAGCATACAAGGTACTAGGAATGGTGGTAATAAACCTTCATGCCACGCTTTCTTCAAGTTTTCAGGAAAGACCTCCTCCATGTTGAATTTTAAGATATCCCCATGGATGACCTTTAACCTTTCCTCTGCTGCCTCAGAAAGCATCTACAGGGAAAAAATTGAAATTACAAATATCAAAAAAGGTCAGTACTCAGGCAAAATACTATCATTACTAATATATTCATTATGTGCCTATGTTCAAAAGCATTCGTCTCGAGCAGAGACTGGGGATGAATTTCATTGAGCTGACAGGTAGAGAAATTTGCTAAGCACGGGAAATGTTTCCTTAGCAGGAACAGATTACCAGCCGAAGTACCATGCAAAGTGTGTTACTTGAGACTGGTTCCCTGCTGATTTTTGCTTGTGCAAAAATTCTGTTAAGCAATTTTTCCATGACTTTAGGCCAAGATGTGTGCACGTTCCGCTGAAAGTTAGATCTAAAACCGGAAGGATGCATGTGCAAGAAACACCGGAAACTTGCAGTGAGTTCCTTGGCTCCCCTGAGTAATTCGCACCATGAGTCCCTAGCTACTCACTTCAAGACTCGGGAGGAAGCGACGATCTTTCTCCACAACCGTCAGGCTGGCAGCACCTTGGTTGAGTATGGACCTTGTGATGCCCCCAGGGCCTGGTCCCACTTCACACACATGGGCACCAGCCAGCTTGCCTGCTTGCCGAACAATTTTATCTGTAACAAAAGGATATTTGTAATTGTCAACTGATGAAAATGATATGGTGTTTCAGTCAAGGGTCAATGCCAAGCACCCCACTGCAAAGAAACGATGGAAAAGTGTCATATGTGGACAACACTAATTTTCCCTTAAAATGTTATATTACAGCCAAAAGAAAAATATAACATGCCCTGAAAAAGTGAAGAAAAGAAAATTCCCAAGCATTTATTTAGAAAACCCTTGGGATTTTTCAGACAAGTCTCATAGGTTTGTGCACAGCGGCATCAACTTATGATCAAGTGTTATCTGTATATGGAACTCTTTCTGAGACAATTTCAAATGCAAATCATGCCAAATGGAAGTTATGTTTTGTGAAGTTGGCTTTCACACTGAATGTGAAATAAATTTCATAAATATTCAAATAAAAAAATGTTTGCTGATCATGTAAAACATGAAAAACTAACTCATGTAAAACTAACACTCAGCTAGCCCCACTAGTGTGACACGGACTCTCACTCCCGATCCATCCTAAGGATGGATTGGGAGTGAGTGTCCGTGCCACACTAGTGGGGCTAACTCTGCAGCAATCAGTCCAGAGATACAGGACAAACCACAGCAGGGATATTGTACACCAAATATTTAACAAGCAGCAGCCATACAGTGCATTCTTTGGCACGTAGGCCCCTACCCGTCAAGTTCATGCCCAACAGGAAATTCTGAGACAGCTGCCGCTCCGCCCTCAGTCCGTACAGGCGAATGATGTCGCGAATCGTTGGAAGGGGTGGTAAGCGAAGATTGGCCATGCTTTCATCCGCCTCGAAACGACCCCTTCCCCTTTACAAAGCTATCATCAGATACAACGACAGAATTCTTTCAGCTTTCTTCGTGAAGTTAAAATATTGTTTGTAACACTGGGCTGTAACGAATACTAAAAAAGTTGCTGCAAAAATAGTCACAAAAATGTCAAAACACCCACAACGCACAACTACTACCCACATGGTTTTGTTGTTATGACCTCTAACCTCAACTACCTAGCTAACCTAAAATTATTCTATTAAAAGACTGGAGAGACATATAACTCAACTGGAACAGAAATTTTATTTCTAAAGTATAATTAAGGATAAGCTTTTTGTAGATTTATTAATATAAATAATACAAAGGGGTTTTAATCTAAAGAAAAATAAGAAGCTTGAAAGGTCTCAGTCAGGGTTACCAGCAACGCCAATATTGGCGGTATGATTGCTTGGTTACTAGGCACGCCGCTGGGATACCAGACCAACCCAAGTTATTTTGACGGATTGAGGGAGTGAGGTAAATTTTTTCGGGTTCTCAATAAATTTGATCAAGGAAAATAAGATAATCCACAATCAGAATCATTTTCATCACACGTAACACCAATTCTGTAGCTTTTATAACTTTTCGCATAAAAATGTACTTCACTGGTGTATGATACAAAAAAGAGAGTTCAAATTGGAAGTGATGACCACGCTGATACATCGTTTTACATGTAACTCGGCTCGCTCTGGGCTCGTCAAGCGAAATGGCTGCATCACGTTGACATTGCTGCGTGTGTCCACCCTGGCTGGGTCTTGTGTGCCGTTTTGTTACACACATAGTATACTGGACACATGCTGGTCGTGCTAGAGGAGTAGGGCTAAATGGAGAGGTGTTTTACTGAGAAATTTATTTGATATTGATTACTCTGTCAGTGATAGGCCTAAAAGGCCTAGGCCTATCATGATTTTACTTTTGAAATCTTGGAACCATTTTGTGAACAAGGAGCAATTGCAGAATACTCTGCATGTCTGCCACTCTAAAAAAATGCCCCCTGGAATGACTGGTTATGTGGGTACAAGGTGGAAATCCCTTGAGAAGAGTGTGACACTTTCACCTGTACCTGGCTATGAGGTTGATCTTGTGGGATGCCCAAATGAACCTTAGACCATGAGACAGGCTTGCAACTTTTCCTCAGATCAGCTGATTTCCTCATTTTTCACTTCACATTGGTCCCATAAGGAATTGAAAAACACTGTACAAAATGTTGGAAATATTGGAGCTTCCTCGTTTTTTGTTTTGTCTAAGTTGCTTACCTGATGAGAATGAACATCCCAGTTTTCCGCCCACCGCCGCATACTGCTGAAACAGCTGCCAAAAATGTCATTATTTTCCTAAAAGTCATTGTTTCAGGAAAATCGATATTTTTCCCATTGGGAATGGTTAAAAAATGGCTGTAAAGTAAATTAGGAGTTCGTAGTGTGCCTGCCTACAAATGGTATGATGCAAGACGGACTGAGAGCTAGTCTACTTACATGTATTTATTTCAAGGTTGCTTCCCTTTGCATGGACGTGTACTCGCTATTGATGTGTGGTATGTACACCGACTTGTACTACTCAACAATGGCGATGCGCTCCAACTAATAAGGAAAAAAAGCCTCATGGGTTTTCAGAATTGTCCGGATGGAAATCCAGGATGTCCATTCTCATGGCCTTAGTGGAAATTTAGGCCTAGGCCTATCATGGGCTTTGGTTAGCTGATTATTCATTGCATTTAGCAGTGTTACTTATTGTAAAGGTCAAGTTCCTCAATTAATCTCTCTTCTTTATTCTTGTATTAAGGAATCGGAAGCCAAGGCTACCTGAGTTTGAAACTTCAGGCCAGCACAGAGTTCGTTAAGTAGTGGTGCCTTTCAACGCAGCACATCAGCAGCAAAACTATCACTGCTTACTCTGCCAATCTGAAGGACGACATGCACTTAGCTGACCAACTCTAGAGCACTACGACTTACGTCTTTATCCAACATACACTCAGAAAGAGACGCATCAACAAATAGGCTTATGAAATTTCTCACCTGCGTTATGACATTGTTCCTGTGTGGGTATTTCTGTTTATAAATCAACTCAGCTGATTCAGCAAGAATGAAAAGTTTGCTGAATTTTTGACCACACAGCTCACTGCAGCATGCTGCCTGGTAATTGACCAACTTCAGTTCTGTGGATACTGGAATTGATCGGCACCCGACTACGTTCAGTCCCGTGTGAATGAACGTCAAATACCTGACGACCCTTAGCTGAGCAGTTCCAAACTTTATTAAATCACCTTTTCATCAGCAACAGATTCTGCAGACATTGTCATCTGACTTGATCGCCTGTGGCTGACAAGAAAGCAATGGGGATCGTTGATTTCTTCAGCAAGATCTTTGGTAACAGTGGCAGGAAGGCCCAGGTGCTGTGCGTGGGACTCGACAACAGTGGCAAGAGCACAATTATCAATGAACTCAAACCCAAGGACGTGAGTACAGTGGTCTGTCCTCAGCACCCCAGAGCTAGAAGGGGACTGGCTGATAACCCATCGCTGTCATAGTTATCCAAAATCTTATGTATTTAATTTGTAAAATTGGAGGATTTAAGAGTTGACTTGATTTAGAACCTCATCCCAAAAATGAAATAAGTCACTAGAGACGGTTACCGAAACTTCAAAATATTTTTAATTTTGGGATCAGGTCTCAACAAAAGTCAAGGCTTTGGTCGATATCATTTTGTTCTCTTCCCTGTAGACTCAAGCAGAGGATATCGTACCCACGATTGGTTTCACGGTGGAGAAGTTCAAGTCCACGTCTGTCAACTTCACCGTGTTTGACATGTCGGGCCAAGGCAGATACAGGAACTTGTGGGAACACTACTACCGGTCAGTTGCATTTTGGGGGTTCAACTCCAAGATTTAGGGTCTTTGACTGCTTTGTATGGTAGCATTTGAAGAGACTATGTGTCTTGTCACACATGCATAGGTCATGCCTTCCTCTATCAAAGTTCATATTGAAAGGACTGTTTGTCTGTGTTGGTGCTTGAAATTGGACTCTGTTCCTGAGCAAAAGAGGGCGCTCTCCACCTTATTGAGGAGAGAGAGAAATGGGCCTGTTCCTGGTCACTCAGTTCTAGGCCGTGTCCGAAACGGGCTTCCAGAGCTACGGCTAGGTCTATTGTCTACGCGTCTCCACGCATTTCCAATGGAGCAGAGACCTAGCTCTAGACAAGATTGGGATGCAGCCCCATAGACTGTAGACAAAGAGGGCGGGAAATAGTCTACAAGTGAAACTTTCACTGGTTTACATACATAACTATCGCTCAGGAAGAGTCACTGCATACCAGGGAAATGCCTCGCATTGACTGTAAGCCCTTGTTGGAATCATCAGGCTTTGGCTGGGATAAATACCAGAATACACGTCTATAGGAAATGGCCACAGCCAATTTTGGACACGCCCCGATGTTTCACATTAATTTTTCGTTGAAGGGGTTCCTTTGAATGAAGGTCTCAGTCAACACTGTGTTTAATTTTTGACAATTTTTGCTTTGGTCAATTTCAGTGAAGCCCAGGGCATCATCTTTGTGCTGGACAGCAGTGACAAATTCCGCATGGTGGTGGCCAAGGAAGAGTTGGACATGCTGTTGAAGCATAAAGGTAACGTAAGGTAGCGTTGTAACGGCTGCGGCTAGGCATAGCATGCGTGACTATGCGAGGCACCGGCTAGCGGCTGAAGCCTTTTCCCACAGATGTGTGTATCGCAAGTCACAGCCCGTTAATATGGACATGGCCGAATTCTCTGCCTCCGATCACACTCTCGGTATGGTTTGAGACCAGCTGTTTCCTTCCTGACTTTGGGCATTATTCAGTTATAGCACGCACAGATTCCAGGAACCTTATGTAACGGAAAGCTCAGGAAATCTATTCTATGACTCTCGCATGCATCCCGCAAAGTGCCCTTAACTGTATGCTGCACGTAGCCGACAGATTTCATTTGTCAACTCAGTATCATTGCAGGTTTGAGCAAAATACCAAAATGAATAGGGGCGCATGGCTCAGTAACCATTTATTGAAATATTTGGCACAATTGCTACAACAAATTTTGAGTATGCGTACTGTCAAAATTCACCAGCGGGAGGCGTGATCGTAATTTTTTTAATCCCTTCACCCCCCCTCCCAATTTTCTCAGACATAGCCACGAGGTGCATCCCCATCCTCTTTTTCGCCAACAAGATGGACCTGAGGGACGCCCTGTCCTCCGTCCAGTGCTCCAAGGGGCTTGAGCTGGAACGCATCAAGGACAAGCCTTGGCATATATGCGCCAGTAACGCCCTGACAGGAGAGGGGCTTCATGAAGGCATTGAGTGGCTCACAGGTGAGAAAAAAAAATGTCAACTCAGGATTTTTGATATTCAAATGAGATTAATGTACTGATTTGTTTGAGTGGCTCACAGGGGAGAAAAAAAAAAGAAAGGTTAGGATCTTCTGTATTCGACTGAGATTAACCATGTTAACTTATCAATGTTTTTTAGTGGCTCACACAACAGGTTGGAAAAAGAGAGAAGTTTAATTTGTTTGTTTAATCTGAATCAGAATATGTATTGATATGTTCCTTTCTTGTTAAAGTGCTTCTCATTTTCAACTTGAAGAAGTTTCCCCCTCAAGAGAATGATTTTGTTAGCTGTATACTATGTGGTCATCGCCTTCCAAGAGTCTTTAGAAAGACCTGTAGTTTTACTCAGGTGGGATTAGAACCCACAACCTCCTGATTATCAGTGCAGACACCAGTAACCACCCTGCCAACAAGCTGCTTTCAAGAGCTTTGAAGGGTGTAGACTTGCTTGTAGGGATTAGCATTGCATTAATTGAATTGTAGTATTTTGTTTTCAATCGTGTTTCTTTTCCAGATAAACTGAGACGGTGATAAGGGGAAGAAACAACAGACGCGGTGGTAAACAGAGTGAGGAATAGAGGGGAGTATCTCAAAATCTCAGCTGTTTCGCTGGGAGTATATTTTTGCTCTGAACAGGAACAAACACTCTACTCTGTAGAAAGTTCACTGCTTGGAAGTGCTGGGTCTCCTTCATGGGCACCTAACTGGGATCTGTCTGCTTCAACAGGACATATGCTTGGAATAGGGCTCCGTCAGAGTTACTATGTTGTGGCTGAACAATAACATGTTAAACATGAGAGCCTGTTGAGAACGGAGTTAGCCGCTAGCTGGTAGTCTCCATAGGCGACTGTGTTATTTACCAGTCACGGCTAGGCAACTCGGACGCAGCCTTTTGCTTTTTTTAACCGGGATCCCAGAGGGCAGTCAGTTAAAACAAGAATGCCATTGATTTCAAACACTCTGTAACCTCTTGCTGCTGGGGGACCCGTTTTCGAGCACATAGGCTTTATACACGGAGCCAAGGAACCCAAAACAGGACAAAGGGAACTGGGCCTTATAACAAAAGACAGTACTCAGAACAAAAGACCAGGCTGCTGGGTATTACCAACATTTTTTCACTCTCAGTAGTGGAGATAATCCAGCCTTGTTTTGAAACAGTATACCACAGTTTGGGGCATTTAGAGCGAGCGGATTACCACCGGGGACAAAAGTGTTCCCCCACTGCAGCGATGAGCCACACAGTACCGCTGCACGCTAATCTGGCCCCTAGTGAAAAGAGGTCAGCAGCGCACTGTGCCAGGTTCATAAACAAAAGAAAGTTACATAACACTGCACAATCTGGGCTCTTTTTACAAGGCTGCAGGCCTGGCTGAAATACTCAGGCGTCAGTAGATTTTGTCTGTCAGGCTAGATTGGCCACCAGACAGTAATTCATGTGGGTGTTTATCCATTAATTGATAATGATGAATTTATGAAGAATTTTGAAAACTGAAAATCTTGGTGAAGTCCCGATTATGTGCACTGCATTTTTCAAACCTACCAGCAGCAAGTGGTTAAAGTAAAAAGGACCACAAATGCAGCATTATTCAATTGTAACATTTCATTTTCTTCAAAGTTCATTTTTTTCACTCACATTTGCTTCACTGATTCATTTTTTCTGAAGACACAAAACACTATCGGACTCCAGGTTGGTTTTCCGGTTTGGTTTTTGTAACAAACGGGATGCCAATTTTTGTCATGGCATCAGCTTCAAGAATGAAATTTCATTTCAGTGAGACAAGTTGCTGAAGGTCTACTGTCTTTGTACACAGTTAATGATTTGCAGGGTCTGTGAAAGGCCCAAATTTACCTTCTTATTGACCTACTTTGTATTAAGGAAATGTTCCCTGGTCAGTCTGTTTGCGTGCCTAGTTTATTGGCTGAGAATTCAGAACATTGGTATGTTTTTCCTTCGGCTTAAAAATGCATTTGTAGCCTGCTCTAAACAAAAACAGTAGACATTGCTAGCCAACCAAATCAAAACAGCAGGCTGATGTTGTAAGTCAGTTGGTTTTTTATTTCAGATGCTAGTCAAACTCTGAATTACAGGTTTAGCCTCCTGTAACGTTGATCCTGTTGTATACACAAAAAACTTGTTATTTATCAATGAAACAATTTATGCAAACCATGCACATCTACTTAGTCAAACCTTCGACTTAGTGCAGATGAGTGGATAAAAATCACATGTGATTGAAATTGAATTAGTCTTGTATCGCAAAAAGAGAAGTTTTTTGATGTTTCACCAAGTGCCACACTGTACATGTACATTTTGCATCATTTCTCTGTTACCAGCACATTTCAGTACAGTAGCCAAAATGCAAAACTGCAATACGGGCGATTCACAATAGTGCGCCACCAACAGTTTGCAACACGTTGGCCAATCATAACGCACGAAATTTGTCAACCCTTTCCAAACGCGCATTGGGTTGACAAATTTCGCGCATTGGGATTGGTCAACGCATTGCAAACTCTTGGTGGCGCACTATTGTGAAACGGCCGTGTTGCATAGAATGTAATTTCACAGTTATTGAGAAAGCACGTAGTAAATAAGTAATGTATATTGTGAGAAAGGGAAACAGATAGTTGGAAAAAATTAGAATCTTGCATGAAAAGATGTCTTTCTAGATCCTGTTGTTTATGAGGGTGTAATTTTAAAGGGATTTCTACGACGGATGGGGACCAGTTTGAATGGTTCATAATTATTCGGCATTATTTGTCTACCCTTTTTTTCCCCCGTTTTTGTTCACATCACTTAGAAGTAACAGATTTTAAGAGGAAAGGTTTGGAGAGCTAACAGGTTTTGCTTTACAAAAATCTGTTCAACGTAAAGTTCCGAAATGCATATGAAGTGGAAAAAGTTACTGAAATTGAAGTGCAGTTTAAATTTCATGTCAGAAAAACAGTATACCTTGAATGATGTTGCAGTTTCCCTGAAGGGGAACAGGCAGAACTTTGTTTTGCATTTTTTTTCTCTACATATGTACCAAATTATTTGTATGCAGTAATATATTCTGCTCATTTTTCTGAAACTGTTTAAGATTTCTTTCACTGATCGGTTCTCTCTGTTAAGATTCCAAAAACTGTGTGGGATTAATTAATCAAGATTTATCACAGTAACTCAGTACTTGTAAAACTGTTGTAAATAAACTGATTGTGAAGTGATACATATTTGAATATTGGCCACAACAATATAATTATTGTGTTTTGATATTTTTTCCCCTGATCATTTTTTTAATTCATTTTCTCAAACTTGCAAATACGCATGACAATCTTGATTGGAATAAACAGAATTATTTTTGAAAAACAAATTATGGAAAGCCCTTTGATCATCTTGGTTATGTAAGATCTTGTATGCAAGATCTTTTCTTACTTTCTTGGATCACCACGCGGAGTTGGACTTATCGCCATTAACTATATATAGCGCCCTCTACGGGCTTTTTGGGCAAGTTTTATGCCGGCAGGAAGTTGTACTGTACGGTGGTATTGAAATCTTAGGTTGACAAAGAGAAACAATGGCTTTGATGTTTTTTTTCGAATAGAAAAAAATTGTATCAAAAATATTGCACAGATATAAAGCTAAGTTGAATGGTAGGGCTGATTATCGACAAAATGAAGCGAACTTCTGCCAAACTTTTTCTTTACAAAACTGATATGTAGGTTATGTCGCATTGAAACAACCATCAAATTTCAACACAACTTTGAATTAGCATCTCACATCTGGACTACTTTTTGTCTAGAAATTGGAATAAATATACTTAGTTTTGAAATTACATGTTCAAACCAAAATTATTATTTCGGTCTACTAAAATAAAATTTACGTCAGGCCCTCTCTACTTCAGTAATGTTAAATTCAAATTTTTCCTCTCTCTTCCTCTCCAGTAGTTTACAGCTGTTTATAATTTGTAACGCTTGGTTGAAAAGGTTTATTTAGTCATTTTAGTGCATGACTCATCTTTGTGTTTGATGAAGTAGTTCCATATCCGTTAAGCGGTGTAGCATAGTGCCAATAAAACAATTGTCTCCTAGAAATTACTGTATATCCGATTTTGGGTGTGGCTACTATGTCTTGATCAACAGACTGAATAATATTCACTCAGGCCTTGCTCATACGAGTGAATAATTGAGCTGAGCATTCATTGAGCTTTTGTTTCCCTTGAGGAGACAACAGGTGTGTGTTTACGTTTTCACACAGATCAATCATTTATGCAGAGTTACCGGTGCGGAAAATAATCACACCAATCGAAAATTTGCTCACAAAGAGGTCGACCTACCACAAAGCTTCTCTTATTAATCGAGGTGGTGAGCGACCAACCACGAAGCTTGTTTCATTGTGTTGGATTGTGTACATTGACTGCAGTTGGGAACCAAGATGGCGGCTGGAATTTACGGAAAGTGTGAGAATGTTTTGACAAAAACGTAATCCTCTGCCGTTATTAATAAGGTGAGTTTGTTACGGTGCTGACAATTACTGAAGAACATTGCTCCGATAAAAATACAGCCAGTGCAGTGGGTTGTTTTTCTGCACTGAAGTGTCATTAACTTCAAACTGGTTTGACTTGACGTACTTGATTGTGTCGCGCGCGCGGTCATGGCTGTCGGTCATCGACGTCGTGTTTTGGCCTGTTACGCTTAGGCCTAGGCCTACGTCCTTATTTAAAATTGCGAGTGAAGAAAGGGGAACTATTGGGCTCCTTTCAAATGGTCCTTTATGTCAGGCTGTGGTCCTGGTTTTGGAAATGAAAATTATAATCATTTTAAATAGAAATATCAATTAACGATGGTCAGTTAGCATGGTTAGGCCTAAGCCTGTTGGTGTTGCAAAAATACCATTAATATGACATGAATCTGGGATACTGACAAACGTTCTTATTTTGTGAGAAATTGTTTTCAACTCTGCATAACCCCAGAAGTTTGTGTCTGACGTCCGTCCCACTGCATGGGAGCAGGGCGGACGTCGGACCCCACAGTTCTGGGGGTAAACATAGTAAACTCTACATAGACTTTGCACCATCAGGGAAGTAGCGTCAGGTTACAGTTTTTTCATTATTTTAACAAGTACCACACCTGTAAGTACAAGGAATGATAATCATTTTAATTGCTCCAGCAAAGTAGGCTTGAGATTATTACTTATTATTTCTTCTCCCTAAGATGGTGGATTTTGGGCAATACCAGAAATTAGGGGTCCATTTTTTTTTTCGTGTCCCTGTCACATCTGACATGTGATTTTGCAAGTTCAGAACACATTTTCCAATTTCCAAGAGTGAAGAATTAATGCAAATTACCTGCCAAACAAATTGTAATAGTTTAAAATCGATTCCGGTGATATTTCCATGTCAAATAACAAAGAACAGATGTAACAGGGACACAGAAATGTCACACGTTTGGACCCTTGATTTCTGGAATTACCGATTGTGATTCCAAGAAAAAAATTGACAGCCTCAACATCTTGGATGAGACAAAAGGCGAAAGAGGACAATTTTTTACAAGGATATTGTTTCCATTTGTAGATGTGGTTAGAAAATAGGTCTCAAGTTTTCAAAGAATGTTTCTCTCAAATCCATTCAGCCACTGCGGTTAGTGGATGATATCTGCAGTGGCGAGCGAGAATGTTCACATGTTCAAGTTGGAGAAGAATACCAGTCTCCAAATTACATAGAACTTGTTGCCTTTTACAAAATGCCATGTATGATTTCTACACAGTGAAGGATTTTGGAGGATTCGGGAGGGTTCCCCCCCCCAAAAAAAAGTAGTTATAATTTGCAGATCTGGCAATGCACATATAGGTACTGGATGTACATGTATGTAGTAATGAGTCAGCATCCTATTGACTTCCATCATGTCGTGCATTGTCAGGCATTTGCCCTGCATCGCAGCTTTTATTGAAAAGTACAATAACTCAACACCCATCACGACTGACTGTTGACCTTCTGAGTCTCCAAGAGAAGTCTGGAACATACCAAAGTGGGGTCCATTGACAAAGCTTTGCACACCCCAGAAGAGGTTGTGCAAATTGATCCAGGAAAACAATCCTTTGTAGATGTCCACTGAGACTGATAAGTATATTTGCATAGGTTTCGTTATCAGTTTGATGGGTATTTTACGTACCTTGCTAGTTACACATCACTGAGTGTACCAAGCCTGTCACAGAAGTTTGGGAACCCCTTTTTTTTCTATTACATTTTCATTCAACTTGCTCAAACTTGGAGGCCAAGAAATTAATTTTAGACAAAAAACAACTTTGACTGAAAACAACTGTGCATCTGAACCTTATGAAATGGAGAACACCACATTTTCCACAGTACACATTCTTTTCTAAGGACGTTTTTGATGTTGTCCAAGCAGTTTTCCGACACCTGAGAATGATTAAATTATGATACCACTTCACGGAAAAACAGGGAAAGCCCAGTAGTATAGTTTTGGCCAAGTACTTCCTAGTATTCAAAGAATTCAAACTTTGCTTTTATCAGAAGAAGTAAAAAAAAAAAAATTCCCCCAAGATCCATTTGACAGTTGTGTAATTGAGCTCATGAAACAAGAACAGAATGTTATTTTTGCCGAACAAGTTACAATGTAAATGTAATGAAAACTTGACAAAGTTACGAATTTACGGTATGTATTTGTTCTCTTGAGAAACATGGGGGTGTATTTCTTGTTTTAGTTTGTGTCAGAATAATCTCTCGGTTTCACAATATTCATTGGTTTCATTCTGAGTGAAGAAAAGGCTTGTAGGAAATATTATGTGGGGCTGATGATTCTGTGCATTACAAGTTCTGATTCTGTCGTCAGTTAAGATGTGTGCATGAGTATTTTGTTTTCTTTAATCCGCGTGCTGGTCATTGATAATAACAGAAGTGATTTATGCGTACAATAACACAATGCAATGATAAAATTATTGGTCTACCGGATACATGACATTCTCGTTGCTGGCATTATAATGTAAATATTTGTACTCACAAAACCAGCAATGAAAAAACAACTGTAACAGCTGGGCAGGATCACTAGGACTGATAAAAAATCAATAATTGCCAATCACTGTTCTGGTTGTGTGATTATTGGAGATTACTTCACTTGCTGTTTGAACCCTGGGAGCTCTCACAGAGCTGGCCTCTACATGCAGCTCTGTATACTGTATGTACATGATATTTATATGTACATGTACATAGTAAACTTGTTGTTCCGGCTCCTGAGTCTTTAGTTTGAGATATGGGCAGAAAACTTCAAGCTTAGATGCCGGAGTCCGAGCAAGCGACCCTATCCCTTGGGATGATGGGTGGGATTTTTTTAAAAGACACCTTCCTCCCCAGGCTTCATGCATTTCTCGACAACCAACCCCTACCTTGTCGAACTACATGTATGCTCCAATTTATTGCCGTTGCCGTCCGCCCTTTACAGCAACCCGATTTTAAACTGACGGCGCCTTGTGCCCCCACGCTCGCAGCGATGCAAATAGCGTATGTGCATGTTTGCATGCAGTGGAGGTGGGGCACTATATAAAATTTGATATCAAAGTTTTCCTGTCTCCATTACATCTGGCGTATAATTCTGTAAGTTCCCAAGAGTAATTGGGTGCAAATTACCTGCCAAACAAATAAAAAGTACATGTAGTTTGGAGTTGATTTCAATGATATACATGTATATATATATATGTATCCCTCGTCAAATTACATAGGGCAGGAGTAAGGGATAGAAAAATGTCACACATTGTCTGACCCCAAATGTACAGAGTGACACCGGGCGTGTCGTACATTGTGTACATTGTTCGTCTACCGGTACGATTGGCGTGGTGGTGTGGCATCAGAATTGTTAGGCAGAGCTGCTCATTTTGGTTTTGTCTGGGACATACATGTATACATGCAAACAGTTAAACTTAAATTTTGTGTCCATTGCATCACCGCTTCCAGATATTTGTTGCTGATTTGATTGGGGCAAATCATAATACATTGCGATGATTGGATGGGGACGAACCAAGGGCTGTTCTAGAAGTTGAGGAGAAAATATCCAATGTGTTAAAGGAAGGAAGAGTGGAACTGTTTGCAGAGTTCAGAATTATTTGCTGACATTGACCCCTGCCAAATGCCTCTGTGTCGGGCTCAGTCCGTTAATTGCTAAACCAGACAGAGAGAGAGACAGGCAAACTTGTCAGATCTTCCCCTCAGGAAGCTGTTCTAAAATAATAGCACATCTTAGAGTTGGTACATTGCATTTGGGCCAGGGTCTGCCGATGAGGTTTGTAGGCCCTTCCATTGTTTTACACATTGCTGGCCCAAGCTGAAAAGTCAGTCTAGTTTAAATGAGACGGAGACATTCGCATTGGATTTTATACGATGCCACTGCTTCCATGTGATAAGAGGTGCATTGAACTAATCGGCCAACGTCCCCCCGCACAGTGACGAGACTTGGTTATTTACAGCTTTTTTGACTTTTGAACAGGTGATGGCCAGGTCTGTAGGATTTACCTGTGGGGAAGGTGAAAGAACCACAAAGATACCGTTATTAACCAAATCCAATTCAACAGACCTCACCTGAGCAATAGCGACTTTTATGTAACTAGACATAGACTACAGACTGTGGTGGTTGAACCCTAATTAAATTGAACACATCCTTGAGGTGTCTGCCCTGTGATAACTTGTCATGCAGAACTTGTTGGTCATTTGGAAGCCCCAGGGACCATTATCTGAGCGTCCCTTTGCTGGGAATGAAGGCCTGGTTTGGTTGACTATAGAGCTAGGACCACTGAGGGTGGACAGAAAGACTTCGGGCTTTTAAGAAAAAAATAAAAGTACTGAAAGTTATTGGTGAGAGAATAACAGTTCATCGTACAAAAAAATGATTTCCCAGTGACTGAGTGGTAGTCAGTACACACTACAGGTTTGCTTGAAATAATTGGCATTTTTTCACAGGTTAATTCGTGATGATTGATCTTAGCAACCTACAATTTGAAATGACTGACTTTGAATAAGTTCTTACATTACATACCCAAGCAATTATATTAACCCTAAGCCCCCAGGGTGTATGTAAAGTCATATTGAAATCAGAGGATTGAGGACTGCTTTAATTACGTAGAAACGTCTTCCTATCCAGCCTTGCTTTCTTCCCTTGGTAATATGACAGATTTTGGCAATAAGAAAATCAAAAGCTGTTGTGGTTTGTAGATCTCAAGTAATTGGGCCCTTGTCAGTCCCGGTGTTTTTAATACCTGTTCATTTGCACTCGTTGCATTATAGTACATGATTTCAGCAGGTATTGAAAAGTTGAATCCTAATAGAATTTAACAAGGAGATTCTGTGCCACGAGGAAGACAAATCCTGAGTGCTACAGCACCTTAAAATAGCCCAGGACTGGAGTTTCAATTGTAAAAGGAAACCAAAAGCCAAATACAGGTATGGCGCATGCTAACAGAACCACATTAAAAAGAGAAAGGGTTTGTTGACATGGTGCTTGGAGCTCAAGACCTTCTCATGCCTCCACTGTAAATTTGTCAGACACATGTAAAATCCACTGCAGAAATTATACATAACACAGGCAATAGAATTGAAGTGAAAGTTGCTAAAACAAGCTCCTAGGATTTGGCCATTGGGTTTATAATTGCTGTGTAGGGTAAAATGTAAATTAATGATAACAAAACAAACCTGAGGGACAGATTGTTGTTACCTTCACTTTCAGCAGGTTTTTTTCCTGGTCTCTGATTTCATGAAAGAGGGCTGAACTGAAAGCATACCTTTAAAAGAGAAAGTTCGTAGATTAGAGGCATTGCTAACTTAATGTATGACCTCATGGTGTAATTAACCAAACACTTGAATATAATGAATATGCATAAGTTTGTATCAGTCATGATTGGTGATTGCGAGTACATTGGTGATAGGAAACAGATTCAGGGCAAAATAAGACGAGTCATCTCCCGAAGGAATAGACCTTCCTTTGACCCCCACCCACTAATTAGCTCATTTGCATGCAATGAATTTGGAATACTTTAACTCCACACTGCTGAAGAACTAGTGTGAAAAAATTAGGGTCAGCCTGTCAGCAATTAATTTGAATATGATGAATATTCACAAAGACATACCTGGTTGTTATTCATTTTCCAGTGTGCGGCCACTGTCAAGATGACCAGGATAACTGACAGTCCATGGCCCCGCAACATGGATATGAGGTAGCCACAGCCAGACTTGCAGTATGTAAACGCAATCAACCGGCAATCAGTTGAGGTAAGTGAACAGACCTGTACAGGTTGCTGCAGTTCACTCACTGAAAGGAATGAGTTCCTCTGAAGACAATCAAGTGCAAAAGGACGGAAATCCGCAGTGTTCTCCACGTCTGCTGCTCCCCTGAAGGGTCACAGCCAAGGGCGAGACCATTTTACCGATGAACTTTTGATCTTCTGAAACAACAACTTCTGAAAAAGTATATTCAGGAGTTTTCTGCCAGTAGATATTTGTCTGCAGTCTTGATACAGCTGGTCAGCCTAAGGCAAGTAGATCTGGGACTGCCTCCTGTGTCAGTGAGTGGAATCTGTTTGTTTTTGGATGTCAGTATTTTACAGTCGCCCTTCCCATGCTTGTTGTCGTTGCTGTGAGTAGACTGGATTTGGTCCTGATATCCGAATATGTAGAATCATCAGTGAATATTTGACCTACCATATGCTTACAAGTGTGATTCATGAACATAACCTGCTGCTTATCACATTTTTCTCAAACTGCAAATAGATGTAGATTGATTGTTTTGGACTAAAAACCACAGAAATTGACATTTCCAATACGGAAATGTGATTTTTAAAAAATTATTTCGTCATTTTAGAAAGACTTCATCTTTAATTTAAGCCTCACAACTTCTCGCAAATACATTTGTATTTTTCTCATTATTACCCAATAGAAAAATACCGTGGGGGGGGGTCACTTACGGATATGTGGGAGGCAGGGGTTACATCTAGAGGTAAATATGTACAAAAATGAACAAAAATTTCACTTCAAATGAATAAAGCAAACCAAAGTTCTTTTTATGTTGATAACAATGCAAACTCACATTTAATCAGTGTTCATCAGTTGCAGAATGAAAGTGAATCTTTATTTACACAAGGAAGCAAATCTTTATAAGTACAAAGTGAAAGAAAAATGGAACCCTGACAAATTTACTCTTGTACCATCCGATTATTCATAGAGCAGGGACAGAATTGATGATGTTATTTTTCTGTGGGTAAGTACACTGTGGTCAGCATCTGTGTGTGGCCTTCCTTCCCCTGAATTTCCTCATCAGTGAAAGACACAGCATTGCTGTGAAAAACTGCTTCGGAACTTTGTAGATAACTCGTTATCAGGTGGAGAGCCGATTGGGCCCAATCAGCAGTTACCGTCAGCAGGTTGATGTGGTTCAGCTGGTTGATTCCTTTTCCCCGTTGAAGATAATTTCGGGGAATGTTATTTTCCCTTTCGTTCTTGCAGTTGCCACTGTTTCGATTGTGTAACTTTCATTGCTGGAAAAAGTTAAGAGTTCAAAGAGAAAGTATGACATTGTGGCTTAGCTTGTCTGTAAATTACCTAAATGCTGCTGTAAGAGAGTTGATTTGCAAATTAAAAAAGAAGCCAGTTGTTGTCACTCATGACATTTTTAAAATACTTGGCGAACGTAATACTCAAATACTTGGCTAGCCTTAAACATGCTGATAATGCCAGCATTGAAGGTGAGGGACCTTATCAGCGTCTATTCTCCTGAGCCAGTTTAAGACTAGCCAAGCACATACCCTTTTTGTAAATACCTTTTGAGTCCAAAAGTTGAAACAACTTTTGAAAATTATAAATTCCCCATAATTTCTACTCAGTTTTCACAAGTCTGAATTACAGCAACATCAGTTATAACTCAAGAGAACTGTCGGTACTTGTCGGTGAAGCGGCGGAGGAAAGTTGCGGATTCTAAAATGACTCATAAGTGACTCGATTAAACTTTAGAAGACAAGACAGACCACCTGGGCAGATTCGTTCTTCTGTCAAACTTGCCTGGATGCCTCTAGATCATGTTTTTCGTCTCTGAGGGCAATTCCCCCCCCCCACATGTACAATCATTGTCACCCTTGCATGCTGCTATCAAAAAACTCTGGTACATGCATTTACCCGTACCTCCTTTTCTGAAAAGCCAGCTTCCTGTCCGGATAACCTAATAACCCATTTGCATCACAATTGCTGGAAAACAGTGTCTGCCGTTCTGCACAATCATTCATCACAATGGATCCTCACAATACGCATCATGTATGTTGTGCTTTCTCCAGTCTTTGAAATGGTGGGGGGAAAAAGTGTTGCCAAAATGCGACATAAGTTCAAGTTTAGAGTGCACTTTCCTGCATTGTCCTATCAGAAAATGTACCATACCCTGGGAAAGATGGACTAACAAACTGACAATAACAATTGTAAATTTACATTATTCCTGTCAGTGACCCGTGACCAGTCAAGCAAGCTCACATGAAACGCATAATTAATTTTAGATAAATAAAGCCTTCAGATATCATTTGTTCAGTGAACCATTTGCAAATGGAGCCCAGAAAATTCTAAGAAACTGCATATTCATGCATCTGAATATGTATGATTCATACTTACCATGCACTAGTAGTTCAGGCATTGAAATGTTATAAAAATACACTTATACCAGAATGTCTATAAAACCTTGGTTATTGTAGGTTCACATGTAGTGAACATATAATTTTATGCATAGCTTTCGTGAAACGAAGCAGGAAGAGGATCAGACAAACATTCTGAGTGCCACTGATAAGCCGAGGAGGAAACAGTTCTCAATTGAATTGTGATTGCATGAACTTGAAGACTTTTTAATATTCCTGACAGTTGGACTGATTTCCCAGAAACAGTGGAGATTTTTTGATCTAAAAAAACAAAAAGCATATTTCTTTTTTAGCAAGATGTTGCAATTTTGTCTTATTTTTCCCGTAGTTCCAACAGTACACGCGTCATTTTCTATCCTTGGCATCAAATCACCCAATAATGAAACCAAAAAAATCTAAATTTGTGCTAAGTTATTACTTACACGAGATAGGACAGCTCTGTTTACATAACTCTTTTTTATCTCCCTGGCTTTTAAAGCTCTTTGCGATTGCGCGAGAAAATCAGAGAAGTTCCTGAGAGAATGGGGTTCAGAAAAAAAGTAGGTTTTAGTTATCGTAACTAACTCGTCATTGAGGTTTGATTGCACAGTACTTCTTGCATTTGGCCCAAAACTTTATTTCTGCAAAATCGGAAGGCAGATCTTCCTTTAAATTATTGGGGGGGGGGCTAATGGAATCCAATATATTTTTCATTCAACCAATACTAAAAGTAATAGCTGCTTCCATCATTCTATTGAGTCAGTGGAGAAATGCAATTAGTCGTTTCGGTTTCTTTCTTTTTTATTACTGGTACCAGCACAACTGGAGCACACAACATCAAGAAGTCATGACCACCATGTGTGGCCATGACTTGGCCCGCATACGACCGGCTTTGCGTAAAGGCAGTCTGAGCTTGAGTCACCAATCGCCTCCTCTGTCGCTTGTTAATAATAGCACTCTCGTGCTGCAATGTCATGAGTAACTCTTTGGAAAGCACCTTGTTTTTCTTGCCTCGTCTGAAATGCATTAATGGCTTTGAAACATATTGTCACTTTGTAAGTAAAAAAATCTAGACATCCCATGTACTACATGTACATGTATACACGTAGTTGCACTGGAAAAAGTCCCTAAATGCTAGAATAAGTCAGGTTTTGAAGTTAATACAGACACCTGTGCCAGATCAGTTGTTTCCATGAAATTTCCTGGGCTTCTCTGGTAAGCGTGTTATTTCTAGTTATCAGGAAATGATCCTTTTCAAAGAATCGATCTTTTTGGCGCAAACACATCAGAATTTACATTTGGTCCTAAAGAATGAGTCCTTGCTTCAAGCCAATATGAACAAGATTAATGAAAACATTAATGTAGAGTTTCACCTCACTCTCTAAATGTTCTAATGTGATGCCAGCTTTAATGCATGCTATTTTATGACTCATTGAGAATATAGAAATGAGCTAAATTAAGAGTAAAATTTTCCACAAAAATAGTTTTTACAAATCTGTTTCTAGCTATTCAGCCATTTCAAAACCCTCAGTTGTCCTTGATGTGTTTTAAGCTCCGTCTTTGCTTCTTATTTTGATCTTTTCATCAACAGTTCAGCAGTCCCCCCCCCAGTGTCGGTATGATCGTACTCCAAAAGGTAGATGACTGTCTCCCATTCCCCCATAACTTCCTCCCAGCTTTCCTCTTCCCTTGTCCCCATGGGCTCAGCTGTGGTAAATCACAGCGCTGGTGGCTGAAACCATGCCACCCCTCTAAGCCTCAAAGCGACCCACAATCAGCTAAAAATAGCATCTGACGGAAGGGAAAAGTACACCATTTTGCTTTGTCATATTCTTCAGGTGATTTCAGTTTGCGAAAACAAATTCTTGGATCGACCTATAGACGTGTGATCCGGACGTGACGAAAAGTTGATTTTTGAAAAGGAAAAGTTTTTGAATAGAAATTTACATATTGACTCTGAATGTAGATTTTGCATGCTCAGATGAGAAACTTTGGCCAAAGTAAACATTTCCTGGTACATGTGTAAAAATGAAGAATTTTTTTATGAAATCAGCAAAGTAAAACGTGGAGTTTTAAAGACCAGTCCTGGTAAATTCTTCATTTGTCATATGTGTTCAGAATGAATACTGTTTAAACCTGTCCCAAATAGGGATTTATTTTTCCCTTTAAACAACACGGCCACCTGTCTTCAACTTATCAAACTACTCATCCCTCTTACACTGTTCCAATTTTTCACCAGCATCACAGCTGGCAGGCGTGTACCGTCGAGTAACCATGGCAATGCCAAACTTCCAACAAGTGCCCTTTTGTGGTTTTTTTTTCTTCTGACAAACAAGATATTTTCAGTGTGTCTTAGGACTGGTAGACCTGTGGCTCGTAATAAGTCGCATCTCCGTAGATTCGTTGATTTCCTGCTTGCTGAGGGTATGTGGGGGGGGAGGGGGAAGGGGGGATACACATGCAGACACAGACCCTGATAACAGATAATGCATCATCAACCTGCTCCTTCCTTGGGCAACAGTTGTTGTTCCAATCTTAAAACAACTGAGAGACAACATTGTACGACCCCTGACCTTACTTTAAAGGGGCAGGCAGATGCTAAACCAGATACCTAAAGTCCATCTTTATGCATTTTTGGGCTCCATTCTGAATGGTCTTGGGAGACCCAGACGTGCTGATTAAGCTTATTGTTCATGTGTTAATTGCTTCACCTGCCATGTCTGCAATTTAGATTGGGTTGATGGCCCGATAATGCAGCCACAGACAACCTGTTCAGTGACTTTGAGGTCAGGGACAGAAATTGAAGGGCACAGTGGAGGACAGGCTAGTCTTAAATGCTGGTGCTCGATTTTTTGCATTTGTTTAGTGTGTTCTTATTCTTCCATGATGTGAGTGACCTGGACAGGTTCTTCTTGGGTCCAGTTCCATTCTCAATGGCAAATATTGCTGTGCTTGTTTTAATGCAGGCCACAAAAAAATCCGGTTTGTTTGGCGTTGAGCCATTTAAATGTAGGGTAGATCTGGAAACAGGAAGTATTGGTCTTTTTTTTTTGCCTTAGCATGAATGAACTGAGAACCAGTGATCAGCGTTATGCATTTCTATATGACTTTTTGGCTGATGACCTTTTCTCTGCTAAGCAAAATAATTTTCTGTGCTTAGCAGAAATTTGTGTTCAGCAATTCTAGGAGATTGACTTCAGCTGTTGCCCACTTACTTAAAGTTAAACAGCAAAGGATACGCATCATGAAGAGATGACTTTTAATTATATAAGTCTTTTTTCCTTTTTTCTCTGTCAGATCTTAGATCGTAGAGTTATCCCTAACACCGAGCAACTTACAAGACCGTGAAACGAGAGTTTTAAGAGAAGGTATGTGAATGTTCAGTCATTGTGAAATTTTGATGAGGGAAGTATGTGTAACTTTCTTTTTTTTTTTTCTCAGTATAAATGACTAAATTGACCCATACTGATGCAATTAGCAGGATTTTCCAGTCCTTTATTTTTTCATAATCGACAGGACATTTAGAATATTCTCGATTTCCTCAAGTAATTTACCCATCCCTGTTGATGAATTTTATTTTCTGCCTGTCACTTCTCTTTCAATATTGACCATGGAGGACATGAACATCCACCGCAAAAAAAGACCTCGAACCTTTGCAGGTTTACGTGAATGTGGTGAACAGACGGGGAAATTTGATGACCCCGTAAATCATATTCCAGGCATCAGTCCATCTGGTGAAGTGTTATGTTTGGTGTTAGCATGATAATGCCTATGAGGAAGTAATTTGTAACACATGCTTATTACGTTGTTTTTCTTTGTTCACAATTTTTTTCTATCCTGGGTCTTGATTACATGGAACCTGTCAAACAATACCAGAATTTAGTTTCATATATTTTCTAGAGACAGAAGAGCCGAGCAACACTGGTCAGTGATCGCATATCAATATTTGTGTCAAAGAAGAAGTGGAAATACTTCTTTGATCAAATGTTCCCTTGGTCCCAGTTTTCCTTATCTGTTCTTAAAAATCTGTTCTTAAAAATTCTTAAAAATTCACAAAATTTATTGCAATTTTGATGTGTTTCAAGGAGGACGAAAAGATTATAGTTGGCACATATTGTGCTGCCGGTAAGTTTGATTTGCAGACAATTTCCAAAGCTAATTCGTGAGTTTTCCCTCAAAGAACCTTGATCTTGAAAGTAGTCAATTTGTGATCATTGACATTAATTTCTAAGTTGAGGGCTGTTCATTTAATGACTTTGTCTCCTAGTAGGTCTTGTTGATTGTGGGTAACACTAAAACTGTGCCCTAGACTTGTTACAAAGAGTGGACTTTGCCTGCTTTGAATGGTCAATTCTACTCATTCATTTGGGAAAGGATTTTTAAGGTAGTGGTTGATGAATCAAATCAGTTATTCAGTCCTTTTTCCATCCATTTCAAGCTCCTCACACTGTTATGAATAACAGGTCTCTGTGTCTCCATGGAGTCCACATTGTTTTTTCTTATCAGTTTCCCATTATTTGTTTGCATTGTAAACTTATGGAGCACTTTGGAACCTCCTTCACCAAAGTTCTCTGTCCTGCCCACCCCCCCGTCCATATCCTGTCCTGCGTTTATCTGGTGATCGCAGCCTAAGCCACAGCATTGCCTTGCAGTGCCGGGCCAAGTGTGTGTACGTGTCCATGGTTCCCTTGTTCAGTAGTTATTTTTTTTCACTGATCTTCCCTGGTATTCCTACACAGTCGACCACGTTCCGGCAGCACGGTGTCAGGAAGCCAGTGTGGTGGTTTCCTGCACACCGAGGCCAGGCCGTGTCATTGTCGCCGTCTCCCCGGACTTTCTCCCTAAAGCCAGGGTTTTGCTATCTGGGCTGGCTTCCCCCTTGAGGAAATCCTTGTTTGTACGCCAGACACACTTGGAGTGAAGCTGCTGCAGTGTCCTCGCTTTCGTTTCGTGCAGTGGGCACTTAACAACACCTGAGCCAATAGCAGTTTCACATGTTCGGCGTGCTACTTGTCAGCTTATGCGTTATGTACAGGATGCACGTGTACAAGTGGTGTTCCATCCACTGGTTTTTCACATGTCAGCCATTTTTCATTCGTGTTTGAGAACTTAGGCGTACCCTCACTGGTGAACACCCAATAGTTACCGACCTCAGCATTTAATAACCAATCACATCCCCTCATTAGATGGGCATCATCATCTGCACCACCCTCGTCAGCCATTCAGCAATGACTTTGGTCCCACCGACCACTTTCGCATCGTAAACAAGGCCAGCGTGCGTAAGCGATTCCGATTGGTTAGTCTGCCCCCTTCTCAAGATGGCCGCCGACGGCAAACACAAACCCAAGGTGTGGAATAAGCTGCGAGACGCCGTCAATCGCAACGGCCTGATGAGGCGTATCAGCATCCGCAAGAGCAGTCGCGTCAGGAGGTACGGGGAAGAAGACGAAGAGAACGCAGACAACGTCAACGACTACCTGTGAGTCGTACAATAAAAAAATTACAACGGAATGCTCATACATTTCATCGTACCTCTACTAACATCATGTGGCCATGCTCCATCGCTCCATCATGTAGTATGACTAGTTAACAGTTATATGTCGTTGTACCTTTACTGTGGGTCTTATTGCCTCTGTGCACAGGCAGAAGAGGGTGCTGTTTCCTTTATTAACATCATTACCTACAATGTACTCATACGTGTTGACACTTTACATATTAAAGTGAGGCAAACCAGGGAAGCAGAGTTTGCCCGCAACAGAATGAGGCTGGCGCCAGTTCTTTCAGCGTATTCTAAATTTCACCAAGTTGGGGCTGGGAACAAGCCTACTTGCTCGTGTACATGTAGAAGTGATTATTCATTAGCCTCAATCATTTGGAGGCACATGTACACTACACTAATGCTTTGTGGTTTCAGTCATTCTGAGCATGTTTGTGCACAGAGGTAGTGATTGACAAAAAGTTGTTGAAACAAGTGTTCACTGGCTGCAGACAACCAGGGTCCACTAACAGATGCTTAGCAGATTTGTGTGCTGAGTAGAAATGGGCAGAGAACCAGTTGCAGGTATATACACCTTGCATGACTCTTTTAGCTGGTAATGCGTCCTCTGTGCTTACCAGATGTCTCAACCAAATCGGCCTTTCTTCTTATCTGAGTCTACTGTGCTCTCCATGCACAAATTTCCAAGTTTGATGTCCACCAGACAAGCCAGAGATTAAGACTCTGGAAGGAATGAAGAAATCAGGGTTTACTGTAAAGGTAGACGTTAATAAATATGCATACTAATCCATCCACATCTCATTGCTCGTGTTCATGCATGCATTGATTTCTGTTGTCAAAAATGTAAGTTTTGTTAGGGCTGTGCCAAATATCTGAATATTCAATCAGTTTTTGAATATTCAAATATTAGTTTCTAAATTTGAATATTTGAATGCAAAATTCATGAAAAGGAAGGGAGAATTTTCTTAAGTTTTAAATGAGAAAAACCGCACCATGATGGCTTGTTTCGAGCAGATTCAAATGATAAGTGACAAAATATTATATCTTACAGTCATTTAAAAAGTAAATCAATCATTTAAAAATTTAAAAGGAATAAATTGTCAACAGGGTTAGAAGTATTGTTCGTCTGTTAAATCTTGCAAAATCGTGGCTTGAGATACCCCTAGATGTGAGAAGCTGTTACTGTGATTATAATGTACTATTGTGCGCATTATTGCAAGTGATTTTGTACATGGTTTGTTCATCAACAATCTGCCAGTCAGTACGACCGAATATTCAGATATTTGAAGGTCGAATATTCGAATAATGAATTATTTGAATTGACTCAGCCCTAAGTTTTGTTCTTATACCTTCACATCGCACCATATTAGCTGACTGAGTTTTCCGGGTTTGTTCTTAAAAGGTCAAGTGTGAGTTAACAGCACATGACTGTTCAGTGTTGTCAACATAACGATATTGTAACTGTCAGCAACAAGTCATTATGGGATAGAGGAGGACACCAGGAGTGAGTCATTTCATGTACCATGTACATGTAGTCAAAACTGGAAAGAAAAGCCTGAAAAAAGTAGTATATCCAATCTATTTGAGGCCAAAATCTAATCTATTTGAGGCCAAAATTTAATCTATTTGAGGCCAAAATCTAATCTATTTGAGGCCAAAATCATGACAGCACAGTGCAAAATACTGGTAGTTCCTAACAGAGGTTGATTTTTTTTATTGGTTTAAGAAATAACAGGGTCTTTTGTGAGTACTTGTACTTGGGGCTTACTCGCAGGGTTTGCTTGTATTAAACTTTCTTTTTTCTTGCAAACTGCTTTTATATTGCAGGCGTAGCCATCCTCCAGTTCAGACGATGTAAATAAACTTTTGGTTTGCTCTTTGTTGTGAAATTTGTTTGAGGTTTGTTTAAGAATTTGTCATGAGCCTTTAGCGCGTGATTGTGTAATGTGTTTGGGGTTTTAATATTCCTGATAGTGTGTTGTCTTGTTGGATTGATGCATGCAGTTGTTCAGACATTGCAGAACTTTTTGCCCTTGTGAAATATTTTGCAATTTTTACCATTTTGGGGCGGGATTTGGTTGCATTGTGTGGTTTGTTTGTTTTCTTTAAGTTCACCATGTCAACCTGCACCTGCCTCCACCTGCCTCCACCGTTTATTTTCAACCTTGACTGTTTGTTTGTTGTTGTGTTTTTGTTTTTTCCTGCCTCACTAACCATTGTTCCTCATGAAACAATCATATTTTCACGTTCATCATAACATCATGATCGGCTCGAACATCTGTGTTGCACCCTGCCTAAACTTGATTAACCAATCAGTCATCGCCATTTCCCCACTGACGATCAGAGCTGGCCAAGGACAGTGTAGGCTCATTTTGTTTTTCATCCATGGTAACAATGACCCGCTAATTGCAGGTACAGGAGCAGATTTCCTGTCCATTTCTGTGGCTATCATATTTCACGTTTGACCACAGTGCATGAAGTATTGTTACGGGAAAGATTGCAGTGGACTTCCCTGCTTGAAATGTTTGTGTATGTTTGTATGCTGTTTGAATTGTCAAAGATGTGCCACTAACATGAACTGTGTGTTGTAAAATACAAACATGCATGTGCAGTTAGTGTTAAAGTGTTTTGCCATGGTAACACACAGTTGATGGTAAGTGTTTTGAATGCGTTCCAGTTGTCTTAAATAATTGTGCCTACTGTAGTCTTGCAAATGTGTAATTTTGTTTTTAAGGTTTCAGGGCGGGAGTTTCTGGGGGCAGAGAGCTACATGTACTTTAGTAGTAAGAAAATAAACAGCACTCTCCTTTTGATGAAGAAAAAGAAATATAACTTTCAAAATGAAACCCTCTTCGTGTCTGTTTCAAACACGTAAAGCTTTTGAACGTGTGACCATGAAAAGGTTATTAACCTTCTTTCGTAAATTTGCCAAGCCTACATAACCAAGACAGTGAAATTTAAAGTTTTTACACAGACCCAAAAGGAAAACAGAATTACCTAAACATTGCCTTGAATCAAAAAGTTGACATTTTGGAAAGAAAAAAATTCACTGTGTAAAGGATAAGTTTGATAATTAGAACGGTTGTACCCTTTGATCTTGTTCATTGAGTGTTTGTAGTCATTGATGTGTGTGTTTGTCACCTTTGCAACAACTGAGGAGGTTGCATAACTCATTAACCTCAAGGCTGTGTTACTCAACTACTATGATGACTCAATCCTGGCCCCAAACAAAGAATGGACAACATCAGAAAACAATTTCCCGTCAAAAACATTTGCGTGCCCAGTGGGCTTTATTCACGTACATGTGCACGGCTTCCAATTGACTGTGGTCACTCATCGGTAAATCTGAAAAAGTGCATTCTTTTGTGGTTTTCACTAACTTTTCTTGACCAGATTCACAATTGGATAGTCTGGGAACACCTCCTTTTCCTGATATTTTTGAAATATTTTTGGAGTCCTACTGCAAATGCTGCATAGCGAGTAGAGCACATTCAACAAGTCGTGGGAAAAAGTCTGTTGGGAACCGGTCGCAAGGATTGTCTTTTTATTGGCATTCTTGCCAGTGATCCAATTTGGCCCTGTAAAATTGATTGGGTATGATTAGGGTATTTGTAGGTTTGTTGGAGTTGTCCCCTGACCGGTGTCCATGAAGCCAATTCAAGCCAAAGCAGGCCATGCTGTGGGGGTGACAGGAACCGACTAACTTCCGATTGCCTCTTGCAGCCTCTTGGCCCAAGTCTACAGTCTCTTCATTGACGGGGAGCAGCAACGTTGGGAGAAGATCGTCGATGAGGTAGTTCGCATCAGTGTCACCCTAGAGCAGGAGTCTCCAAAATACATCTATCACATCACGACAGTTGATGCTGATCTCCAAGGCGTCTTGGATGCTTACATTTGTGTTCCAGGTGGGTATCCTACTATTTTCCTTTTCGATTTTTCAAATTTTTTTTCGGAGGCAAGTGTCCCTCTGCCTTGCCCTCCCCCCTCGCTACATCAATGGTTGGTGATGACACTGAGCCATCGGCAGGTGACCTTTGCCCTTTGCGTGATAAATTTTAGTGTGTGAGCCCTGTGAGGTGCTGCAGGATGGCGAGCGGTGAATTCATGGGAATGATTTTGACACCATGCCTGACATTATTCCAAACTTGCAACTTGCTGAATACGAAGTTGATGAATGTGGTGTCCTTAGTGCAGCTATGGACAAGGGGCTCGAGTGCCCCCTCGCTGGCCAGAAAGAGATTAGACTGACATTGCAATGTGATCAGTGATGTGTTGTGTGGCATTTCACTTGCACACCCCCAATGGGTTGGCACACTATCGGAGCAAGTACTTGATGTCGCACAAGTGGACACAAAAGCATGTCCCTCGTATCGGCCCCCAAGGGATATCGTTGCTTGGTAAAAAGGCATGTTTCCATTGATCCTCCTATTCCATTTCATGACTCGAAGGACTCTTGCGTTACTGCATCAGATGTTCATTAGCACAGCTGTTTAAGGAGAAAGCTGTGACATGGGTGTCTCAATTGTTGGAACCAAAATGGTGGATTATGCATCAGTGTACATCTTCGGTTTCACCACGAAGTGACATGTTGTGGATAGCTGCTGCACCACGAAGTGATGTCTCGTGTGTACAAAGTCTATGGACGGTATGTCACTTTGTGGTGGACCCTACGATGTGAACAACTAGCACACAATAGCTGCATGCTGTATTGTACATATGACCAGCCATTTTGGTTCCAAAGTCTTAAGTTGGCCGTACTCGCTTTTTACACATTTACAGCTCTGGTCATTAGGTCTGACAATTACCTACTCAGGATTGCCGTCATATTCAGATTTGGATAGTTGTGGAACCTAAGCACCTGTTACCATTCGTTTCCTGCAGTCAGGAGGCATTGTGCTCATTCAGGGCATCATTGATAAAAGTCATCATCAGCCAGTTGGACTTGGAATTTAAAAGAAGAAATTCCTTCAGCAATTTGAATTGAAAGTGACTGTACATGTATGACTGCCATGATTGTACCATTGTTTGACGGTTACCACAATGTGTTTGCCGTGGCTGTTATTCTTTCCATTCGGAGTTTGTTTCATTTGTTGTGTTTTGCTGTTTAAACAGGATTTCAGAACACTCATGCACTTCCTCGTCGATTGTTCTGATAAAGTTCACACAGACAAAAAGACAATTTTTTTGTCCATGGAAATTTGTTTTAGAAGCCAGACAGGCCAATTGGGACTTAAATGGAAAAGAAGCTAGAAGGATATGACGTTATGTGTGAACTTGCAACAGGACTGTTTTAATTACATATGTTTTTTCTAATGTTGGCCCAAACTGTGTCTTTGATTGACTAACGAATCTTTAATTGACTGCCACCGAGTCATGAATCTAGGACAAACAAACTTTCCTCTGATTGGCTAAAAGCAATGACATTCTTAACCAGCACTGTGAAGTTTCCAATCAAACCGATGCTTATATGAACATGTAGCTCTGTCTGGGATATTTGATGCTTTGTAATTGGATGAAACTGATTACATTCCCAATTGGCTCTGCAGATGATTTGTCCAATCAAACCATGTCTTGGATGCCTGACTCCATCAGGGATATTTGCTGTCAAACTTCCTCCTACCCTGGATCCTTGTATTCTGAACTCAGCAGGAAACCTTGGGAATCCTTTATAAACAAACTCAGCATTCCTGTCTTGGCACTTTGATCATCCCTGTCTCGGGCATAAGGAACGGCATAGCCAGTACCACCGTTTAGCCTTGTCTCCTCAAGGCTGGAGGTGGCTGGATATCTGTGAATTTCTGGGCAGACATCACCCAAAACATCTAGAGGTGAATTTTGTGTTCCTGACTTACGAAGGCCTAACTTCGTAGTGTGAATAATTCGACTGGAATGTAGCTTGCAGACGACTTTTGAACAGCTTGGTGGTCAAGTACGTGCAGCACCTACCAGAAACTTCAAGTGAATTCTGTTTTCACTGGGACTCCACACTGCTTGTGCATAATCAAAACCCATACTGGAAACCAAAATCTAACATTCCTTTACAAAGCACCTCTCCATTCCCAACAGTTTCTTGCATGGACAACAATCGTTCAGAATGAACACAGTAATCTTAGATGCCATGCCAATGCAGATCATTCTCTACCATTCGGATTAACTTTTAACTGCTAAAAATAAGTGCTGTTATTAAGCCGTTTTCCCAAGTAACAGTGAATTTCTGTGTTAATTTTGTCATCACTTCCTCTTCAGCCTTTACCATTTTCCCACGATCCTTAGCAGCCAACTATTGCCACGTTTGTTTGACTGTCTTAAAACAATGTGTAGGGTTTCCTGTGATCACAGCACCGTGTAATCTGTGTGATATTTGTCGGTCATCAGGGGCCCAGTTGGTGAGGTGCACCTCCAGCTTCGTCCAGTGGAAGGACTCAGAGCAGGGCGGTGCCTGGGGGCTCAACTTCATCTCGGACGAGGCAGCCGACAAGTTCATCTCCCTCTGCTCGGTGAGTGCCTACCATTTCCTTGCATTTCATTCCTTGGGGATACCAAGACTCCCAACTGTTGGCCTATTCCCCATCTTAACTTCAGGACTCATTTTTTTTTTTAATTTAGTCTGGTTTGCTAACACACTGAATGAAAGTAGTGCCGACAAGACTGCTGTTTACTCTCTGTGTGATTTCAAAAATATGTGTGGGTATAAAGCTGTGTCAAAATGTGCTGTGTGTTGTAGTGTTTTCGAAGACAACAGGTCAAGCACCCAGTGGGTTTCACCAGAGCAGACAGTGTAATTGTTATATAAAGCAAAGTACAAAGTAACTGTCCATCTTGTTTTCTCTGTTTTGATTCCAATTTCAAGATGGTCTGATCATTGGAAATCAGAGACAAGTTGGGTCAAAAAATGTCAAATTTGACAAGCAAATTGTTTACCAGTAACAACAGCGTTATGTGTGTAACTTAAAAAATGTCCCCAATCCCTGAGACAATTCAGAGGGAGAAACATGATTCTCCTAAACCTTCAACAATTGTCTGTATGTAAGATTGGTACAGGTTGCTCAGTAACAATGCCACACTAATGGGGAAGTTGGCATTTTTCTCAATCAGCCTGTGACAGTAACGAGGGACTGTCCCTGATGTTTCCCCCCCTCCCCCAGCATATCAGATACATCCGAGTTTAGACAGAGATCACCCAGCGATAAGATTGCCTGACGTAAAGACCTGTAAAGAATAATATCGACCTCTCTTGACAAGGAAGAGCTTTTCACTTTAAAACAAAAAGTATGTGTACAACGATCTGTGTCAACCTGGTTGTTATTATTTTTTTATGAATGAAGTTCTTGCGTTTCCATTGTACTTGTATGGGTGCATGTGTATTTTATATTACGCACATGTATTTCAAAAGCATGTTCGTATCAATGGGATAGTTTTGCGCTGTTTGTTTAAAAGTTCTTCAGTAGGTTCTGTGATGGCATTTCGAAAATATTCAATTATAAGGGTGCAGCATTGAGTTTAATAACCACACCCCCTTCCTCTCCAGAAAGGGGGTCAAAGCTGATGGGGCTTACGCCCAATTCTCGCCCGGCACACCTTTGCACCGTTGGTCAGAGAGAGGGGTACATACGAATCTTTAAGTTTAAAGTGCCCAAGCTAAGGTCACAGCAGTGTACCTTAACAAGGTGCTGTTAGCCATTAAAATGCAATTGTGATCAACACAACGACATGGTCTTTTGTTCAGTTCACAAGTGGCTGTGATTGGGGAAGGTCAACCAGGGAGAACATGAAGATCCATAGACTTTCTCCTGCCCCATCCCACATATTTTGGAGGTGAGGGGCAGGGCTAAAATTTGTTCCCTTTCATTTCCCAGGCCTCATTCCAACAAAATTTCTACCATTCTTTCTTCCTCTTTTCCACTCCCCTCTCTCTTTACTAAGATGTGAATAATACTGTTCAACCACCTCTTCTGTTTTCTTTCTTGTTAAGAAAGAGAATTCTTTGAATAGACACTTTATTGCCCAAACCAAATTCTGATGAGTATACATGTTTTTAAACATTTTCATCCAGTACTTATAGTTGTTCAGAATTAATAAAGCTATCTCGTTGGTTTTTTTTTTATTTCCTGTACCACTTTCTCAACCAGACAAGCATATCATGCTAACATCCTCCTAATATTAAAATTGGTATTTGACTTGACTTTCTAAAAATTATTTTTTGCCATTATGAGACCTTGCACCTTCTCAGGTCAGTGCCTCTACTTATTACTTTCCTTGGGGACAGTTCAGAGAAAGAACTCTTATTGAACTTGGTGGAAAAACACGAGGGTAGGCCACACATCTCAATTCTTCCGGCCTTTTGGAAAATAAATAGGAAGTGGTGTCGTCATTCTGTGGCTGTTAGGCCCACCGATCTTGCATGTTAAGGTGAGAGAAGTAAAATGCCTCACGTACAGGAAGGCTGGGTCCGGCAGTGGAATACTGAATGGTCAGAGGAACCAAACCTGCAGTCAGAAAGGCCGGCGTTCTTGAACTTTTTGCGACGTAATTTCCCCTACCAGTGCACTTTTGTCAGTGGCCTGTTCAACAGAGGATAGAAGATTCTTGTGGAAAGCCATTCAATACTTGTCGTTTTTGTGAATGGATCATTTCTCTGCCGAGGGCATCTCTTTCCAAATGGTGAGCTTTTACGTTGGATTTTTTTGTTTGGATGTGCATTTGACTGAAATCACAGTTGGCAAGTGTCACTTGGTGTGAGCGGTATCTTTCTGGTTTTGTACGTGTACTTTGTACCCCTGATTGACTCATTTGCTTAAAAACTTCACAGCAGTCTATTTTTAGGCTTGAAGTCAGAAGAAAACTGTCTCTGTGGCCGAGCGGAAAAATTGTCCATTTGGAGAATTGTCATTCTGTCGTTTTGGAACTGCTCCAGTTGTTCACGTTGTAGTGCATTGCAGTATTTATCATTAAGAACACAGTGTCATCACATCGCTAGTAACATTTGATGATCGTTGAAAAATTTGCTTATTGATTCAGCCTGTAGTTGACTGTTTTGGTTGCCTTGGAAACTTGACGATTTTTTTCTCTTTCATTCCGCTGCCACTTCTGATCATGAGTCCCACGATAGTGTTGTCTACAGAATCACCCGAAACTTCTTTAGATGTCTTTTTAATTTGTGTTCGGAAAATTTTACTCTTTAATTAATCATGTAGAACTTTCATTGCTTGTTTGGACTTTTGCTTTTGTTTGCCCCTTTAGGAAGTCACTAAAAGCGAAGGTTTTTCATTGCAGCTGACGAGCATAACCTCCGCAGTAAACAGAGTTTCAATTTTAGAAGGCCAAACCAAAGTCGTTAATTCCTAAAGGATCAGAGTATAGTCTGTCCAAGTGCAGCGCGTGTCGTCTGTTTCAGCCCGGATGCGTTACGGTTATGCAGCATTGTTCAAAAAGTTCCACGTTTAAGCTGTGGTTCTTCGCCTTTAATTAAATATCCTCCGTGGCTGTGCTGTCACTTTATCCTGTCTTATCCATCACCTGCCAGTCACTCCTTGTGCCTTGAGAGACAAGTGTTTTGGGCTTGCCAGATCCAAGGTCAACAATGTCTGTCAAGATAAGAAAGGGATTTTGTAGGCGTTGTTGTTCGGACTGCATTAGAATTGGGGCATTATGCGGTAATGAAGCTTTTGAGGTTAGCCATTGCTGGTGAATGTAATCACTGGTGTAACAGTGATACCAGAAGTGAGTGAGGTTACCAGCCAAGATGCTGAGCAGTTTGTAGCGCAAGCCACTGGTTCACAGTAGGATCCTGCGCAGTCGGCACACTGCGGTTGAGCAATGTTTCCCACCAAGTGGCTCCATGCAATCTGTCTGCGGTTGTAAATTTTTTTTCATCGATGTCTCAATTTTCATCACTCATAAAATTCTTGTACCAGTGAGTTCTCAGTAACAGCAGTGTTGTCTATATCCTGTTGTGTGCTGGTGTCATCTGCCCCAGCTCAGGATGTGAATAACATCTGCAGGAAGACTCGGCATGACTTGATACACAAGGTTTATTTATCTGATGGGCAAGTTTGCTGGATACGTTATGCAAGTTAGCATAAGCCTCCAAATGAATGTTGTGAAACGAACTTAAAAAAAAAAATTCCCAACAAAGGCAGCGGTTGTTTGACATGTAGCTGGCATGCCCGATAGCTCGAAGTGGCCTCCAAAAACTGGCGCAAGTTCATGCAAGTTTTTGTGTGGTATGTTTTGTTGACAAGTGAGGGGATGGCATGACCCGGTTTGATTGGAGCCTGACAGGGGGGCAACTTTTTTGGGGGGGGGACCAGAGGAACAAACAATAAGAGGAAGCAACCTCATTATCTGATTTGAAATTTCTCTTAATATCTTATCGCCACTGCCGCTGGTGACAGTAACAAGTTCACTGTGCACATCAGAGTTGGGGTTAGTGTGGAAATTTGCTGTGCCAATTTGGGGAAGATGAGTTGAACGCTTTTGAATCAAGTTTGGGTGGGGGAAGGGGGAAGACAGGGTGTGGAACAGGAGGAGACACACTGAGAGGCGGTCCCCTGAGGCCTTGTCAGAGGGACTGATCATTTTGAGAACTGGAGAATTCCTGCAGTTCTGTCTGTATCGTTCCTGTATGCCATCCATACAGCATCCAGTCACTTACGGTGCAAAACCAGAAAGTACCATTCCAGAATCTGCATGTCGTTCTATTCATGGATTAACTTTTAGCCTTAGTAATGATTACTGTTTTACCTTCCTTTCAAAATCACATGAAGCCTTTTTAGGGTGCATATCGGTCTGTTTCACTACTTTATAATGTTGATGTTGAAGTTCTTTGATTTGTCCTGCAATGTGTGAGTGGTATAAGGAGCCATTTCATCAGTCCGGAACAAGGTGCAGCTCGGAAAACATGCATTCAGAAAAGTGGAAACTGTTTTGAGCTTTGTCTGCATGCATGCTGTGGCACTTGTTTATTTTAACTGGCCTGAAAATGGCAAGTCAGGTGTATGGGGAAGATGTTATCTCAATCCCACATGTTGCTGTCAAGCATGAACCCACTTACTTTCACACTGCTCCATAATCTGAATGACTCACCCAAGCCTGTAACCTCTAATTATAGATCACCTGTTGAAATTTTGAAAGAGCTATTGTCTTCTTAGTCATTTTGCCAAGAGATGGCTGGTGAAGTATTATTTTTCATGACTGAACAATAACTTGCGTTAATGAAAACGTCACTCCCTGACGCGATAAGTTTTCTCCGTGGTACAGGTCCCGTGTGACTTCCATCTGAGGATTGGTCAGAGCCCTGCACTGTAATCCAATCAGGAAGGGAAGCACCGGGGCTGATAACGAAAGGTTCCTTTCCCCTCCTTTTCCGCACCACTGGCGGCCGGCCGTCTTGCGGTGGGGTTATTTTGCGACAATGTCGGATGCATCGTTTTGAGAGGATAATCGGCACTGACAATGAAGCTGTGGGGTGATCTCATTTGGCCACACCTTCTGATTTAAGGGGTTCGGTATGAGGTTGTTGGGTTTTTCATAGAGAACTGCAAGGCTCATGACTCAAAAGTGGTCATCATTGAAAGGCCATGTTCTAAGACAAAAAAAAAGCCATATCCAAGTTGAAGTTGTCCCAAGGACAACTCAGTTTACTTTGCAATTCCCCGGGACATTGATATTTCAAATTCGACACTCCAGAATATTTCAGAATTGGGGTCAAGTTACCAGCAAAAAGCTGCGTATTATTTTCTTTGTTACTGCTTGAAATTTAATATACAGAGTGAGCTTCTTGAGTGCAAGAGGAAGTTCCTACTCAGGGTGACAGGAGGGAGTGGCTCCATGCAGCAAAAAGGAAGGGGGATTGCACGGCCTTGAAATTCTCAAGTACAAAACGTTCCCTTTGTGAAACAAAAAAGTGAGAGTTGATTTGGGGCAAGAAATTCTGCCTTACATTTGGTGGCACCATTCCTTATCATAATCCAAACACGGATGGATGTGAGCAAGTGGAGAATCTTGTCCAGGATATTTTGCCCGGGGAGCCTTGGTTGTTTTCCAATTAGTTTCCTCCAAGACTGGGAGATAGGATTTATACAACAGCCTGGATTCCATCCAGGTATACAGGTCAGAAAAAATCAACCCTGATGGATCATATTTATGAGCTACTGTTCTCCTTCCTTGTATCATAACTTGTCATGGGACTCACCCTTGGTTAATATCTCTGCCTAGGGCTTGCCTGGTTTTGCCCTGGTATGACGGTTAACCTCTCCCATTCCAAATTCCCAACTCATGTTTCGAGGCAGGTTTACGAGAGTTCTTCAAGAAATTGAATCCACTGAACAATTATCTTCCAAGTGTCTCTGCCATACCCTAAATTATCTTATAAACATTCTACCCAGGTCAGGGTTCATCTGCGTTTCGAGGTTTTGATTTTGTACAGCTTGAATGGAAAACAGTTCCAATGAAAAAAATTAAACATGTGGTTATCAATGTTTTTGCGGTGGAATGGACAGTTTTCCCAGCATTTCGCTGAAATACTCATACTTTCTTTAAATAGGAATAAATAGTTTTTCTATGCATTATATTTCCTAGATTTTGATTTGTACATTTGTACTTCAGATATTTTACACTTCATTTCTTTATTACATGAGTAACATAATGAGTCTGGCACGATCATTTTAGGAAAGGAGATGCCTTGAGTTTTTAAGAGAGTATTTTGTGGGCCCAATTTTATTCGTCTCAATACAAATATTGATTAGCGTGTACAACTGTCTTCCTGATACCATCAATCTCCCAAGAAGGATGCATCCATTCGTTATAAATCAGTCTGTTAACACTTATTGTCCGATTCTCCCCCCCTCCATTTTTGTCAGTCTATTTTGGGAAGAGATGGGTTCCAGATGGTGTTGTAACAAGTCTCACATGTCATTTTTGCAGAGGATGCTGTCAATTGAAGAGAAGCTATAAAAATAGAGAACATACTGTTGTCAGGTGCGGGGCAAGCATGATCAAAGCGGCCACATCTGTAGGCAAGGTTTTAAAAAAGGGGCAGAGGAAACATGACCTGTAATGAAAAAAACTTAAAGGAGATGGCATGAAATGTGATATTTGAGATAACTACTGTACATCAGAAATTATACTTAGGTGGTCACTTTGTTTGATTTCACCTGAGATTTGCGGAATGTCATTCCAGCACTCGGTGAAGTAAGATAGATTTGGTCTTTTTGAATTGCTGCACAAAGAAAGAGGGAAGGGGGTTGCAGGAAGGATGAGCGCAAGGTCAGGTAAAGGATACTTTGGCTGTGTTGCTGTTGGCTAAAGGATGCTTTGGCTGTGTAGCTGTTGGCTAACTTGTTGTTTATTGGGGTCAGCGCATTGCACCTGCCAACTTCAATCAGTCTTGAAGCCTGGTTCCATTTTCACTGTTTTTGTGGTGGGTATATTTTTCTTCTCTAGGAAATCAATCCCCACAAAGTGATTTTGCCACTGTTGTAGATGCCACTGTTCAAAACTCTTTGAAATTTCTGGGGCCACTTTATAAAGTATAGCATACAGACACACATTTTTATTGGTCTATTGGTCTGCAGCATTTTCTGGCTGAGTTTGATGCACCTGCGCTGCCAGTGTCAAATACGTCTAGTAATCTGACGCCATAAACCTTGTTGGACTATCTGCTCGGTCACAAAATGTCCACGTGTCAATTTGATGATACCTCCCACCTACATTATGCTTACTACCTAAACAGGAAAGTGTATAAGTTCCTGTTAAACTCAGGAAACGGAACAAGAAATTACGTAATATCTTGTAAATGTTCCAGGAATTTTTGGATGTAAAGTAGGCCATAGTGCAGTGCAGCCTATCAATCAGTTTTACAAAAAAAACCACACTTGTTGTTGCCATGGTGCCGCCAGATTTGGCTCAGGCTCCAAGATACAAGGAGCCAGTGCCCTTGACTTTAGAGCACACTCTGTTGACCATGAATTGAACCTTTGACTTTGCTGCCCCCACCGTCAAAAAAAAAGACAAAAACAACAAACTTTTTCTGAAAATATGTCATTCTCTCCAGAAAGTACCTCAAACAGTTTTGAAATTTTATGCATTTTGAGAAACGAAAGAGCTGTGTCGACTTCTTACTCAGTATGATTTCCTGACTGACTCTTCTGTAGTGTATGATCATTGGATTGCATTTGCTTCCCATGACCAATAAACTTTTGAACTTCGTTTTCAGGGCATCCAGATGCCTTTTCATACATTATTCCCATTCCTTTCATTCAAATTCAGCTATTGCTTGTGAGGGATCCCTCCAAAGAAAATATAAGTAGGGGGCTGAGTTACTTGTATTCCCTGTGCAATTGTTCAGGTCCATTTTACTCATCAAATGCAATTTTTCTTTCTGCGTGCCTGTCAGGCAGAAATGGAGTGTGCTGTCAGCACTGTCCTCCTTCCAAGTTTTGTTTCTTTCGACTAGCAGAAATCGGTTATTTTTCTTCCAAGATATTTTTCATTTCTCTCAGTTACTCACATCCAAACTAGACTCAAATGAGTTGAAATTGTCTGAGCATGAATTTGTTTTCTTGCTGACAAGTTGAACTACAAAATATAAGGTTGCTCTGTCCGTCCATTGTTAACTTCAGGTCATACACCCAATCCTTGTTTCAGTCACAACCCGAATTTAGTCAGAATTAATATTACGGGTGCCCTTCGACGTGGTGAGAAACAACAATTTTTATGAACCCAGCCTTGAAAGAAACTTGGTTGAAAAATCATCACTTGGGGTCCCACTGCATTCCTGGCATGGCCAGAGACATGTGTATGGACAGAATGCCTGTGGATGAACGCGAGGAGCAGCTCTTGCTGAATAGGGAACACTTGTAGATAGATGTTTACCAGCCTACTACTTCTTCAAGAAGTGCGTCTGGTATTTCATCTGTGGCCTTGAAAAGAGGTTGTCAATATTTTTGGAACTTGATATTCTTGTCATCTGTGATCTTAGATGAATAGCGGTGTTGATACAGAGAGGGTGTTGGTAATGAATTAACAAATAAGATGATGTTGACATTGAAAACTAGCTGCTAGAGGAAACTGTAAAGTTTTTAAATGTGATTGTTTAAAAATTCCGCTAAAATCTGGAAGAGGCTTGTGATATGGCACTTAAAAAATATATGGCAATTGCTAACTGTTTGTTTTGATTTGCTCACAGCCGAGTGATAATCCGCAGCTGAAGCGCTCCAATTCCTCTGTTTGTTTGGAGACGTCAGATCTCCCCGAACCCAGCGAGTACCGGAACGACGCGGACTGCAAGACCCCGACTGGGCCCAGCCCGGTGGCCTCCTGTGACATCGAGGACGTGGTGATTGATGGGCTGGCCTATGCGGGGGAGCCTGGCTCAGCGGAGATGACGACTGAGGGGAGGGCAGAGAAGACCGACTGGCAGAAGCAGATCAGCATCCCCATCTCGGGCGGCGTCCGGCGCATGCTAGCATCCCGCGACAACGGCCGTGACGTCAAGTATGCCACCTACTCCAGCAGCCGCCGGTCCCATTTTGCCAACTCGCTCTACGACAATGTCAGTGATGAGGAGGACCCTGATGAAGACTACCAGTGCAATAAGAATGCCAGCAAGTGGTCCTATGCCGACAATCATGTCACCAACTCAAACCGAAAAGCCGTCCCAGGGGATATCCCCACTCAGAGCGAGGACTCAATTACACCCACCCCAATAAAAAAGGTTATGTCAAGGGATGCTGAGACCACCTCCTCGGGGAAAAATTCCAGAGAGAGCACCCCTCGTCACAGGCCCAAAATCATCATCAATCACACCACTCTCAAGAAGGACGGCAGTGCCGTCAGCCAGGATTTACCGTCTCCCCCAGAGAAAATAACCTCCTGCCCCTCGGACCAAACCTTGGAGGCAAGCGAGGGTGGGCTCCGCCCCCGCTCGAACACTGCCACCAGTCGTACCAGCTCCAATGGCAGCAGCCGCGGGAGCACCAAGCGCCGAGGCTCCCGCAAGTCCAAGATCAAGAGCCTGATCGTGGGCTCGTCGACTGACCCGCTCAGTGACGTGGAGAATACCCAAGAGCACCTGGCTCAGACCCACTCCCTCCTGCAGGCCTACGAACTGCACATGCAGAACATGAACGACAAGGACGACTGTGACAATGTGAACTCAGACAGCGGGTTTTCACCCCGACCACCCTCCACACGGAGGTCCTCATCCTTCAAACGGAAAGATCCGAGGACGGTCACTTGCGGTAGTGAAGGCAGCAGCAGTGGTATCATGGGAGAACTCGGAACTCTCACATCCAGTGAGGGACATTACTCGCAGGGTACTGATGAGGATTTTCTGGACCTTGAGAACATGAAGAATTTTGCTTTGAAAGATGATGTAAGTCCAAATAATTTGATATTTACATTTCCTTCATCATGAAAGAATGTAAGGCGTTATGACATTGTACTGGTGCAGTATTTTGTAGTTTGTTTTTTGTCTAGTCAAGTTAGCTTTCAATTTTTTCATGGATAAGGAGAAATTTACAATACAGTAATACAGAATTTTGTTTTACCCCCTTTTTTACATAACAGAAGACATTTTTGGCCAAAATTTGTAGTTCTTATTCTCTTAATGATAGATTTGATAGTTTTGGTCGTCAGTCGGATATTTGGAAATATATTTGTGCAATACTGGAGAATCATATAAAAACTTAATAACCCTTGGCCTCATGCTCAGTATGGCAAATTTTTTTAAAGCCGTTTGACCGCCCAGCTCGTAGAATTTGAGTACCTGATTTGTAAGTATAAATGGGTAGTAGAATTAATTGTGAAGAACTTCCTGAATTCTTGGGATTTAACACAAAACAACTCTGGAATTTTTAAGAATGAGGTTGTTCTTTATAACGGGCAATTTTGCAACGTGTTGCAGGTATTACAAATGTATATACAGGCAACATTCGAGCTGTATCACATACACCCTTCCATTAAACATAAATCACCGCAGCGATGATCCTTGGCACCCATCATGTCAGGATCAACTGGATTAAGTTTCGGCATTCCGGTCAGCTTTTTTGTTTTTCCTTATTAGAATCCCGAGTATATCGGAATTCCAAAAATGAGCCATTTCCTGGATGTTATGACAGCCATATGCGAATGACAGTCCGAGAAGCGAAGAAGGAAGGAATGCCATTAAATCCAATTTGAACACCCTTTCCCCCATTCCCTCCCCTCCAAAAAAAGGGGAAAAATAATTGTGGTATGGATTGTTGGGGGGGGAGTGATGGGGAGAGTTTTAATTAATTGGCTGTGAACAGGTGCACCATTTTAGGACCACCTTGTCATTGAGTTTGGGTTCTCTTTTAGGGTGCCTTTTGGATTGTTTGTTTGGTTTTTGGATGCGCCGATGGCCATGTGTGTTTGACTTGAAACAAAGCCGGTATTGGAGGGAATGCAGTTATAAACCTGCCTGCTGGAAAGTATTTGCATTAAGAGAGCCTTGCGTGGTGTCATTGGGAGAGTTTTGAGATTGTATATTTTGGGACCTCCCAGTTTCTTGTCATTTTAATATCGTAAATCTGGTCAGTCCTCCCCCCCAAAAAAACCCAAAGGCAGCACTTTCATTATTGCTCATTTGGATGATGTCATCGTCGTCAACAAAGGTCAGTCTAAAAATTAAAATTTAGGTCTTCCTTTTAATTATAGGAACAGGGTCCCCAAATGTACAATCTCCAAAGTTTCTGTGTTGGGTTCAACAGTAACATCAACTTCATGCAGTTCAATATTCGTACATTTTCCTGAGAAGTTTTAAAGGGGAAGTTTTATTTGAACCTCTAAAAATGATTATCAGGTTTTTAAAGAAAATGCCACTAGGGGTAGACCAGCATGCAAATGCACTGATCAGAACAATTTTTATTTTACAAAATTTAACCACCAAAATGTACTGGGGGGGGGCTCATTCTCATATGAAAATATGTGACTTATCTCATATGCCATATGAGACAAGTCACACTGTACTTTGAACTCCAAAATATTCAGGACTTGGTCACCAGCATATTTTGTTTGGGCTAAAAACTGCTATTTATAGTTTCAATCAAAGCTGACTGAAACGCAGAATTGTTTTATTTATGTCACCCTCTCTGCCACTCTCATTTGGATGTTAATGTCCTTGAATCTTTGTAATATCCAAGGCAGATGCTGGGAGACAGCCAATTAATATTATCATTCCAATAATATGCCGGACAGCTGGGCCAGCCAGAGGAATGCACGGATTGAAAGTGGAAATCACAAAAACATATCACGCCAGCTGGTGGGTGTGCTGAATGTCCCAAGTTCAGCTCTCTGTCTGTGGTGGACATTTGTTGCTCTGTTCAGCTTGGATGTACATGCTGTATATAATACCTGGTGGGATTTTTTTGTTACTGAAGTGATGTAGTTTGAAAATTCGTTAAAAATGAAAAAGTGGCATTTCGTTTGTCATGAATGGACGACAAACTCCAGAAATGGCAAGTACACTGTAATAAAACTCAACAGCTCATTGCTTGGTTGTAGTCAGGTACTTTTCAAGCACCAATTTCACTGCCAAATATTGAACCAGTCACCAAATAGATTTAATCCTTCAAACACTCCCAATTTTGTAAAATTTGAGTTTGAGGAGAAAAGTACTCGGCCAAGTAGGCCACTTGTCAAGTACTTTTCTCCAGTACCCATGTTCTGAAGCTTTGTTCTTCCTAAACCAGCTCAGTATTTAGCAGAGAATTTGGTCTTTGTAAAGTACTGGACTACATGACTGCCTTGTTATTGATCTTGTTTTATTCGGAGGCAGTTGCAAAATTTGAAAGTCCATTACATATTGTTTGGGTGGGTGGATGAAGGCAAGGGTTTTCCTCGAACTGTGAATGAGACGGAAACCTGATGCATTGCACTGAGATTTTCTGTTTGCCAGAGTGATCAAATGCGGATAGTTTACAGCAGGTAGGGCCGAAGCTGTCATTCCTCTGCGCTCTTACGGAAGTGGCCATGATGGTAAAATGGATAGAGTGCCTCAGGATCAGTGCAGAAGTGAAAGAGTTATTGGGAAAGTGTTCTGGGGCATTACAAACAGTTCTGCCAGCCTGAAACGAATTTGGTACCATTTATTGTACGTGTATGCCAGATGAACCTGTATAATGCAGGTGAATCCTTCTGACGGCGGTTTAACTACCGACTCAACTCCAAATTTCAATTGTACTCCAATATCTGACGCTTTTGTTTCACAGGTAATGCCCTTTGAAACATAATTCGTGTTTATACCTTGAAGAAAAAATTTCTGACTTGTGATTAGGAGTTTGAGTGTGAACACCTGTCGAACCTGTGCAGAGATTTGTTAGCCATCGTTGTTCTTTTCCATTGCAGGACGTTGAGGAGGATGATTCAGACAGTCACTCCTTCAGTTCCCTTCACTCTCAGGCCTCCACCTACACCCAGCGGGGAGCCATCCGCAAGGCCGGCTGGCTGCAGTGCAAGAGCCTGTTGGTCCAGAAGAAGAAGAGGGTGGAGAGGGCAACCAATAGGAAGTGGAAAGAGTACTGGGGTAGGCAGTTTCTCTCTGTGACTTGTTCCTATTGGTCAGAAAAAGGAAAGGTTTGAAGTGTGGGCCAGTTGGTCTTCAGAAGAGTGCAGAGGGTAGACATTGATGGCATTGTTATGTCTAAAGCTTTCCTATTGGTCAAAATGGTAAACATTTAAAATATGGACCAATGAGATTGAGGAAAAAGTGCTTTAACATCTGCTCTTATGTGTTATCATTTCTGATTGGTTCTTTGTTCCTATTTTCACTTTTGTTAATTTGCTTTCAGTTTGTCTGAAAGGCACCATGCTTCTGTTCTATCATTGTGAAGATAAAACCACTCCAGATGAAAACATCGAGCCAAGACATATACTTGGTAAGAAATCAATAACAGCCTTTCAATCTAGTGAAAATTTCATGGTTCCAATGTGTGAAGAAAAGAAATGTTTCCAAGTGATGCAAGTTGAAAGAGGTGACAACTGTTTTTGAAGAAAGGTTGTTGTGAATTGGTCAGCTGTGCTGCATTTTTGTCAACATCTCCACGAGAAGTATTCATGGTCCATCTTGAGATGTCGATCAGTCATCAGAAACATCAATCTTCATGTTCCTGCAAAAGTAAAACAAAACAAAGAAGTTGTGCATTCCAAAGGCTACCAGCTCCTCCCAAACATTGCACTAATCCTGTTTTTTTTTCTTTTTTGATGTCGTGTTTTGACAGTTGTGGAGGGCGGAATTGCTCAGGCTATCCCCGAACATCCAAAGAGAGATAACATCTTCTGCCTCAGCACGGCATTCGGAGATGCTTACCTCCTGCAGGTAAAACAGCAGGGCTCACTTTTTGAGGCGTCCATCCATGCTAAGGCCTAAACTGTTGCAAAATGTTTTGGCACTGGTGAACAGAAGTAGCGATTGCATCTGAATATTTTAATTGAGGGAGCTTATAAAATACATGCATTTTCTGCCAGGGTTTTTCCTGCAGGGGTTGCAAAAGTCAGTTCAACATTTCGGAAAAAGCAGACCGCCATTTTGAGATAGGTTCATAAACCAAGATGTCTAACTTTAAAATCAGTCGTTCAGACAAACAGTGAAGGCCAACATTAAGACACCGGACATTTCACTGGGTTCTAGAATTGGAAATTTTGTTTGGTTCAAAAAGTTTACAAGTTTGTTTATTTTCAAGAGAAAATACCACAAGGAAAGTAACCCAACAAAGATAATTTCAGTCTTCGCCATCAAATTGACCGTTTAATACTGTTTTCTGCACTACTGCTACATGTATATTCACATTTATTGATAATGACTTTAAGTAGGGCAAATTTGATATCCATATTTAAGAGTTTCACATATATTTTCATACCTGGCATTAAAAGTTGAAGTTGTAATAATTAAAATGGTAAATAAGCAACATACAGAGGGTTAAATACTTGTTGAAGATTTCCTGGTGGTAGGTTAATTGGATTGTCATTTTAAATGTAGCTTAAGCTATGATCAGTTTGCGTCATGCAGAAGTGAAACAGCCATACCAGGCCCTCTGGGGTCTTTTAATTTAAATCTTCATACAGATCAAAAGAAGGCTTTCAGGATTTTGCCTTCAGGATAGATCTTTCACTGAAACCTGTACCAACAGGACACTTATTGACTCATTGCCAAAACAAAAGCGGTAATCAGGGCGGTTGAACGTGAGATTGGTTAGCCATTAAAGAAAGATCTTTCACTCTCATTATTTAATACTGGGAAGTCGCAGGGTGACAAGATTGTAAAAGGAGGCTTTTGAAAAATTCCTTCTTTCCTGAGCTGCAGAAGGCATACTTTTATTGTAACTGATCATGGGTCACATTATTTGACATTCCTAATTATTTATATTTTCTCGGGCTTGGTTTTTTTGTATTTTCAGTCACAAAGTCAAATTGAGCTGGAAAATTGGATAACAGGCATCCATTCAGGTAGGACAGTTCCCACTTCGACCCAAAAATGGTTTCATAATTTTTCTCTTAGTATTCCCCTGTCGCAGTCCACAGTGCACCGCAACTTGGTTCTGAACAATCCAGTTGAATTCCGACAACGTTCGAACAAGGAAACTGCCGGCAAAATAATTTTGTCCCCAGTCTGTTCCCTGTGTAGGAACAAATACAGGAAGTCCTATGTGAGATCCTGTAGAGTGGAAAATTTAGCTACGTCCTTGAACAGACTTGATTTGGTTTTGTTTTTTTAATTGAAAGATATGATAGCATTATTCCTGTTTGTATCTTTGCAGCGTGTGCATCAGCCTTGGCCAGACAGCATGGCAAGGATGATACAATCCGACTCTTGAAATCCGAAACACAGAAACTCGAAGCCAAAGTTGAATCTGTAAGCAATCTCTGAATTTTCCTCGGAATAAACTTCTTCAATACTTCTTGAGTTTCTCTCCATATTTACTCTTATCTGTTGTTTATTTGTCCACATCTGGGAACGTCATTTCCAGGGTGCAATATTGCTTTTCTTTTTATACCGTGGAATTCTTTTCTTCATTCTTTAAGCATTCTGTGTTTACATAGCCAAACAGAAATTCTGTGCTACCCTCTAAATGCAGGTTCCTTGGTTTAATACAAGCTGTACACTTGTTTATGGTCAAACATACATGTACCATAACTATGGCAGCCCATAATAATGTTAAGTGCATCATTTTCTGCTATTGAGGATCCTTCACTTACAGTGGGGCTGAGCAAACTTTTGTACCTTACATATCTGTGAAATAATCCCTTTGAAGTGGACAGAGTTTTTGATTGAGGAGCTACAAAGAGCCATCTTGGAACAGGTTCTTGTTTTGTTGGCAGGGATTTGTTTGATTGCTTTATCATGGGAGTTGTTCAGTCGACTAGGAAGGATACAGCAAAGTTGCTTGGCACGTACACGCGTGCGGTTTTTAGGCAAGCTGCAAGGGTTCAAGGTTTGTAGTCCAAGCAGATGCGCAAATCTTGGCCACACAGCCTGCTTGGGTTTCATAACTTCTGACTGGTGCCCAAGCCTCCTAGATTGGGATGCCAACATTGGGCTGGATATGTTTCGTGGCTAAAAAGCTGTTCTGGCATTCCAGGGGTCACGTGTTTAAATCCTACTCAAGCAAAAACTTGTATATCAATCGATTAAATGTTCACGAAAGACATGCTGAGTTGTTCTCGCCATGTGGTCATTGTTAAGTTATCATGAACCTAAGTGTTTAATCACAATTGACAACTAAGTAAATAGTGTTTTAAGGCTGAGGCAGATTTTGACTGAACAGTACTTGTTACCTTATACCGCTGTATTCTCAATATGTTAATCCAAAAACAATTTTGCAGGAGACCAAGATGAAGAAGATGGCAGAACTTCAGTTGACTGTCGTCACCCAGACGAAGAACAGACAAGCCATTGTCAGTCAGGTATTTCATCCCTCCTCTTCTCCTTTTCTAGCCCCTCCCCCTCCTCATGGAAGCCTTTGAGAGCAAGGATGCTATTCGTTGATGATAATTTGATGTTCTTCCTTTAGGTCTCTGGAATCATATTTAACCTCTTAGCATGGGTAAAGCCTGGCAGAGGAATCATTAAGCCTGTGTTCCTGAGCAAGATATGCTATTGAAATATATTTGGAAGTCCACCCAGAAAAGGCAGGACTGTAAACTCAATCAAGTAGTCAGCCTGGGTGAGATTCGGACTCCACAATTAGGTCAATCGATTGATCGGTGCATATTGATATCTCTGACCTGGCGCAGATTGCCCAGTGGGACCAGAACCTGGAACGCTTCCACCTGGAGCTCTACCGCCTGCGCTGTTACATGGCCTCCCTGCAGGGCTCGGAGCTGCCCAACCCCAAGACACTCCTGGCCTGCGTCTCCAAGCCCACCAAGCACACCCTGGCCAAGCTAGACTTCTTCTCCGTCTCGTCCTTCCACGCCCTGGTGAGCGCCCGCAACCCCATGGGCCTAAAGGGTCGGTTCTCCAAGCCTAGATCCAAGAAGCAGAAGGGACTGGTAAGCTACTCTAATCCTGGCTGCAAGAGCACAGCCAGGAAGTAAATATTCCATCTTTACTTTAAAGAGAAATGAATGTTGAATTTTCTTTTTTTCTCCAGTATCTTTCGATCTTGTCAATTTCGGTACATTAGAACTTCATTAACTAACAGGAATGCTTCTCTCTTTGTTTCAGTTTGGTACCCTGAAAAGAGCTTCCAGAGGGGCAACCGCCTTAGCAGCTGATGCTGCAAGGGTAGCAGAAAGGTGAGGAACCAGACATTAAACAAACTAATCCAAACATTCCCAGTTCTTTTAAATATATTAAAAAATCCTTTTTGTAGCATGGGGTGTGCAAGTTCAGGTGTGCATGAATTTCTGACTTTGTTTTCAGCGGGAAACATTATATCATCACTGCAATTTGACTTTTGTTTTAGGTAGTACTTAATTTAAAATTGGTTCCTTTTTTGTTTCAGTCACAATAACACGGCAGCCCCACCGGCCCAGTTTGAAGAATCAGACCAAAAATCACCTGACGATGACGAAGCCAAGGCCAACGACCTTCCTATCACTCAGGTATACCAAAGAATTAACCCATCTCTATCTGTACTCGGGAGCCAAAGGTTTCGGGTTTGAATCCCACTCAAACAAGTTTTGAAGAAAAAAGCACTTGAGTGTTTACAGTAATAATGCTTAATAGTATTTTAATATTTGAGGGAACTGGTTTGGGATTGTAATTGTCACAAGGCTGTTTCTCTTAGCAAGGTAGTTTCAGTTTTCGATTCTTATTTTAGTTGAAGAATTTTTCTGTTGCCAATTGAAAGAGGCCGTGTCCGAAACGGGCTTCCAGAGCTACGGCTAGGTCTATTGTCTACGCGTCTCCACGCGTTTCAAATGGAGTGAAGACCTAGACCTAGCTCTAAGACAAGCGATTTGGATGCAGCCAGAGTCAATTTTTTCATCTGATAAAGTGAAAATTGAGTCACATTGGAACTTAGTTCCTCCTGTTAATTGACGATTAATCAAAAATATCATCAGAATGATGTACTTAACAAGATTGGAAAAGTGTACATTGGCAGTCGGTCGCTCAGGAGAAAAAAGTCCTGAACAGTCTGTGAAATCTGAATCGGGAAAGAACTTTTCTCCGGTGATTGTGCAGCGTAGCAAGAGTTGCAGAGAGTGGTCCCCTTGGTCAAACGCGCGGTCATTGATTTTTCTTTGACAGTTGTTTGAGAGGCAAATGGAGGAGGACCGCAGCAAAGCAAAGTGTCTGTCGGAGGAGCTGGTAGAGGGCGCCCTGGTCAAGGTGCAGCTGCCGGACAGCCAGAGCACCATGGTAACGCTACGGCCGGGCATGACGGTGCAAGACCTGCTCATCAGCAGCTGTGTCGTAAGTTTGATTGTTCTCCCTCGTTGTCCTGAAAATGACAGCCCAGAAAGAAGGACTGGAAAGAGACCTCTAACTTACAGCAGACCAGTGCTCATTCAAAAAGACGTGCAAATAGAGACGTGCAACAGACTCTGTTAAAAAAGTGGGAAAATTTCATCATAAATGGGTCATCAAAGAAAAATCTTTCTACTACCTTAGAGATAGGTTTGGAAAAACCATTTTTGTTTGTCACTTCACAGAATCGACAAATGGATTATCACAACTACTATGTCAAGTTCAACCAAGCTATGCGATTTGGAGCCGAGGTTAAGATTCCTGACAAAAATGCCATCCTCGAGAAGGAGGTAAGTTGTTTTCCCCACAAAAGATTGATTTGGTTTTCCTCTAATAAATAATCATTTCCAAGTGGAAATTCAGGAGAATTATCTCACTGAGGACTTCTCAACCCAATGATATGCCTGTACTTGTGAGTGTGTATTTGATATAATGGAAGATGGGGTATATTGCCTTGAATTCTGGTGGTAAAAGTTGTGGTAATTTTTTTTTATGCAGAAATTCGATGAAATTGAAATCTGCAGAAAATGCATCCATCAAGTGGAGCTGTACAAGTTCAACGAGAACATGGATTTCGGTAAGTGTTGATTCAGGGGTCTGGGGTTCGAATCCCGGTTGAGTCAGAATTCCTCCTGTCACATTATTCTGCTCATGCTTGATGCATTGAGACGGAGCAGGAGGCTGTAGATGAATCCTCACTTTTTTGCCAGAAAGAGTAATTGTGGATTGGTTGTGTTTTCCCTTTCTGTCAGGTTTCAAGGTGGAGGCGGAGCTAGGAGATGATGCAGAGAGGGAAGATCAACTCTGCGTCTTCATCAGCGAGATTGAAAAGGGGGGCCTTGCCTACCACCAAGGTAAAGAAATTTGACAATCCAGGCACCTCCACCTCCAAATTGGGAGAAAAGTCTCCCTGTGTTTGCTCAGGTATCGTGAGTGTGGCCAAGTGGTTAAGGGGCACAGATCATGATCAGACAGTCTGGGGTTCAGATCCAGCTGATGGCTGTATGTGATGGAAAAGCCACTCCACCCCTTACTTGCCTCTCTTCACCCAGGAGTTTAAATAGGCATCTGCTCTAGCCCAGGAGCAACCCGTGATGGCTTGGTATCCGACCAGGGGAAATGGAAATATTCCCAGCTGTTTCTTGCTTCTGTAGCTGGAGATAAAATGCCGGCCTGACGTGCCATGATTGGTGGTGATGACTGTGCGACTTTACTTATTGGGAACAAGGAAGCTCACCCCTACTATAGTTCCAATTTTAGTTTGATCATTGGATTTACATTGTTACTCCTGGGGTTGGGGTTCATGCGTGTCTGTGTTCTGTTTCACAGATTTGCACGTTGGCGACGAGCTCCTCTGCATCCAGGGACGGGTGGTCTGCGACCTGGACATGCTCTACATCGAGAACCTGCTCCAGACCAGCTCCTCGGTCACGCTGACTGTCCGGTCCAGCAGGACAGTCTTTGCCCAGACCCAGGCCATGCTGGACACCAACAGGTACATCGACCAGTTGACCTGCCCACCCCCACCCAGCCAGAACCGGCTGACCGACGACATGATCGATTTGCTGATCATACCCGGGCCAAACAGTAAGTAGCCTTCTGATAACTTGCTCTGATCCTTCGTTTAACCTCCCCCCAACCACCACCACCACCAAAAAAACTGCTATGAGGAATACCAAATAATATTGAAACCATTGAAATATTAACTTTTTTCCCTCTGAAATTATTAGGATTCTAGTTTGAATGTGACAGTGTTCAAGTTAATTCAGATTTTGAGACTAGGGCCGTTTTCCATTACTCAACTTCGTCTCCGTCTCAGGCTTCGTTCCCAAAACCAATCCCCGATTGTAGGCTTGAAGCGTTTAACTAACATTGAATTACTGTAATTTCAGGCTTTCTTGCATCTTCTTTGATGTTTTGTGGCACTATTAGACTGATTACTGCGCTTACAGCTTCAAAGTCAGCTAGTAAAAAAACCAGTTGAAGCCTGAGACGGAGCCGAAGTTGAGTACTGGAAAATGGCCCATTATTTGATGCTGCATTTTACAGGAACTGTGTTATGAAACCTTTGTGAAAGGCCAGATGTATACTTACGCTTGTTACATTCCTTGCCTGTTTGCTTCAATTTGTTATTTTCCAGTTAACAGCAATTTCTAAGCATTTGATATTTCTGCTGATTTGGGGCTGCTCTTGGACCTTGTCTCGTGTCGCACCATTGTGACAGCTGAAGTTGGCCTTTAATGAGGGTGCAATTCATTTGGTCAAATTATCTTAATATATATGGCCTTCCCAAGGTGGCATATTGGATGGAGTGTACAAGGGAAGGGCAGTGGAAACTTCTACCATTGTTATTCAAATTAAATCCCCTTGAGAGGCCTTAAGCTTCTCCCACACAACAAAGTCATAACAGCCAAGGCTTACGTCATGGATGACAAATACAAGGAAGTACTTGTGCGCTAAAGAAGATCAGTGCGCAAATAAGGAAGGAAAGGAATATGACACTGTGGTCAACTCCTAGACCCGATCTGACGGAAACAGGAGTTGGAGAGTGTAAAGCAGCTCTATCTTTTCAATCCAAGAAGTCCTGGAGAGGGACGACGTGACTTGAGTGATATTTTGGATGACAGCAAGTAGTAACACAGGCTTCTGAAGGATATTTGGCATCTGGAATTCTTCTCTGGGACTTTTTTGGGGGCAGAAATATTGAATAGACTGACGAGGAAGCTCCATATACTGTGATCTGATGCACAAATGGAATAGAAGTTGACATTTTTCATCAAATTGGTGCATCTGAAAGACGGCTTGAAGAATCGGCAATGCAAGGCGGCAGGAATTGCGGCATCGAGAACAAGCCTCTGTTTAATTTTTCACAGAAATGCTTTAATGAGGAGTCACTGAAGTTGCACGGATCTTGATTTGACATGAAGTAGAAGTTGAAATCCACAGTTTGGGCCAATTCCAACGTACAGGAGTAAAAAAAAAATGGGGAATATACCGAGCCAAGCCAGTACACTACGGGCCAGTATCAGGAAGTCGTTTTTTCAGCGGTCATCTCGGTCGTCATGGGCACTCAGGGAGAACCTTGGCAACCAACCCGAGGGAACTTGTCATATGATCGGCCAAGATTTATGTATTTCTGGTAGACAGCAAGGTCAGCCTATTGTTTCAGAAATCTTCACAATTATGAAAAGAAAAACCAATGTTTTCTCAAAAACTTTGAAGGTACATAGCCTTTGTAGCAACAAAGACTTTAAAAAAAATGAAATTAAACAGCTGTAGGTCTGGAAGTAGTTGTGATATTTTTTCAATCAAAGCTTTTACTAAAACAATGAGTAAAACAACATTAAGAATACAAAACATTGAGTTTTGTATATTTTCTCTGACATAAAACTGAAAAGGATAACACTTCAGTAATATTTATAAATTTTCAGTCTATATGGTTAACTCTGTCTATGCCTGTACGAGTAGAGCTTCACAGTAGATTTTTTCCACTGGACCAAAACCTTCAGAAATATGCTGACTCATAATTAGAATTGGCCCGTTCCCTAATGATGCTTGACTATATAAAATTTACCAGAGGTTACTTCTTTGTTGGAATTGGCCGAGTTGACCGCATGACAGATTTGTCAGCAGTCTCTTCTGTTGTCTGGTGCCCTGAGGGTTCTCGAGAGTTCAGACAAAGACAGCCAAAATTGTCTGTTTCGCCCAAATGATCCACTCGGTCAAGCAAACACCCTTGATTTTTGGCGGGGGGATTGTAGTTTGTTTAGTGGTATGCACCAGAGTAAAGGGGATATAGTGCATGCTTTACACTGCCCTTACTTCAGAGAATTGGAGGTTGTTTTCTGCTTCAGGGAAGTCCTGACAAGTGAGTTCAAGTTGCTCTGCCTCCAATAAATTTCATTCTCCCGTCGTATTGGTTTGTGAAATCAGCATTTTGGAACGTAGACAACATGTAGCAAATGTTGAACTAAGGAAATGGATCCTTTCTTTCCTTTTAGCCAACCATTTATTGCCAGGGTCTGTTCAGCACAGTTGAATAAACACAGCGATAAACTTTACAGCTCCACAGTTTGACAGTATTGGGTGTGCTTTACACCCGCTGATCATGTCATGCATTCTCTTTGTCACAGCTTCTTCAGGGTGACTTTCGTGGCAGGATGTAACTTTTTGTGTGTGTTTTTTTTTCAAAGAAACATTTGGGGCATCATAGAGTGTTGCAATCTTATGTAAACAAACACAGTAGACAAATACGCCATTAGAAAAGTATATTTATAGATCATAAATACAGGGTAAACAAGTTTACAACAGCATTTGTAAGGTGAAACATGTTGCTTTTTATGCCCAAACTATTGAAAAACTAATAAAAGGTTTTCAATAATATGGTATTATTAAGAACAAGAAGTTCTTTGGAGTGTAATGAAAAGTTTGGTTTGTCAGTGAAAGTTGTCGTGACATTGGTACCACCTTCCTAGTTTCCCTTTTCTAGCACAGCTTTCCTTTGTGGTGGTTTATTGTAAATGACGTGTAATTGTGCTTTCGACGAGAGCAACAATTCTCTCTATTTCACTTTTGTTATTAATGCAGTTGAACCCAAAAGAGGTAGTTTGCGTGTGTTGCTGCAGAAAAGATTAGAAGTTTTGTCTTTGTCCATGGGCTAAAAACTGAAGGGGGCTCTCACCTACCAGTTGCTCAGTCGGGCACTGTCTTATATCCAGCCTTTGCGCTGTTGCTTCAAGACTATGTTGTGTGCAAGCATGACTTACTGGGATGCGTTGTTGTGTCTCCCCCCCCCAGCCTATGAAGAGAGCGAGGGGTCGGACGTCAGCCTCCTGTCTTCCACCCCATCCCAGGGTCCCAGCCCGCTCAGGTACATGTATGACCCCGTGGAGGAAGAACGACAGCGGCAGGAGCGAGCTCGGCAGGAGGAGGACCGCAGGGCGAAAGACAGCGAGCAGCACCCCAAGCAGATTGAGCAGCTCCTGAAGGGCGTGGAGCAGATCACTGACTTCTGCCGGACCATGGAACGGCCCCGGACGGAGGAGGAGGCGGCGGCGGGAAAGGGTGGAGCCGAGGAGAGAGACGGGGAAGGCGCACAAATGGACGATGCGGCCATTCTGCAACAGTCGGCGCAGAAACTACGAAAGGTGGGAAGGCGTTTTCCTCCAACCTTCAAGTCAAATACAATTTTTACACTCTCCAGGGCGTCGGGGTATCATGTATTAATCTGAATCCACTTGGCAGTTTTGTGAGAGATGTTTGAATCTTTCTTACTGCCGTCACCCAGGGAAACATTGTTACTTTACACACTCTTCTCGTTTACTATAAGAGGGACGTCACATTTCACTTTCCTCTGACCGATGAAATGCATCCTTCCAGGTCATTCTTGAGCTTCAGGACACTGAGAGAGCATATGTCAAGGACCTCAACCTTCTGGTGACGAGATACTTGGAGCCCCTGCAGAGCGAGTCCTTTCTCACTGCAGATGAGGTAAGAATAGCGAAAAACAGGCGTATACCTACCCCTACTGTATTAACAATGTGCAGTGAAATATTCTCACGGAAATGGAATTTACGTCTTTAATCAGCTGGCCGGTCCATCGTTTTATTTCCTGTAGATCGATGCTCTGTTTGGGAACATCAAAGAGATCATCAAATTTCAGACTGTCTTCCTCAAAAGTCTGGAGGACTCAACTGACGTTCCTGAGTATGATGCGTTTACTGACCCAGCCCAATTTAAGGTGAGCTCACACCACGAATGCATGTCTAAAGGTTTCCGTCTCCCCCACGTTTCAGTGTCATTACCACAGATGTTGAGGACAAAAATCTGGTACAGTTTGAGCACCAAGTTATCGCCTCATCTCAAATATCCCAACAAATCCATTTTTAACAACTTTCTTTACTCGAACAGGTGTGGCACGAGAGATACTGCCTAAAAATGGAAACTCATGTTTGCATGATTGAAAAGCACAGATTGCTTCAAACTTCCAAAGCATCCTCACAATGACAATAAAAAGACTCATAAAGTTTCTAAGCAATACTTCCAACTTCCATATATTCAACTTTCACTTCCCTGAAATTTACCCGGATGTCAAATTCTGAAGACTAAAGCGAGAGCAACCCCCTCTTTCTCCCTTGCTTCACCAACCCAGCGCGTCCTGTTCTCCATGGGCGGAGCCTTCCTCTATTACATGGACCACTTCAAGCTCTACAGCGCTTTCTGTGCCTGCCACTCTCGCTCCCAGAAGATCCTGGACCCGGCCCGCGGCAACAAGGCACTGATGGAGTTCCTTGAAGCCAGGAACCCCAAGAACCAGCATTCTTCCTCCTTGGCCTCCTATCTCATCAAACCCATACAGGTAGGCCAGACTGAAGGAAGACGACCCATTCTGTCCTTTCCTTCGGGCAGCAAACGGCAGTGTTGTATTGGAGTCCATCACAAGTTCTTTCGCAAGTCTCTCCACAAGGCCAGTCATTAGTAACCGGCTGAACAATGACAAAGGAATGCTTTTGTCACGGCTCACTTGAATAGCTTGTGAATTGGCTGAAAGCCAAATGACTTCTGATGGACTTGTGATGGACTTACAGGGACTTGGAGGGACTTGTGATGGACTCGAATGCAACACTGGCAAGTGGAAAACCTCTGTTGGACCTACAGCCGTGAAGATTTTATTTGGAGAAACTGAGATGTTTTTCTCATTTTTTGGGGGGGGTGGAGAGTTTGTCTCAAAGTTTGAAATTTTAAACAAAATATCTATTTCTCAGAGGCCTGCTTTGGAATTAGATAGACATCTGCTCTCCTACTCACTTACCTATGAGTAATCTGTTTAATTCCAAGCCTTCGTTTTTCATTTCTTCTGTAATTAAAACAAAAATTTAACTGCATTTCACCAATTTGCTACCCATTTACAAATAATTCGATCTTCAAATCCTGTATCGGCAGAATCACAAAGAACCCTCATGGGATATAGAGATTGACAGCTCCTACAGATAATCTTCAGAATCTTGTTGATCTCTGAAGACCTTGTTGTTTGTTGAAGTGTTCCTTACTCTCCCAGATGATAAGGAGCAAGTGATGGCAACAGTGAAAGGTTCCGGCAATTCAGGAAAGTCATCATCCGCTCACTAATCGCCTTTTGCTTCTTTTTGTTTTTAATCTCCAGCGCGTCTTGAAGTACCCTCTCCTCCTTCATGAGATGAGGAGTCAACTGGATGGGAACAGCGAGGAGCACTACCACCTGTCGCAGGCCCACAAGGGGATGAGCCAGGTGGCTGGCCATATCAACGACATGATGCGCGTCCACGAGGAGTACGGCGACATCTTTGACGGACTTGTATCCGAGCAATACCACGTCAAGAAGGAGGTAACTGAACAATATCATGAAAAAAAATTATGATCATTTTCAAGAAGTCGAATTCTTTGAAGAAATTCACAACCCTTGAGATTTTTCAAAGTTGTTGCTGGTGTTTTTTTTTTCTGAAAAATGTTCAAGATAAGTCGTACTGTGTTGACATTTACGAAGGCAATTTGCTGCATAAGAAATTAAAAGGGAAACTCCAAAGATTTTCAAAGAAACCCATGTGATCTTGCAGAATGCAAATAGGTCAGATACAACCTTGAGCCCAAGTGGGATTTAAGCTTGGGTCATGAGGGTGAGAGTATGAACTCTGGTAGAATTGGTCCCGCAGTCTGAGCTGACTTTGTAAAGGTCAACACGGCCAGAAATTACCAGTTCAGTCAGATTTGAGTGATACAGACAGTCAATGCATCTCTGAATTAAACTTCAGAACATTGAGTCAGTCAATGCAAAGTATTGGCCGTTGGTTTTGTTTGGGGGGGCCACTGGTCATATGTGTAAGATTTTTTAAATCACTGCTTCCTGCTGTTTTTTGGTTGTGTTGATTCAAGTTCTGATATTTAGAATGTTGCAGTGGGTGTTAAAGAGCTAACTTCAAATATTCATTTGGTGTGAGCTGCTACCCAAGATTGCTCCCGCAATCCCCAAACTCCCTGCTCAAATCACCTCACTTCTCTCACATTTTAATGAGCAATTATTCGAGGTTTCATGAGATCTTGACCCCAAGTGCCCACCCAGGCTTGCTGTAAAATCCAGACTGCACAACTGTCACGACGCTGTCACAACTGCAGAAAAATCAGGCCAAGTTTACTTACCACTTAACAAAAGCCTCCAAGAATATGCCTGCCAAGTGTTAGGTGCCTCTTCCAATTTTAAAAGGCAGTTTTCTCCCAGCGTTGATACAGAAAGTAAAGGGATTTAAATCTGATAATTCAGACATGAGAACAAGTTTTAACCGGCCTATTCGAGCAAATGTTGTAGTTGATGTCTCACATATCTCGATCCATTTCACCCATTAGGATTTCCATATCGTTTATGACAACCTCCATTTGATTTCATTCTCCCTTGTTTATCACTGTCTTTTGTTCTGCTTCTTGCTCCCTGCTACCTCCCTTTTTTCCGCTCCTCCAAAATGGCCGCTCTCTCAGCTGGTGGGAACCAAGGTACAGTGCTCATTCCCCGGGGCGCAGTATTTCTTGCCCTGTTTGTCTTCTTTTTTTTTTCCTTTTTACTGTCCTTTATTTTAATTGAATTTTGTTCTGTTACCACAAACCCTTGCTTTATGAACAAACCTCAGGCGGACAGAGTAATCAATTTCAAGTCGCCGGATTTTAAAGAGGTCTGACACTTGGTTCGTAATTGGTCAGACTTGGCATTAAAAGTGCATCATTTTTATGTTCTATGAAGCAAGGGTTGACATCTCTGGTATCTAGTCACAGATCCTGTCCAGAATTGTTAACATTTGAACAAACTTACAGAAGCGTTTTTTGTGGAGTTCGCAAGCAGCCCTTTAAGTTTACTTTGTTGATGCCATCTTGGCTGGTTAGCGCTGTAATTTCACCACTCTCTTTGGAACAGTGAACCAAGATGTATAAAAATGTTGATCATTTTGGACCAATTCAGCACCTTTTCATTTCTTGCTTTATACCATCTGTTTGCCATCAGCACTCTTTCGGCTCACGCTTACACCACAAATCACAGTGTAAACTTGGCAAAGTTAAGGGCCGTTCAAAATTGTCAACCATTTTGAAATAAAAAGTAAAACCAACTTTGTTAAAGGGGACATGCATTTAAGTAACTAGTTTTTGAGAAGTTGATATTGCAAGCATTGGTTCCCCGTGATTGGACCCAGAAAGTTACAGTTTTGGACGGCATCTTTGTGTAGATTAGAACTAACAGCTGCATTTGCTTTATTGCTTCGCTACGGAAGTCGTTGTTAACGCAGCTGGTCACACGACTTCACGATGCACACAAGGTGCGTGTTTCACTGACTTACTGCTATTAACATTAACTCCAGTTGATCAAAGTTTCATCTAGAAGCTCACTTTTCATGTCTGCCATTCACAAGTGCACATATGCTGAGGTCTGCATTTTACAGTCGTTGAGTCAAAGGCAGCATGCAGAAATTTGTTCAGAAAAATTCAAATTCAGCTTTCTGTCACAGTGAGATTAATCTTGTTCTATTCTATGACAAAAAGGTTTTTTGTATGCTTATTAATCACAGTAATGGGGGTTACCCTTCACCTGTATCGACTTTAAATAATTTGTGACAGTGGTTGATATGTTGAGATTTTATATCAACTTTAAATAACTTATTAATTTTTAATGATATAGAATGCAAGAAATGAAAATGTGCTGAAGATATCTGTCCCTTTTCTCACTGTTTATTAGGCACCAGCTTGTTTCCTTGTTTCGTTTGCACAGTTTCTCAGCTGGTATTTTGTGTTATAAGTTTTTATTTTTATCATTTAAAGTATTTTATTTCCCATGAGAGGAAAGTGACTCCTATGTTTGTTGAAAAATTGCCACTCGTTTCTGTTGAAAATGCACCATTATATGAGGAGGCAACATTTTTTCCATGAATGTGTCTCGTTCTGAAAGCAGTCTGCAGGATATTTATAGGTTTTGCTTCTACTCACAAATGTTTATGATCCCCTTTTGTTCTTTCTGTTTCCAATCTATTGTTCTGATTACTGCCGCTTGTATATGCAGACCTTGTTCACTTTCAGTTAGCAGACTTTTATCAGTCCCACAGGCTTTTTTATACTTTGCCACCGTGCTTAGATACGCAAATCGGCTTGAAAGTCTTTTTTTATTTCATGTTTTTTCTCCAGATTAACACAGGTTTGTAAACAAGTACATGCAATTGTCCTCTTCCCCTAGGTTGCTGATTTAGCAATGGATGACCTTGTCATGTACAACACCGCCCTCTGGCTGAACAGCCAGGATGACCTGGGAAAGGTCAAGCGAGGCAAGGAGCCAGAGGTCGTTATATTTGGTGAGGTTACAACCAATCTAACCTTTCTCTAACGCTTTGTTGTGCAAGCTTATGCAGAAGTTTGCGCTCCTTATTTCATCATGCCGCCTTGCAGAAATGGTCACTTCGCAAAATTTGACCCCCTCAATCTTGTAATTCCTATGGGTTTCGTGTCCTCCCTGTTTAGTTTTCCGGCCAGCTGTGGTGATCATCTGCAAGGAGAGGACCAAGAAGCAGCGCAAGGCGTCCGTGAAGGGCAACAGCCAACTGACTGAGGACATCATCCGCTTCAAGTGGATGATCCCGGTGTCCAGCATGCAGGTCAAGGATGCCAGTGTCAGCGGTAGGTCCGAGGACAATCCACTGAGGACTGAAAATTAGAGTAGTAAATGAGAATGACAAATTATCTGATGGCTGTGCCGGTCTTGATAGAATAACTTACTTGGAAATCACAGGCACTGTTATTTTGTGGTTTAGAGCAAGTGATTGTTGTAAATTGTCTTGCTCAGGGACATAAGCTTGAGAATCCTTTTCCTATACTGAAATCATTATTCAGCCAAAATAAGTTTAAAATCAGTCGAAGAACCCTGAGCATTACAGTAATACACAGAAAAACGGTCAGAATTTTCAGAAGCTGGAAGTTATTTTTTGTTGATGTAATCTGAGGTTTGCCCAGACAACATCAGTCAATATCAGTGTTATGATTCTCTTTGTAGATTCTGACTACTTAAGCCTGTGGGAATTAGCACACACCAAGAGTGAGGGAAAGTCCGAGAAGTTCTTCCAGTTTTCCTGCAGGTACAAATTGCAAGGAACCGAGGGTGTCCTTAGTCTAAGTTTTCAAAGTGTTCCTACAGTCCTTCATTCATTTTCAACTCTTGAAAATGCCACCACCTCATGTTAACAAATTTGATTAATTCAGTGTTGATTTTTGTAAAAATCCATTCAAGAGATCTTTGATGCATTTCAAGTGTGGTTTTGTTTTGTTTTTTGTTTTTTTTGGTTATGCAGCACATCGGAGTTGAAGTCTCTCTTTGTCAAGACCATTAAGCAGATAATCCGTGACCACAAATACAACAAAAACACCACCACCAGTGGGAAGTTCACCCTGGGCCGTCCTAAGACCTACACCCCCTACAGTGGCAAGCGTTTGGAGGGGCTATCACAGCCCAGACGGACCCTGCGCAAGTCTCTCCAGCGCGGCGAGTCCAGCCAGGCCGAGGGCTCGCAATGCAGCGAGGAACGGTCCAGTGGAAGTGGCTCAATGAAGGGGGACCGGTCAGAAGGGGACCAGTTTGACTCACTGGAGACGGACTCCAACAGCACGGGGCAGGGTAGCATGGGGATCAAGAGGCGCACCAGCCTGGACTCAGGGATGCACTCCAATGACTCCAGCTCCCTCACGGGCAGCAACCGCGACAGCGACCCGCTCAACACCAACGTCAACAACAATGTCCAGCGGATGACCCAGGAGGACGACTCGGTCTTTGGCTCGCCAAGCTGCCCCCTGACCCCCATGAGCGAGGGAGGGGATTGGGCAGCAGTGAGCAAGCCCTCCCCGGTTCCCCTCTCCCAGAAGGAGATACAGGAACGCCTTGCCATGATGGATCTGTCGGTCACCGATGACAGTATGCCAAGAAGCTCCGAATCCGACATCGCAAGTGCCAATCGGACTCTGAGCATGAGCGGGGGTGCCGTACCTGTGTCCAACCGAAGCCGGCGGCAGAGGCTGAGCCAAAGGAGCTCACTGTACGACAACATGAAGTGCGACTCAGTCGAAGAGGAAGAGGAAGAAATCAAAGACACAACAGACGCAAACTCCAATGTCGTTCCTGGAATTCCGGGCTCTTATGCCAATGAGCAAAGCATGACATTGTAGATGTAAGAAGTCACAGCCAACAGACGTCCTTCCATCGCTGTAAGGTGCTTCTCGGCAAGATTTCCAGTGTCGCAAGGATTTGTTTGGACAACCAAATAGTTTGTGCCGGTCTCACAAAGACAAGTCTGGTGTCAGTTTGATGTGATTCTTTGTCTGAAATCGCTGAAGATGTGAAATTAATTTCTTTCACCTCGGAAGCAGATTTGTCATTCTTGAGACAAAAGGGTTGCTGCAGGATGCTTCTTTTTACGTTAACCTCCAGAGTTGACCTCACCTTTTGAAATCAAGTGGAGACCACATTGGCAATCCTGTATAGTTTATCTCTTGTACATTTTGCAACAGGTGTAAATTATAAAGATAGGAAAACTCTCGCTTTTATCATCTCAAGATAAAGGAATGGATTCTTATTGCTTTAAATACACAAGGTCAGTATTTCTCAAACATGTGTAAAGATTGTACGTTTGAGTTTTTTGGGGGAAAGGTTGGCAGCGTTCAATTTTACTGTGCTAAAGAAAGAACAATGACAGTAAAGCGGCAACAAATATAAATAGTGTATGTACGGAAAACTGCAGCATTTACATTGCATTGCAAAGGGGAAAAACTAATTTGAAACTGGACTGTGCCTTGTGTAAACTGCTGGGATTTTTTTGCAGACGGGGAAAAAAATGGAAAGTTTATAAAGAATATCAGTATTTTGTGACTTTAAGTAATCATCCTGTACGAATGTATAGGGATTGCAATAAATGCAATGTAAAGGAAATTTTTATATCACATTAATTGCCTTACAACTATACTCGGGAAATTGAAAGTTTTTTCTCAGTTGAACAACGACATTTTTTAAAGATAAGCTGCAGCATACAGTCACTTTGATTTGAAATTACACAGAGAGCTGATAATATGGTATCACTTGTAAAGGTTTTTGTATTTAGTGAGAATGTCAGATACAGTGATCAAATTTTTGATCAAAGTGTCATTCAGTATCAACAGAAAAACTGATTTGATACATCCAGAACACGATTTCTGGTCTTTAATTACTGAAACATACTGTGGACAAACTCGTCACAGACAGGAAGCATCACTGTACAGATAATTTACGATAAAAAAAATCATGTTTCTGCTCCTTTTTTCCGGAAGTAATACTACTCTTGATTTTTTTGTGCTATTCCTATAGGTCCACAGGGTACCTTCACACAGAGGTGTGGGGGATGTTATTAGGGACTTTACCAAGCGTCTTGCTGCTACTTGATTTGTGCATCTGATTTGCTGTAACATTTTATACTCATAGCTATAAGAATTGTCCGTGTGATTACAAATCTCTTACCATTTCGTCAAAGAAAAAGGACCCACATTTTTCACACATAAAATGTCATATGAAAAAAAGTCAAGAGAATTTCTTCAGACACTTGACACATATCTTTGCCAGGTATTTTTTGACACATTTTTGATCCACCCCTTTTGGAAACTCCAGTTTCACTGGAATTTGGGATAAAATTGGTGTTGCATTGGTTGTGCAATAAACATCGAAGAAATTTCCAGACCCTCTATAGCTTATATGCAGTAACGTGTTACTTCTTTTGTTAACAAAAAGTACGTCAGTAGGAAATAACGTTGGTGTTTGATGTGCATTTCTGTTTGTTGTTGTTTTTTTTTTTTTCTTTTTTTTTACATGAGCTTTTATATTGAAACTGTGCTAATAGAACCCTACTCTTTCATACTTGTTTGCTTTTTTCCTTTCAATGTACCTTTTTTTTTTACAATATTGTGTCATGTAAATTATGATGTAATTATATATCTTCTGTTGTTTTATTTATGAATCATTATTTTGAATATGTATTAATTTCTTTAGTTCAGAACTCTTCCCTTCCGACACTGCATTGTTCTGTAGAAATGTCTCCCCGTCTTCATTTTACTTCAAACATTTTTTAAATGGCTACCCTTGAAGAGTGTTTTGAAGTCAAACGAGAAAATTGCAAGCTTTTCTCAAAGCGTTGTGGCGGTCATAATATGAGAAAAATAAGAAGAAAAAGCACCCTAGGACTTCCAGGATCAACCAAAGTTGCCTTAGAAAACAAGATGCTGACGTTGAGATATATGCAGCTTTTTATCACTGCTATTTTGCCATGAATTTAAGCGCAGTTGAACCATGTTTTTAATTGAAGGAAAGCAATATAATCTCGATTACCTTTTCCTTAAAAGTATAGCATGGGCTCTTCTCAAAGGACTCAAGAAAAGTAAAAATAAACCCCAATCTTTTTTTCTGAAAATAGCTTAATTTGATCATGTGCAGGCAAAGAAAAGAAACTGTAATGTGAGTTAAATAAACATTGGTGTGGAAACAGATTTTAAAGAAATTTTTAAAAATCCATTATTGAAAGCTTAAATTTCCTTATCTCAAGAGTGTAACTTTTTATTCGAACAAACTTTCACCTAAATGTGTCATACCTTGGAAATGTCCGGGACAAATATTCTACAGAAATTCCCGTTCTTGTGAATGCACAATGACCTCAAATATTGAGGGGGAAATAAAGCGGCCAAGAACGGTTACCACTCTACAGTCACCGAGTCCAATGAATGGATACCTACCGCAATAAACAAAGGCATGCAGAGGGTGGATCTTTCGGCCCAAAAGTTGTCCCTAATTTAAACCATTCCCTTATTTCATGAAACTGCAATGATTTTATCCACTATGTAATTTTATAATTGATAATATAAATATGGCCAAAATATTGTCTTTCAGGCAGATGTAAAATACGCAGTGCCTCCAACCTTTGTGTTGCAATTAGTAAATTTGAAAAACAGTTGTAAAATCATTGTCTTATGTGTCTTCCCTTCGGTTTCAGTCGTTTTTCTGCGTTATAATTTATTTATTGTTGTATGGATATGGTGTCTGTCAAGCTTGACATTTAGATTTTGCTTGAAACAGGATTAGCACCAGCGCCATAAAGATGGCCTTGGAACTGGTCGTGTATGCTGTCACATGAGTTGGATGACGGAATGGCTCCTCCCCGGCCCCATCCTAACGGGAAGAAGTACTCGATTGGGGGGTTTTGCCGGCTGATATTTTCTGAAGTTTTTGAAGGAAGTTATTTGGGGTAACTGTGAGTGTTTTAACGCATCACACATGGTGGATTCAAATTTGCATGATTGGTTTTCAAGTTTCTGTAGGAAAGTCACATTTTCTCTCAATTTACAATTTGAAATTTCCAAAAAAATACGGTCAGCGCAATAAAGAGAGTGTTACCTTTGATTTTGATATACTGTTCTATGATCCATGAAAAATATTTTTTCTACTCCCTCCAACACATCAGTTTTCAAAGACTTGTTACAAATTTGGCTAAGACTAGCCAACAAAATGTTGACTACTACTCGGGACACCTAAGTTCATAAGGAGCAAATACGCTATTTCATCAGAGGGGGTGATCATGAAATCTCGCAAAATACACTTTTGTACAAATACCATAATAAAAATGATTTTAAAAAATCTTGTAAACAACGGGGCTATTTATTCCCAAAATAACCTCAGAAGAAAGCGCTCATTAAGGGCAATGACTGCGCATATTTAGAGCACACGGCGTTATGCCAGCAACTGCGCAAGCATTAAATTGATATTGTTATGAGATCATACATGTACCAATCAACACCAATGAACACCAACAAATCATGAATATTCAATTGCGGCGGCGATCATAGGGTACAGGGTTTCGTGGCTGTGAAACAGATGGCTCGTGGCAAGCGCTCGCTATGGACATATCGGGCATGCCAGAAAGTGGCAATCTCAGTGCAAGATGTTATAGCCCAGGCAGCTCAAACTCCTACGCCCTTCCTATGTGCCTGCCACATGCGCATGCGTTCTTCGGCTAGATGCACGCGTGCGTTTGGCAAGTCAAGCACCCTATTGGAAAAAGAGGCATGAAACGCGCGTACCACCTGTTCACGAGCGTAGGACCCATCGACATGGCTTCTCGTTCTGCTCACCGACTTTAATAGGCAATAAAACTTCTTCACGTGACGTAAGATGACTGCCAAAGGAGGAAGCGTACAATGTCCCTGGAGGCTAGTGCATTTTTCAGTCCGTGTATTTCTATTGACAGTTTTATGTACGCCAGAATGTTGAGACCATTGATATCCATTATAATGGAGCTCAATGGTTGAGACATGAGAGACTTCGAAGGCAAGCACGTTTCCTCGCACATCTGTGACTGAGCGCTGACCATCAAAAATTTACACAACAGAAAATCCTCAAATACCCAACCCAACCATCAACATTATCGGCCCATGCCTCATACTCAACCATCCTTTTAATGCTCAAAACCTACATGTAGGTACAGTTATTCTTTATCATATCTGATATACAGAAGATAAGAAAAAAATTGCAATGTCACAAACTGCAATTATAGATAACTTTAACCCATGTAATTTGGGCAGTCCCTGGGCCGGGACATGAGGAAAGTTTGCTGAACTTTGGAGATGGGAATCACAAGACCTAAAATTAAAAGGGTTTCGCAGGGTTTCGCCTCTTTCCCGGGATTTCATTACAATCTTCATTTATAAATAGTCAGACACATTCAGATGGAGTGGGATCGCACCTTTTGAGAACAGAGTTGATATACTTGAAAATAGTCTGGAACCTTTTTCCCGGAAGCGAAATTGGACAAAATGCTTGGTTGATGTGGGGGACCGTGCAGGTGCTACAGCATGGGGAATGCATATTGTGAATCTACGCGGAAGTTTTCTTGTTTTGAGTTTCGAAGTGGGAGCAATTTTGTCGTCTCGTGATTGTGAAGTCATATACTGTAGCCACTTTTCTGATTATCTTGTTTTCTGGAACTGCCTATTGTCATTCTAGGCAGGTAAGAAGGGTTCAATGTTGACAGACTGTAATGTGCTTTTGCTATGTCCGTCATTTGGTCATGCATGTCATGGCAGTGGCGGGATGACTTGGGATGTTTTCGAATTTCATATGATTTAAGGAAAGTGATTAGGACATTAGTTGATATCTTGCATTTGTTTGTTTTTTTTTCAAATTAAAGAAAAGTCTAATTCCCTCAAAAACCAGTCCCTGGTGGATACCGGTCTCATATTCCTAGGCTAGGATTTGAGCAACGAGTGTTAAGTCATGTAAGTCTCTGCAGTGGTTTATTAACAGTCAGAAAGCAATAACATAGTCTAAAAAAAAGTCAAAGTTAGCAAGGCAAATATTGAAGCATTTACTTAGAAAAGACTTGGAATTTTTCAGGCCAGTCTCATGTGTTTGTGAACAGGGAGTCAAGTGATGTCCATGTATGGAACTCTTTCTTTAAACTTCAAGTAGAGGGATTGGGGAATGATGCATATCACATGTACAGCATAGTACGACTGTAATATGGGCCACTTAACAGGGAACAACTGTTGATTTGGGCAGAGTTCACTCCAACACGTAGCTTGCTAACCATTCAATTAATTTCTGTATGATTTCAGGTTCAATCAGCGAGCAATTTTCCTCTGAGCAACCGGCAAGAATCGTGGGGGGCAAAAGATTTGTTTCGTGAACATATGAGCTCATCTTGGCATCATGGAGCAACTCGGCCAGAAGCTGGATTTTGTGTCCATCTCATCCTTACCGACGTGGGACAATGAGGAGAATATTCCTGAATACAGAGTCTCAGCAGATGAGAGTAGAACCTCAAGGTTCCCATGTGACCCCTCACTCAATCAGAAGATTGTGTTGTGGTAGGCATTGCTTTGTCAATATTGAATACATGTATAATGAATGAATATAATGATTTCACAGATATGTCATTCCAAGATTCCATTCATTGCACAATTAGGGAAATTTTTGTTAGAATATTGACATGGGCTCAATCGAAGATAATATTTTTTAATCTGACAGGGAAGGTGACCCCACAGCCTTAGATGCGATGGGCCTCATTCATCCGACCAACGAACATCTGAATGAAAATACCCCTCTCACAGAAGCCATCCACAAGCGGGCAGGACCAGACCTTCAAAATGAACTGATCAAAACTGTCAGATGTAAGATTATATAATTTCAGTTCAACCCCAGGCCAAAATATCATGAAATTGAAGGCCCAATTGGTGTTCTCCACAAACACATTTTTTTGGCAGAGCGGCATGACGTCATCAAGTGCACTATGACATAGTCAGACAGGTGTGAAGATTGCAAGGTGCACTTCCCTCAAGGAAAAATAATAAATTCGGTTTCCTCAGATGAGATCACAAGGGTATTTTTAAGGTTATCTTTTCTGTTAAAAATTCGTAAGGGGTATTCTTGCATGACCTTGGATAATCACTATTACGCCAAAGTCCAACATGTGACTTGGCTTGTCGTAATGTGTTGTTGCAGTGCCGCACGTATATGCATTTTTACAGAGCACAAAATGACTTACACCTGCACCACTACATAGTAACCGTCAAGTGCATCCAAGTAGTGATACTACAAAACATGCTCTACAGAGAGAACGCAGTTGGAAGAATTGCCCACAAATAATAAGATTTTAGGTCTGTTATTGCTATTATTGGCCCAGTGGTAGTTCCTGTGTATTTATCGGTGATCCAGAGACAAATAAGCTGCTGTTTGGACATTTTAGAAAGTCTTTCTGATTGCCATGTTTTCGATCGCAATACTTACACGTGCATGCTCCAAAGTTTAGTCAACATGAGTTGGAGATTGCGGAAATTGCTTGTTTTTTTCCCGACGGTGACATCTGTACAGTTGTTCGACTAATGACATCACTTGAATCTTGGTCCGAGTTGTTCCGATCGCGCCGAGCTGAAATCACTGCGAGGAAGTGTGTGTTCTACAGGTACATGTACAAGACATGCAGGCAGCGCTGCGGTAATGCATGCAGCGGTGTGCGCTGTATGTACATGGTCTGCGAGACCGGCGGTCAGAAAGGCTGATTTGGGGCACCGAGCTGGCAGCATGTGACGGCAGAGATTGTCCTGGCCATTGGATCTTGGCCGTTTCTATTTGTTTTTCATTTCAAAAAGTTGGCAGAGTGTTAAGAATTTTGGCCGGGCGGCCTGAAAGTTTGGTGGGGCGGCCTGCCCTGCGGCTGTCAAATCCGTTTGTGGAGAACACTGCACAGTTATTTCACGACCCTTGGCTTCACATTTGTAACCTGATGATGAGCTTATCTGAAACAGTTGAACATGAATGATATTTTATTGGAATGTGTTCCTCAGTGCTTCATTTATTCATCGATAATTGATACAAATATCAACTATCGATACATTTTTCTTGACAGGTTGCAGAACTGGTGAAGCCAAACTGAGTAAAGGTTACCATCTACCAGCAAGGTTTGTCATCCACACGGTGGGGCCCCGCTACAACATCAGATATCGCACAGCTGCCGAGAGTGCCTTATATAATTGCTACCGTAATGTGTTGCAGCTCGCGAGGTACGATCTTCATAGTTGTTGTTAGGCCGCCCAACTGACATTTTTTTCCCCATAGGGTAGTTCCAAAGCACTGTTGGTTTTAATTAAAGAAGAAAAGTAGAATGCCTTTTGATCTGGCCCTTGGTAATCTCTGCTGCATTGAATGTGACTTCTTTTTTTTTTGTTCTGATACAGAGAACATGAGCTTCGAACTTTAGCCATCTGTGCCATTAACTCGGTCAAGCGGGGCTACCCTCCTGAGGAGGCTGCCCATATTGCAATAAGTAAGTTCCTATAGCCCCACTTCCACCTACCCCCTCCCCCCAGCCAAGAACCCTGTTCACCCTTAACCTTGCCCTTGTCCCACCTCCCCCTTACCCAACCCCACGAAATCCATTCCTACCCCAAAACAGCAACACCCCGGCCCAATCCCTGTCCTTTCTCTGTCCCGTACTACCCTTTTTCAACCCAACCCCAACCCTAGTTCACACTTTGACTTCAAGCCCCAATTTTCCACCCCATTGCCGGTCCACTCAAAGTGGGATTTGGCTTTTCCATTTTGACTTTCTTGGCTCGGAGAGACTGGTGTCGGATTTCAGTTGTACTTCGGGGGCAACAACTTTTTGTGGCTTGTTTTTGTTTTGTAGGAACCATAAGACGCTTTCTCGAGAAGCATGGTCAGGTGTTTGAGAGAATAGTCCTTGTCATACGGGGAATTAATGAGGTAAGGCTGCTTTTTCAAACTGTAGGACCTAATTCAAAAGGAAGCCATTTTTGATCATGTTCCCTGCATCTATTTTATTCAATGTAATCTATGAAATGGGGGGGGGGGCTGCCAGACTACTTGGGGCTCCATGCCTCACTTTCATTTTTTTGAAAAAGTGCTTAAACCATTGAGATATAATAAGTTGCACATTTTAAATTGTTATCATTGTAAATGAAATTATACCGTAATTAACTTTATTTCATTGCTTTTATTTTTATTCTTGGTTTCCCAAAATAAGAAGTTAGCCTCACTTTCAATTCAATATGGCCGACCTGCAAATAAGATCAGTTGTAAATTCTGCACTGTTTTCTTCCCTTTGCTGAAATTTTTTTTTTTTTCAATTTATGTTGTTCAAGGATTGTTATCAAGACCTCCTGCCATTATACTTTCCCCGGAGTAAAACGGAAGAACAGTGGGCTTTGGACCTGGTGCCAGCCAATATTGGTAATGAGGATGGGGAACCAGTCAATCCGGAGAGAAAGATCCGAATAGCGGAGGATCCCATTGGCAGAGATATCGGTAGGTTACCGGTGCCATGGCAGATTCCCGACCCAGATCCACTGCTGTGAATGTTACCAATGTTTACAATCATTTTTTTTTTTCATCTGGAGTTGGGAAACTGTTCAAGGATTTTGGCAATGATCGTTGAAGGTGGCTGCAGTGGTCGGTCTGAATTCCAACCAGCTGCGGCAAGAAAATTGAGTGACATTTATTTGGTAGTTCAGAATTGGAAAGATGGGTACAAGACTAGCAGAGACCCAGCCCTAGACTTGTGCATACAAATCCAAGACCAGCATAACATATCTGAACTTGAGCCTGTGTTTCCAGTTTTAATTTCACTGCAGTCCTAGTCTTGGGCCTAGACGGCAGAACTCGATAGCGGACTCGATCAAGCATATGCCGCGGGCGCCAATCGACGGCTCGTTTTACCATCTTGGGAACCTCCTGCACACCGAGGTGTGGCCCTTGTATGCAAAATAGTAGTTTTATATGAATACTCACAATTGACCCTTGGATGCAAAATGGTGCAAACAGGCTGTGGGTACGTTGGAGCAAGTTGGAGCAAGTTCGTATCAATAGTGTCAGCTTGTTTCTTCAGTTTATGTAATGTCTTTCACAGGCGTACTTCTTTGCTTCTTGTTCCAATGCATCGACCGTAGCCATTATCAACGGTGACAGTACTTGTACTTTAGCAGTATGTTTCCTGACGCGTAGTGTATGTGCATTGTGCGGTGTGGTATATGGTGTACACGTACAGTACTGAGGTCATGTGTTATAGGTTATTGGTCCATATTCATGACATACGGATTCATTAGGAATTTCCCGGGCGCTGATTGGTTCCTCCGGAAATCCGGAGGAAAACTAAAGGAAAGTTAAACTGTAGGAGATTCCAAAGACGGTAGAACGAACCGTCGATTGGTGAAACCAAGTCACTAGAGTGCGCAATAGAAATCAGCGTGCACGGCATATGCTCAATTGCGTCGGCTATCCAGTTCTGCCGTCTAGGCCCAAGACTACTGCAGTCCAGACGGCTCACTGATGGCTGTGACTTTTACAGACTTTTCAACGCCCTACCCTAGTATAGAAAAATGGTTTGTGTGCTTTGTTAAACTCAATCAAAAAGGTGACTTGCAGGCAGATTTATTCATTCAGAAATGTGATCTTGTATCGCCTTAGCTCCAGTCAACAGCAGAGAATCGGATGAGGAACAGGGAATGGACGAAGTGGACATCAGCAGTCACGCTTTCACCTCTATGCAGGCTGACCCGGACAAGACCAAGAGGGAGATGGGAGCCACCAGGCCCATCCTGAGCGTTGAGGAAGAGAAAAAAAGGAGGTGAGATAAATGGCAAAATGTTGGAAAGAAACGGCAGCCCGATAGCATCAAAGAATTTACAGGGACAAGTTGTACATACAACCACTCCTCTCCCTCAAGACAAGAAAGCTTGGAGGCAGGAGAAGAAGATGCAGTGGAGTAGCCTAAATATCAGTTTGTATGCATTCAGCTGAACATTGTTGTGCACATTCAGTTGAACATTGTTTGTGCACATTCAGCTCAAAAATGTTTGTGCACATTCAGCTGAAAATTGTTTATACACATTCAGCTGAAAATCAGTTGTCCACGTTCAACTGATAATTAATGCACATTCTGGTGAAGAGTAATTTGCATGTGTTCACCTGAAAATCATTTGTCCACATTCAGTGAAAATTATTTGTATACATTCCACTGAAACTTGCCTCTCTGAAATATGCTTGTCCTTATTACGGATTGGGTAGGTATGAGCGGTTCTTGAGACGGTCCCGAATGGAGGATTTGTCAGACATTGCCGCCCATCGTTGCATCTACCAGACAGGCGTTGACATCTATGGCCGGCCGATCGTGGTCTTTGTCGCCAGAAACTTTCCCGCAACGGTAGTCGATTTAGAGAAGGTACACAATCTCCCGCAAAACTCTGTTATATGCCAGATTGATTTAAAGAGGATTGGGAGTCAATCAAGTTGACCTCTGGTTCATGTGTACGTTTGTCACGCCATTATGCAGTATGTTGTGATGCAGAACTTGATTGCTGTTTTTTGTGACCCAGCATAGCAAAAAAGTGGGTTGTAAGTTGCCAGAGCTACTTTTTTTAAACCTGCGCAGTGTAAAATAATGGGAACCCTCAAAATTTTGTCACCCAGATAATGTCCGTATCCATCAGATTTCAACCTGAGCTGACTAAAAAGCAAAATCAGAGAAACCAAAATGGCCTTGAGGCTCATTTATTGTTGTATGAATTTTTAATTAGTTCCTCTGTTTGGCCTTCCAGGCGTTCCTGTACTTCATCTATCTCCTTGATCCCATAGTCAACGAAGACTACGTCGTCATCTACTTCCACACCCTCAGCACTGCCCAGAACCAGCCCGAGCTGAAGTGGCTGAGGCAAGTCTACCACACGGTGGACAAGCGGTATCGTAAGCACCTGAGGGCGTTCTACATTGTCCACCCGACCTTCTGGTCACGGGTAAGCCTTCAGCCACGTCCAAAAATTGTTCAGCGTGGTCATGAGCCGTAACCTGCAGCAGCTCAAGGTAGTTACGTTCAACTTCCCGTATTTAATTCGGTGTTCTTTGGTATTATGTTCCCCCGAACAGTTGGTGACGTGGTACTTCACCACCTTCACAGCCTCCAGCATTAAGGATAAGGTCAGGAGCCTGAAGGGGGTTCATTATCTCTACAACACCATCCACCCAGATCAGCTGGACGTGCCGCCCTTTGTGTCCGAGTACGACATGCAGGTGAGTTATCCCCTATGTGCTCTACTCGCTGAGGGCGCTCTCAGCCCTAACTTCAGCAGCGCCGAAAGGGACAGGCCCACCTAAGCCATTTGACATTTGTATAAAGTGTGCTATGAAATATTGTTCCCCTCCAGGTTAATGGGAAGAGCTACTTCAATCCTGAAGAAGGCTCAGAGGTGGAGGGCCTGTGATCTAGGACACCATTGCCTGTAACCAAAGCAGCAGAGGTGTAAGTTGTAAAGATGTCCTCAAAAACCCACTAGGTGCTGATAAATTATTTGTGGCAAATAGAATAGTCCCGTTTTTGTTTTATTTATCACCTTTTAGGGATAGTTTGTATAATTTGGGTTGTTTTAATTTTTGGGAAGTTAGTTGTTTCATTTGAAGATAAGTTTTTGGTGATAATGTGGCCTGATCAAAAGCACCCCTCAGTGACTGAAAAGATCCATGTTGGTCGGGAGTGCTCATTTTGTTGGTAGCGATGAGACTGCAATGCTTACATTTCATAGTCGTTTGAGAATCAGCGGTGCGCAGTTAGTACCAAAAGAGCTTCCATTGCTAAGAAAATTGGACCCTTTCTTGGCTTAGCTTGGAGCCCATAGACAAAACACTTCTACATTTGAACTGTGTTTTGCAACAAACAAAGAAGGTTTTGGCTCTTGTCTTGCACATTCTTGAATCCAAAATAAATCCTGTGTCATGATTTTCAATTTTCAGGTTGGAGAACTGCCACTTATTGGACTTTGCAATAACTTGATTATTATTTTACGTTTTTTTGTTTAACTCACCAGGCTGAAGTTTATTCTGTTAGCAATTTCTAAAGTTCCTTTACAGTTTTCTAAAGAAGTCGAATCAATTTCGTTTGTCAACACACTGGAATACCTTTTCTGTTGTTTTCATCAGTTTAAATTGTTCAGCATGACCATTGGTTGCAGTTGATGTTCTGAGTTGATATTTGTTTGGGTTATTTGTACAATGACATTGAAAGTAATCTTCTAGTCCCATTTTCCAATCCATTGGCTAGTCATTTTTACTTTGCAATTGTTGCCCGAGCAAGCTGGGTGGCAATGTGGTTCGCTTGTCTACACTAGAAGGGGGGGGGTTGGTATTTGCACGATTACCTCCTCAACATAAACCTGTGGAACACTGGAGCAGTATTTGCTGCCCCCTGGTGCGAACACTCGTGAATAATGAGCAAATGTCAAAGTTTGCAATCGGTTTGCAATCTCAAACTTACCCACCACTTTACCCATCTACTACCCATCAATAGCGCCCTCAGTCATCATAGTACTGAGCCATTGCTCTCTGCAGGTGCAAATCCCTGTTTGTAATCTCGCCGCTCTGTGGTTGATATTACTCTGGCCACTTCTTTCCCTGAGCTTAGGTGGGAAATACTTGCTGAGAACATTTACGTGTGAAATGCCCGAGAACCAATCGTACACGATACACATGTCATTCTAGCTGGTAACCTGTCATCAGTGGCTGGTAACCTGCCATCACTGTCTCATTTTATTGTTAAACAACTGCTGATTCTTCTCTTTCCCCCCCCCCCTTTTTTTCTTCCTTTTGGAATACCAATCCAGTGATTCATTTGGAGAAAAGTCACCTTTTGTACGTTACAAGCTTATTTATTGGCCTTAATCAATTCTTACCTGGAGTAAATTACTCACCAGTGCATGGACTATTTAATCACAGGAAATTCAGAATGTTGATAAAGTTGACAATGGAGATTTGGGCACCAGTGGATAAATAATTTTGAAAGAAGAGCAATTTCACTTGCTGCGTGTTCTTGCTTGAGTTATGTGAAAGGGTGAAAGGTTAACTAGATCGGCAGTCAAATGTTGCTGTCATGCAATGCTGTTTCAAATATATAGTTGGTTCACTATCAACAACATCAAAGCTAAGAACGAGAGCTTGTGTTTTTGAATTATGTGTGTGTCACTGATTCGGAGGAAAAGGAGTGGTTTTCGTCCAACCTAACGTAGGTCCGCGTAAAATATGATGGAGATGAATCCCGTTCATTGCTGGGAATTTCTGTGTGAATTTTGTGCTTTTAAAGTCTTGCAATGTTGATGCAATGCTAAAACCTTCCCAATATTGATTTCTGTCATCTTATTGCCAATTATCTGGAGGACTAGAAAATTGCAGGTTAGGAATTTGATCCCACCGCTGTCCCCCTTTTTTGACTAATAATGTTTCCATGTGCTGCACACTTCCAAATTATTTGTTCAAATTGAATTTTAAATAAAGTGACTCTAAAAATGCTCACAGCGATATTTGCCTGAATGAAATATGCTTTGATGGTAATGCTCTTTTTGATGGACTGTGTTGAGACTTGTATTTCTTTTGGCATTCATGTTTTGTCACTGTACAATTTAACTGTTAATTAACAACTTTAATTAACAATTAACGCTCTCATTGAATATGCCTCACAGAGAACATGCAGTAATAACCTATAACATCGGTGAGGGATTTACGTATTGGGGAAATTGGGACCCCAAATTAGCGATGGTCTGCCATCAGAAGATGGGTTGTGTAAGGTTTTCAGGACCACTGAAACCACCTTTTACTTTTGAGGGTGTTGAGGCACTTTTTGTAGGTTTTTTGTCTGGAAGTTTGCCCCTGCTTGTTTCAGTGCTGTTTGGTAGAGTTACATGCTGAGGTTTTCCACTTTTATATCTGGTTAACATGTTTGTAGCATGTTTGATACATTTTTGATCTTATGTTTTCTACTGATTTCGGTTGGAGTCTTTCTGTGTGTGTGCTTTTAGCTAACACTGGGAACTGTCAATGGTGGTTACTGCCTAAACCTATAAATGTTCACCCACAGAGAAAAATTATGTATGCCAATATTTCTTTGGGCTTTTTCTGATACATAAAATGGCTTTCTTGTGGGTTGTAACAAGTTTTGGTTCATTAATATTCATAAAATATATTTCTAACAATAATTTAATATCAAATTGGCTTTTGAATTTCTTGTTAACATAAGACAGCAATTCAAAATTGTTGTCAGCATAGCGAAGGATGTATGATAGGCTATGTGTGTTTGCTTCCTGCAAAATTCTGTAATGCAATGTAAATTTAGGTCTCTGCTTAAAGGAAAATTGTTGACTATGAAAACTCCCAGTGTTGATGCCATCTTGCTTGATACCTAGAAGAGGTCACCCAGTTGGTTAACGAACAGAGGCTCAGAACCAAGCTTTGAGTCCGATATAACAGGCTGCTCGTACTTTGGATTATTTTGCCATATTTGTGTATTTGATGGTCTGTGAATGTTTCGGACTAACTCGAGATCTTTTAACAGATTCATTGACAGGAAGTTCCAAAGCAAATCTTTCTTTTCTGCCTTTTCTCTCTTATCAGCTGTGATAAAAGGATAACTTATCACTGGAAATATTGATTATAATGATATTGAAATATTTCGTAGTATTGCATCATAAAGAATTTTCGAAATTCTTCATACTTTCTGTATTCCGGTATCCTGTTTTCTTTGTGTCTGGGTTTTTTTTTTGTTTTTTGTTTTTGGCTTCTGTTTTATTTATATTGGGGAGCGGACAATGTGTTTCATTTGGTGTTTTTTGTTCAGTTGTATAACTTTGGCAATTCCCCTTTCGTTAGAGTTTGTCGCACCTTTTTTTTCCCGGACACAGAATTTTAAGTCAATGTTGCAACTTCACAGTCATATCATGCTCGGCGGATGCAAAAGAACATTGTACGGAGTTGATAAAGCCCGCCATCTCTGTTCATGAGAAACATCTTGCTGGTTGCTGATTAGTCAATGTTGGCCAGCCTCCAAAGTGCAGCAGGTTTCACTAGATAGTCGGAAATGAAAACCTGTCGTTTATTAACATTTTTATCTGTTTACATTTTGACAGCCAATTCTTCGGTATCAGTTTTTCTCGTACCTGTTTAGAAGGGTTGGTTGTGTTTAGTTTGACTGTGTTTTGTTTAGTTTTGTTCTAACTTACTTTATCGTGATACTTGTAGCAGGCCAGTGTTTGTTAGTATCTGGATTTGCTTTTGTTTCTAAAAACGAAGTCTTTGATAATTGTCAGAAATCAGCAGCCTAACCCCCAAGTTTCCTGTTTTCCTAGTGCGTCAAGAGTCAACCACAGTTTAACTCTCATTTCGACAATTTTGATGGAGTTTCTGTTTTGAATGCACTGACTTGCGGTTTATTACTTTTACCGGCCTGCATTGACTTCCTATATCGTCGATATAATATTGTTTGGTCTTCAAGCTTCAACAGAAACTTGAAGACTTTTGGATTTCTTGGCCTTGCCCATCCATACTTCAACAAGATTCCGTGTGATCTCCAGTGAGTGGTGTAGCCGGGATACATTTTGCAGGGCGGCAATGGGGGGGGGTGTGCAGTGAGTTCGATCACAGTTAAACACTGGCCAAGGCGATCATCATTAGATTTTTTCCCTTTTCCAATTTTCAAGGGGGCGGACCAAAGGCCTTGGCAGAGTGGGGCGGGGTCCATGCCTCCCATATGTCCCCATCCCCAATGTTGCGCCATGCGGCTGACACACTGGATACTTTTCACTGGATATGAGGGTGAAGTTTTTGCGCAACGCCAATATTGCTCCACTGCTTCATCTTTGCCATCATCTGCTATGAATCGAGGTTTGAGTTACGTAATAAAATAATCACAGTAAAACGACTCTAAAACAAGTTATGTCTGATATAAACAAACGGTGTAATGTTGTACCTGGAAACGGTGATTTCCATATAACGGTATGCGAAACGGCCGGAACTACTTTTCTTCACAAGGTGATTCTCGTTAGACTTGAACAGACATTTGCATTGAAATGCAAATGAACGTTTTCGTCCATCTGCTCTCATCAACACAATGACTGAGAGCGCCGTTTCTTTTCAAAATTAGGAAATAAGGTAAAGTAAAGATGGTGGTTTGCGTTCTTGCTGCCCATTTTCGCATTTCCTTGATTTATTCGTAAGTGCACAAAAGCCTGGTCAAGTCTAAAAAGTATGCCAGTCCACGCTGCCGCTGCGTGAGAGTGGCGGTGCGTTATGTACATAAATTGGTACTAGGAAAAAAGCAATAATATGTACCCATTGCTTAAACAAATATCAAGATCAATAGTCCAAACATTGTCAACAGAATTTGCTAGAAACACGTGACCCTGTACATTACCCTGATAAGCGTATCAATAGGCAAGCACTTATTTCGAAGGCTTGCAATTACTTTAAAGCAATTCTGATTCCAAACGCGCTTTGAAGAATGATGCTTCACTTCAGCTCTTGCCGTGTCCTCGTCCACTCTGTTCTGGCCGAGCATTGATTAATTATTATCGTGTCGCCTGCTTTACCAGTTGTTAAAGTGATGAAACATAAAAGTGGGAACGTAACATACGGGAACAAAACACGAAGAAAAACCAACTCGGTTGGTATGATGCGGAAAGATGAACGACCTGTTTTAATTAGGAAATCACGTTTTTGTCGTTGTCACGTTCTCTCCATACAGGTTATCGTTTGATTTAATACAATATCATTGTACTGTTCTGTTCGTTGCCAAATATTGCATTCAATCATTTTTTAAATTTTTTCTCCAACTGAAATGGACACATTGCGATGACATCCACCTGACATGTGAATTCCGCACTGCCTTTTTGTGGATGACGACGAGGATGGAATGTATACACGCTCGTTGTTGACAAAACACTTTCACTGGCTATATCGCAATATTTGCCGACATATTTTTAGACCGGCACAAGCATGCGCGCTGCCAACCACATGCAAGGCGACCGGCCGCTCTCAGCATGCTTTCCTCCGCATAGACGTATTAATAATAATGAAGCAAGTAATTATGCAAAGGGTGGGCTACGTCAATCAGGGGCCGCTGACGTCATGGCTCTTCTGACGTCACGGCAGGTCTGTTGTGACAGTTTGATGTGTGTCGCACGTATTAGTCCTGAGCCTGCAGCTGATGGAAAATACTAGAAAGGTGCATGTTGTACCATGGTTGGACCAAAGCGGACTAACCCAATCCGCATAGAACGAGTCAGACCAACGCCGCGACCCGTAACTTGAAAGTGTGTATTTGTATCGTTTTGGCGGGCTTTTGCGAAGATAACGGACAGCTGGCAGTGTGACATATGGTATAAGCCTCGTCGGGCTTGCGGTTGGTATCACAGTACAGACTCAAGTTTCGTATCCTGGTTTCGAAAGAGCCTGATAACATCTGAAAGAATCCAGAAGACGGTTTCTGAGGTGAGTTTGTACTGACTTGATAAAATAATATTAAAAGATCCAGAATAGAAGAAGTTCATGTTTGAAATTGAGACACCGTGTGCGTTTGTATTCCTCATGGACTACGTGCTCTACTGTTCGCACAGTGCCGAATTTTCAGCAGCTGTTCGTGGGCGCATCCCACAGTTTTACAAACTTATAAAAGTCGCTGGGAAATTCAATACGAGTTTTACAAACTTATAAAACGTCGCTGGGAAATTCAATACGTTTTCTCGATATCATGCAACCAGTTCAGTCTTCACTACTATAATTTTGCAACAAAATTTCAAAACGTGATTGAAATGCAAGTATGAGACACTGCATTTAGAATCATAAAAATCCTTGATGCATAAATCATTTTTTAAAAATACCACGAGCGCACAGTCCAAATTTGGATCATCTTTAGATTCAGATTGTAATTATTGCATGCTGAAGCCGAAGAATGTACGTTACGTGAGTTAAATTTACCAGTGTACCGATTCAAAAATATTGTGAAAGAAGTGGAAATTATTACGTGTCTGTGTTGTCGTATCCATAGTAGCAACTTCGCAATTTCCCTGAACACAGCGATCGTTGGTGTGAACATCGCGTGGGTGGGGGTAAATAGGGAGAGCCCGTTAAATTGTTGCGAGGAGATCACGTTTACGCCGTAGGATCTCTTGTGAATTGGCGACATTCATTTTTAAAGACAGAGTGTCCAAAATATTCTGTCATGATGCAGTACGTTCCGCGTATGAGCAGCGTGCGTACGTGACGCACCACGTGCACCGCCTTCATCAACGACGCCATCAGCAGTAGGTAGGTCATGTCCTTCTGGTGGACTTTCACACGTATTGCGACATACTAGATCAATAAACCGACCCTTCGCTAGCCGGACCTCTATCCTATCTCTCGACCAAATGTTCGTGGGGGTGGGGGCAATTTATATCAATCTCAAAGGGTCTTGCTTCATGACAACCTGTGGTTTTTGATATCGGTTTGTTATTATGAGGCCGTTAATTGCTCGAGGAAGGGGGATCAAGTGGAAAGCGTATGTCTAGCTTGAAAATACGCCCACGCGGCCGAAACTGCCTCGACTGAGGACTGTGATTGGATGCTGCTCTGAAACAAAGCAGTCTTGAAATTTCCCGTGTAGTTCAAGTCGCTGTGAAAATTGAGGGGAAAATAGCAATTATTTTGCCTAGTGGTTGTCCTAAAACCCTGTCAAGGCGTAATATGTTTCTATCTTTTCAAGATGTAAACAATCTGGCAGTAGATCCTGATACAAAGTTGGCTTCTTCAGTGTAAACTTTGGAATTGAGGTGGTTTCAATTGCAAGACAATACACCATGTAAAAAATATTTTTGACATTAATTTTCCTCAGTATTCCGGCCAAACTGATTCGCTGTAAATTTGCGTCGTCATCACCTTAATTATAACCAAAAATTGTCCTACCAGCTGAGGAATTAGTCTCAGAAGGTTTTATTTTGTTTGCTCATCTGCGTGACTTTCTAGGAAGACATGATTATGAATGCTCCAAGCTGTCCGACAGTAGACTTCTCTATATACAGCCGATGACTCACGTCTACTCCAGACTTGGAGAAATGGGGGGGGGGACTACAATTCCCCTCAGCTGCGGGTGTGGCGGTGAAAATTATATATACATGTATTTGTTCGTCTAATTATAGTACTAGAATGACATTATTTACTTATGTCTACAAACACATTCTTTTTTAATTTAGGTTTCGCAACTTTTGTTCAGAAGAAATATTACCATATTGGAAAGTTACATTTCATTAGAACTATACGATCGAAATTTGTATTCATGTATTGATACTTTTGTCAAGCGTAATGGATAATGGCACGACCTACTACGATGGCTCACCCGAAAGCATGCATTTCCGTTCATTTTTTACATCGCGACATTATTTTATGATGCTATTGACGCGGAATCGAAAGTCATCACAATTTCCCTCCAAATAATGTATGCGTTCATTATAATGACCATTATAGTATATACATGCACTGGTTTATGACAACATGCATAGCCCGCTGCGCTGACAATCTGCCTGCGTGTTCATCTTGAATTTTGCATCGCAAAATTTGCTGTTAGTGGGAATCAGCTGCAATAATGGGGCTTAAAAGTGCGCAAATGTGAAATATTTACGTGTCTGTCAGACGCGCGGTCAGCTGTGTTTATATGAAATATTATATTGATATTAATAATATTATATTAATAACATGTTCCTCGTAAATTGTAGTAATAGTAATAAGGAAAGCTATAGCCCCCGTCTTTGAACGTATTTTTGCAACTGAAAATTGTGTAGAGAACATGACACTTAACACAGCGCATTATAATTGACTGAAGCGAGGTTTTATTAAAAATATATATACTCCATATTTGGCAGATACGACATTGAAACCTTGACATAATGTTTCCAAATCATAATGTTTATTTAAGTTTATATTTACAAATAGGTTATTTGGGAGACATTTGGTGGTAAATTTTTTAGCATTAAGGAGACATTGGCTTTTAGGGAGACATTTCAGTGTCTCCCAATTTCAAACTACCAGAAGGAGGCCGAATTTTACCGTCCAAATTTTGAAAGATGACAGATTAGGGCCTAAAATGAAAACATACAAAGTTTGGTTCAGATCAGATCAGGGAATATTGAATTATGGGACAGTAAAGTTGGAAAAAATCTGTGCACGTTCCTATGCCAATGTCTCCCTAATGACCCATTAGCGGTAATTATTATAATAATTTTTATTTTGTCTCCTTTTTTGGCGGGGAGTATGAACCCTTAGTAGGATGGACTGATTGAGTATTACATGTCAAATAATAATTGATTGCTTGTCATTCGATTATGCGCGCACCGTACATCCCGAAGTCCTTGAAGATGCGGCACTGGATTTATGAATGAAAGGAAATCCATTGCGTCATTGAATGCGTAGGCGGAGCGTGGGATGGCGGGGAGAGCCCGTTGGGAAGGGGGGGGGGCTTGCGCAATACTTCCACTCGAAATCAAATCGCTAGCTGCAGAGTCGCGTAGGAGGCACGGAGCCATCGAATTGCAAAAGGGGAGAGGGACTATTCAAGGACAGACAACTTGCACCAGGGAGGGGAAAAGAAGACACGAATTCAGCCGTAGGGAGACAGAAAATCGATAGTGAATGCAGTGCGAAACTAGTGTTGATGTTTTGTCTAGAGACTAACGCATACGGTATGACTTTGCCAAATAAACCGGAAGATATTTCAGATTGAAAAAGTTACCTACCTTTATTTACAAATACAAAAAGATAAGAAATCGGGAAGCGGAAGTTGCATCAGTTAATTAACGAGAGATGTTCCGGTTATTGTTTAATCGGAAAATATGTCTCATCTGTCCATGATGTCAATGTACCGTGTTGTCAAAGTGTTGTCAGGATGAGAAATGTCACATTTTTGGTTTCGTCGAAATTGAAGGAAGAAAAGATAAATACGCATAACTAAACTCATCAGTTTAAACAAAATTGGGCTTTTACAGAACATGACATGATTTCAGACCGAAAACTAAATTCAGTGCTAAGACAAAAAAGAGTTCCGATGTCGTAGGTCTGAAAAGACAATCAGAACACCTAGCTTTCTCTCAGTTAATTGCACTTTTAGTTCAAGTGGGTGAGACTAAGAAATTTCCACTTGGGACCTGCGTCTGGATTTCTCCTCCTCTGCGTCTGGATTTCTGTAAGCGGTCAGTAAACAAGCGGGGGTGGGGAAAAAGTGACAGTTTGTATGTCAATGGCGCAATGGCATGCTTCATTTCCCCGTCTCACCCCACCCTTCCGTTTAGCAGCAGCGACTGCTGAGTTTTAATTAGAAGTGTTAAATAATGATTACTAATTGAGCGTGTTCTGTTTCAATGGGCTTGACAACCGGGATGTGATAATTATACCGCAGTTGGAAAAACTGAGGTCGAAAAATAAAACATAGCACACAACTGGCACGATCATAAGGCATTAAGTTGTTGCTGGCACGCGGAACCGGGTTTTCAATGAAAAAAAATAATCATCTCCCCAGTTCTCTCATACCAAAGACCATTCGTTTTGTAGAATCCGTTTTCAACAAGGCTTGGTGGCGGCAAACATATCAGTCTTTTATAGCTCGCGTTGTTCTGAACATGCGTAGTACTGTGAAAAGGGGTGTCTGCTGCTACCAGCGTCTCAAAGTCTCCCATTGCCATTTACAAAACGTATGATGTGCTACTTTAAAGATGGATTTACGCCTGGGAGATGTAAATTAATTGTGGATTGTTGCCATGCCGGACGTGTATTTTAACACTGTTTACTCAGTGTATGCCCCGAGGGCTTGTGAAAAAAAACACAAACGTACTCGGGTGAGACTCGAAATAGTTGTTCGCGGTACCCGCTGGTACATCTGATTCGAACCAGCCAGCCGACACCGGCAAGCTCGGTGGTCGAGTGGTTAAGGCATCTTCACTAGTAAGCAGGAGGTCGTGGGTTTGAGTCCCACCCGAGTACGTTTGTGTTTTTATTTTCCACAAACCTTCGGGGGTATACACTGAGTATAAAAATACACGTCGGGCAGGGCAAAAATACAAAATTAATATGATGTGCTAGTTTTCGATCTTGTTTCATCTCTCTCTTACCCTTCTGTATCACGGATCGGATACCGGAGCACAGAATTCGTCCCCCAACAGTCAGGGTCCCTTTTTTTCAAACAGGGATTTCTAGTCTCGGTTTTAAATGTCAAATTTCACTTTTGGGGGTTATTTTGTAATGTTTGATATCCGGGGACATCTCAATTTGATAATGATAACAGTCAACACTTTACTCCCACGTTCTCTATGCCTGTGGGTGTATTGAACCGCATATGGACCTATTTGTGTCCATATTTCCCAGAACGATACCCGGACAAACACTGTACGGACATTGTGTTTGCAGTTTTGTACACCACGCAACAAAACTAAGATCCCATATGCAGTCTTAATCCTTTCTTTTGTTTTTACCACACGTGCACTGTCACAGTTACAGAAATACACGAGTGCATTAGGTCTTAAACCAGTATAGTGTACACGATGCCAGATTTCGATTTCCATGACTTTAAGATGTGTTAAATGTTGTTCCTTTTTTTTTGGGGGGGGTCTTAATTTGATGATGATAACCCCCAAAAATATTTGCTTCATATTTCGACGTGGGCGCGTAGCCAACGTTGTCACTGGATATTTTGATATTTCCGGAACAATTTGCTTATTACTATTTAACAAAACTACGACACTTGCCAGTTTGAGGTTATGTTCTTTAGTTTTCCTAAACAAAGCGATCCCTGAAATGTGATCGCGATGTTGCCAGCCGTGAAAACTAAAACCGGGGAGACGTTGGTGAGTTTCAATGCTGAAAAGTTCGGCAGCTGGGTCACATGGGTGGGGATATTATCGGACCGCCGCAACAGAAAAGAACAATTGTACTTGTAAAACACATGTTATTCATTGATTCCTTGACACGTTTTTTCATTGTACCATTTGCTTAACTTCACCCACACAACGAAACTGAAGAGTGCAGTCTCCGCGAGAAAAAAAAAGGCCGTGAAAAGTGTAGACGCTTTTTTTCTCTCGAGAAAAGGAATCCCGCGAAAGCGAACTACTCGCAGAATATTAGAAGACCTGGGGACGATTTCATGAAACCAAATGGTCCGTGATGACACACACGTATCTACATGTATCCGCACATATATCCACATTGACACTGATTCGCTTTGAACGTTGAGGGCACTGTTGCACCAACCGCATGCGGATGTCAATGACTGGACTGCAACGTTCTGAGGTTGTCGCCCGCCTAGCGTCGGCTGAAAGCTCTAAATTTTCAGCCCATAAAGACTTCGTTCGTGGTGTTGGAATGGCCTGGGTTTGGACAAATCCAGCATCATTATGGGCAGCATGTTGACGTTGGGATGACCCAGTAACGGCAAAAGAATTTAAGTTTCCATTCTGGAAAAGGTCGTTTTGGCGAGTTATTGAGCAAAGAAAAGAAAACCACTTAAGCCAAGGGGAATCGTCACGAATCACGTATTTATGGGGACTTTTTCAAAATTAGGGCTATGCATTGTTAAAAATTACCACAACATCTAGCCTCGTCTCATTTAACTTCTTTGATCCCTTTCTTTAGTAATGGATTTGTTGAGGGAAAAATCATACTGGAAAGACAGTGTGATCCAAACTTTCGTATTTTCAAAAACAGCAATACAATTATTCTTGTTAATTTTGCGTCACTGTTTAATTGAAATAAACCCCGGTTGCTATAGAGAGAACGGGAGGGGGGAAAGTAAAATTTGTCCTGGAAAACCGATCAAGCTGGTAACTATTGTCAGGAAGCTAATCTGTACGAGAGGTCGAGAACGCCCACGCATTTTGTGCTTGTTTCCATGCTGTAAGTGAAATGTACGTACTACGCCGATGGGCCCACCCAGCCCGAAATTGTCGAACACTTTCTAGAAGCCTTTTGATCGAAATTCAGTGATCACCCTGCACTGACTGCACAACTGCTCAAAATGATGTTAATAGTGATGCTTTTCTCCAAAAAATATTTCCGTTGTTTCACAATGGATGACATCATACGAGAAACCGAGCTCAGGGTAAAGTCCCGATGCGATTGTGCATGGTATGTGTGGAAAAGTACTGAACTAAACATTGCACAACCACTTTGAAAAAACAAGATCACTCAGTACTGAATATTCATAAAGGATTAAAATGTGACGGGAACAATTCGTTATTCAACCAATCAAATAAGGGAGACGGCAAACAATCCGATAAGCAGCACTGGCCTTAGGGTATATAAGTTTGCGCATCAGTTAGTTCCAGCATTCCGCCAGTGTTTGTCACTTTGTGTCTGGTTTTCTGTTGTTATCTCCGAGCAGCTGTTGGTCAATTTTTACCATTTTAGCAAACTGTGCCTAATAAGCCTGTCTCTTGCTGGTATTAAAGGTAGATGTTTGGAGGAAAATCGCCGTCCAGCTGGGTCGGCGGAGTATTATTTAAAGGTTGAGTGAGTGAAGCGGCTCCAGCTGGTAGCTAGCTAGCTGACATATGCAATAAACGGCGCTCGGACAAGTGCAGGCAAGCCGTTCGTGTGAAGTGTACTACGGGGCTGACGTTCAATACTGTATAGTTTAATTAAGTTTCTTGCTTCAGATTTTGCTGATTTTGGTCTCCCATTTGTGCATATTCCTATAGCTGTCATATTCTGGAAAGGCTGGATTCGAAGCAGCAACACACCACCATGGCCTCTACCGACTCGTCCATGCGTTTCCAGGTCCTGAGCTTCGAGCAGGTGAGTCGCTTGGATCACGTCCTTCGGGAAACCATGAGCGTTCACGGTAGGGGTAACTTTCCAACTCTGGACATAAACTTGCTGGATTTAATCGATGTGGTGCGGGAGAAACTCGAAGAGGAGGGGGTACATGTCAGGGGGATCCGGCTGAACGGTGGGGCAGCCAGTCACATCCTCTGCGCTTCGGAACACCAGTCTTACAATGACGTCGATTTGATCTTCGGCGTCGACCTATCACGGACTGAGAACACCCGCATCATCAAGGAGGCTGTCTTCACCTCCTTGCTGAACTTCCTGCCGGAGGGAGTCAGTAAGATCAAGATGAGCTCCTGCACAATGCAGGATGCCTACGTCCAGAAGATGGTCAAAATTTACAACGAGAACGACCGATGGAGCCTCATTTCTCTCTCCAACAATACAGGGAGAAACGTGGAACTTAAGTTTGTCGACCGGATGAGGCGTCAGTTTGAATTCAGCGTGGATTCTTTCCAGATCATTCTCGACTCCTTGCTCTTCTTCTACAAGCTGTCTGAAATCCCTATGAACTGCAATTTCTACCCGACCGTCATCGGTGAGAGCGTGTTTGGAAACTTCGACGAGGCGCTTTACCATCTCAACAACAAGTTGATCGCGACACGGAACCCTGAGGAGATCCGTGGAGGCGGACTCCTGAAGTACTGCAACCTCCTTGTCCGGAAATACCTCCCCGCCAGCCACGAGGAGATCAAGATCCTGGAGAGGTACATGTGTTCGCGGTTTTTCATTGATTTCAGCGAGCTGCCGCAGCAGAGGCAGAAGCTGGAAAGCTACCTGAACGACCACTTTGTCGGCGACGACGTCTGTAAATACGAGTATCTTATGATCCTGCACGGAGTGGTGGACTCCAGCACCGTCTGCCTCATGGGGCATGAGAGGAGGCAGACGCTGACCCTCATCGCCGACCTGGCACAGGAGGTTCAGCGCTCGCTGGCATTCCAGCAGCAGCGTCAGCAGCACAGGCAGCCGCAGGTGCTCAGCAGCTTGCACCAGCATCACTTCCACCAGTACCACAACAGCAACAACCACCACCACCACCATCATGGCCTGCAGCCTGTTGGCGTGACAACTCGCAACCACCGACAGACTCCGTTCATTCCATACAGCCACAGTCAGGGTGGATACTATCCTTCAAACACCTACTATGGTCACAAGGCAACCCATCACAGCAGCTACTCTAACTTGAACACTAACCTGATGCATGCGTACTAAGCAAAAAACCAAGATGGACATAGCAGGTGAAAAAAAAAATGAAACCCCAGTCTTAATGGGAACTTGTACTTGCCAATGCCTTCATGGATGTGATTGACATAACCAATTTGACTTCTTCCAAGAACCTACAGATGTGTACATTTTAAAATTATTAAAAAACAAGTGCCGACTTGAAAAAAGTTTTGAAAAAAAAATTCTAAAAACTTGACTTAATGTCATAGTGCACCTTCAAGTTTCGGTGTTACATTATGCATTCCAGTTTATTGGCTCTTTTTTGTATATAGAAATATGATCTCAGCTTGTCTGGTTGGATGGTATTGACTCAGAAAGCAAAGGTAATGCATTGGAGCATAGTTGGGTTGGAGTTGTACTTCTGAAAGGTGCTGAAAGTGTGTGACTTGGGGGAGATGAAAGGAACCATCTATTTGACTTGAATTTAAGGATCTTCAAAACTGTTGAAACTGACTTCACTCAAGTGCTGACTGCAATGACAACAGTTCTTCCTTGCTCAAAAACGGGAAAAATCACTATTGTACAAATTGTATATTTTCATTGGAAAAAAGTTTTAAAAGTTAACCAATGTATTGATATCTTGTTTTTTTTTTATTTGTTATGAATTTTTGTCGTCCTGTAACAGCTTTGAGGGGATTGCACCATCTCTGGCTGTGTAGCTGTCCTGAAGCTGTTTACAAGTCCCATGTCCAAAGGTCAAAGGGCGCTATTCAGACAGCTTGTTTGAGAACACGTAGTCCCGTCTTTCAGACTGGTCAAACATCTTTTCAGGGATATACGGTTTTTGTGGGTTTTTTTTAAAACAAAGTGTACTGAAAATTCCAGGCCAGTTTGTTCGTAGAGCTTGCCAGCGAGGGCATGTGATGGAGCTTAATCTTCAAAGGTAAATTTTTCTGGGGTTCAAATGTTGGGACTTGTTTTTCTTGTTTGCCACACAGCAGATTTAAACCTTGTGCCACACTCAGTAGGACTTGTTGGTTATCAAATATTTGAACTTGCTGGTTTCTTGACTGATTTTGATCAACTTCGGAAATGCCCCTCTTGTCTGTCTCCACTGATCGAAATCTTGTATTCATATCAGCCCTGCTTATTCTTTGTTTCGCCGTTGAAAATTTGGCCCCCCCACACTTTTTTTTTTAAAAATGCAGTGAGGATGTGAATTGTTGCCGTTATAACTGATGTGTCGCCAGTGCAGGGTTCTTGTTGTATAAACCAAATTAACTGTTGTTTGAATATCTAATATGGATTTCAAAATATTCCAGCAAGGTCTGGTAACAAATAGCTGTTCTGTGCATAAAATTGCAGACAATTGTTCCTGAATCAGGTACTTTCAAATGTTTGATCAGAACTTGTTGGTTTTGAAAGACATGACTGTACTTTTTTTAAGTGTGTTCATCCTGATGAAATCAAAGAGATAATTGTCTATTATCAGACTGCAGCTTTCCTCACTTCGGTTAAATATGCATTGAAAGTAACTTGTAACAACAACGGTTTAGTATACAGTTAGGCAAAAGCCTAAAGGTGTAAATGTAAACCAGATTTTATTGTATGATGTATAATTTTTTTCCTTTACATTTTGGAGGTCAAGTTTTTGTGTTTCCTGTATTCAGCCACCACAAAGAACCAATTAGAGGAGTGGTTTTTGTAGCATTGTGGTTGACTGGTCCAGGGCAGCTGAGACTGTATAGGCCTTGTTCAATTACTGGTCACTCTCAGCACATGTACATGTACATTGTACACGTATGTACATGTACAATGCGGTTGACTGTGTAGCCTCAGTCAGTCAATTGACTCTTTGTAAGGATCAGCTTATTGAAAGGTTGGCCCTCACAATTTTATTGATTTGAAGAATTGCCGAGTCTTTGCCAGTCAGTTGCCTAGTTGCCAGCTTGCCTGCAGCCTGAAACGCAACCAGCAGTCACTTTTTGCCTTGTACTATCCGGTATTTTCATAGCCGCAATCAAGTTGTGTGCTACATACACTGTCTAACTGCAACTATTTGAGGAAGCTTGCATTCTGTCATGTGTCCTCGGTTGTGCAATACTGTAGGCTGGCTGCGTTCCTTTCTGTAAGGTAGCCAGACAGATGCGCTTGGTTGAAACAAATTGATCGGCCTTAAAAAAAAAAAGAATTCAGTGACAGTAACCTGAAAGCCTGGATTATGAAAATAAGGTTTATTGTGCGTGCACACCTGTATAATTTGGAGCCGGAAAGAACTGTAAAATGGATTTCATGGCAGACTGCATCAGCCCGCTGGTTTAAATGAAACTACAACGCGCTGACTGGCATAGCTCAGGCGTGACATAAATATCTGTCGGACGGGAAATAATCTGACACTTGGCTGTCTTAATTACACCTAGGGAAGATTTGTACAGTCTCTGTTCAATGTTCCATTGCAAATCGAGTCAAAAGGAGAAGACAAGCGGGAAATATGACAAAGTGGCCCTGTGGCTGTCCCACCGAGATTATTCTGGATAAAGTTGTTTTGTTTTCTGTGGAGAAATTTCGCTTTCAGTTGCATCAGTTGCTGAGCATTTTGTGCCCAGTTGTACAAGAAATTTCTGAAGTTGCCTGAAGTTTCATTTTTGTCACAACCCCGATATTCCCAACTACTGCTGAGCATCAGAAACCTTTTCATCGTGTTTCATTTAAAATGTTCCCAAATTATTTCCAGGACAGACCAAAGTGGGAACTGTACTCAAGAAAATACTCACTTGAACTAGGCATAAAGTGGTGTTTATATGTTTGACATGGTCGTACATACATGTATGTATACACAGACTTCACTCGGCTTGATGTTGAAAGTTAAGGTTTTCAGGATTTTTTTTGTCTGTGTATAAGTTACCCGTTTCCCGTAAGCATGAGTGGAAGTGAATACGCTGTATCTGCATTCCATATGTCCCTGTTCCAAAGGCCAAGTGCCTTACCGGATACGGACACCCTACATTTTTCATGCTTTGCAAGCATGAGCTTGGAAAACGAATTTATCTCTGAGCAGACTTGATTAACTGCGCTTGTGCTTTTTGGACCGGTGGTTCCAAAAGCGTGCGAGGGTAAAAAGGACAGGGCAAGGCAAGCAGTGGAACATAACCTCCCATATGACGCTCCCAGGTACAAATGCACTGCTGTCTCATGTGAAAAAGATCAAGGAGGTCAGAACCTTGTCACTTATAGAAAGAATGCCCTATTTGCATTTGTTTCTTGCAAAGTGGTAAATTCTGGAAAGTTCAATTAAGAAGGTTCCTGGCTCCTCCAAACCACCCCAACAAAAGCTGCAGACTGTGGGATAGGGTTAAGCATGCAATTACAAACAGGTAGTTTTTACTTTTCTGAGATGTCCCAGTAACTGAACACGTTGCCCAGGACATGTACTGTGTATTTCTGAAGGCAGGCATGGTTTCATACTCTGGTAGAGCTTTGAAATTCAACACTTAGTTACCTTTGTTGCTTCTCATTAGATTACCAGATCTTTTTTTTTTCACAACCGCTCATGTGTGCCCTTTTTTCCTGCAAGGACCGAAAATGCAGGGCTTGTTCCAATCAAAATCACTGAATAATTGGGTTGCATTGTGATAAGAGTTAGCTGAGAATACCAGGTATTTGATGTGAAATGGAACTCAGTTTCAGAAAGCAGCACTTACAACTTGTTCTTAAAGGATTTTTTTTCTTCTAATGTGTCAATATGTGCGTGTTCATAACTGTGTTGATAATTTTGTGGGATAATCAATGATTGCATAGGGTCTTTTTTGGTGGTTGTTTTTGCTTCCATTTTGTGTGCTTGGTAGCCATGACACAAGGCTTTGCAGGAGTGCTACTACTTTGCAAACATTCTAATCAGCTGTCAATGTTATATAACACCACAGCACTGTGGAAAACTCTGGCTGTGGCCCGAATCAGTGGTAGGGGTTCAGGAGCTGTCCCTGTTTTGTTCCTGACAAGATTTATTGCATACAAGTGTGGTTTTTTTTGGGGGGGGGTGCTGTGCAGGATTTGGTATCAGAGGGCATGTGCATATCACATGCCCGCCCCCCCTCTTGTAATTGCAGTCTCCTAGGTCAGGCTGCAGGGTCAGAGGTTGGAAGGTCGACCTCCTGCATGAAGGAGTATTTCCTGACTATTCTCTATAGATTTCCAGGTTTTGGTTCCATCCTTGGTAATGTATGGAAATGAACAATGCTGTGAAATGGTCGGCATTGTAGTTTGATTTTGTTTTATTCTTTGCTGTGGGCTTTTTGTAACAAAAGTGTAGTTTCAGTCTGCATTCCAAGAGTACTTTTGTTAATCAAAGGATATATTTCAGCATTTGTCTCCTGCTGTGGGGAAACTGAACGTTCAAAAAATTTGTGGCTTACATTACTTAATTGGAACAAGCTCACTCAGCCAGAAAATGCTAGCCAAATGATCTGGTGACTTCAGCATATTCGAAACTTCTCAGATTCTTTCTGTTTCAAATATCGAGTTTTTTTCACCAACTTGTGTTAGAGTGTTACTGTTTTCAAAAGAATAGCTGGTAAACTGTATAGTTTAGCTTTGACAACTCATGGAAGTAATCCGCTAGCACTGATCTGGACAGTGGGGTTGGAATGTACATGTATGTATGGTAACTCTTAAAAAAAGGTAGGGGGATACTGCTGTTTGCTGATAGGAATTGCTGTAAACACCTCTGCAGGTGATTTGGAAGATAACCCGGGTACAGTTACAAAAATACTAAGGGCAAAGGCTGCCTCGTTAGCAGTGATCTGTGTCAATATGTTGTTTTCACATATCAGAAAGTATACAAAAAAAGTGACGAGAGTCACAGGCTTGTCCAGTATTTTACCATCACAAAAGCATCTGTGTTTGTATCTGAACGGCATTAAGCACTGAAGGAATAATTCTGTTGTAATGTCATCCTTGGCCATGCTATTACCATTTTGTGCCTCTCTAATCAGATTTCTTGCATTAATTGTTTATTTTGCTTGGTGTCCCTTGTGGATTTTAGTCATTTTGATCTTTCCGTTTAACTCTCTATATACCAAGTGGACAGGAATAAGCAATATACTGAAGAAAGAGTGCATTGGCTTTCATTGGACTCTCGTGTAAAAACGTAAAGTTGTACAGTTAATATGGTGAACAATTCCATCAGTAAAGGTTTCACATAGCAGCATGGATATATACCCCAGCTTTTTTTTTTTTTCAAAGAAAAAGTGACCAAGATGTTTATGCGAGTTTTTTTTTAGCTATTGAAACAGACAGTCTGATGGTTTGGTAATAGGAGTGAAACTGCAGGGAAATGCTAGGCGCATTGGCGAAAACAATATCAAAATTATGCACATCAACTCTATTGTACCAGTGTGTATTTTCTGTTACAGTTCTGTATTTAAAAGAAACTTAACGAAACAAAATGTGATGTGAGTAAAGTGTAACTACTCTAAGATGGGCCTTATTTCTGGAATTTTTGTTTAACCCTCTTTGGGAAGAATACTTGGCATGAAAGCTAACGTATAATCTATGTAATAAAAGTTAAGACTTGAGTGGCCCATCGTAAAGGTTATTCGTCAGAAGGCCACATACAAATGTAATTATGTTTTTATTTTCAGGTGAATTGCTTTTATTTTATCCATGCCTTGCTTTATGCTATACTTTGTAAAGACAATTCAATCTAATGCAAAAGAGGGTGAGTTTTGTTGGAATCATTTGAAAAGTTTTATTTTTGACTTGACAATTTGTCATCTGTAAGCTATGATGTTTTAATGGAAATGGTTGAAGTTTTCCTTTTTTGTGCTTAAGGGAGTACATTACTATCGGTTTACAATATTTTATTTAATTAGCTGTGAAGACCGAAAGGTTTGTGTGTAAAACATTACCACAAATTACAGATTTCAACTACTAGCAAAAATCTCCCCCCCCCCTTGGGTTAACCTTGGGTTTTGTAGCCATGCTTAGACAAAAAGGACACATACACTAAGTTTGTCCTATTATGATTCGGTGCGTTAACATTACTGTTGTTTGTTTGTTCTGGAGTAATCCAGAATGTGGTGTGATATGACCCATCTTTCACATGATGAATCTTGCAGAAAGACTCTTAAAAATTAAGTTTATCAACAGAAAAGTATATATTGTAATAAATCATATATATTGTAATAAAAAAAGAGAAAAACTTCATATTTGTTTTTTATTTGCACAGTGTGCTGATTTAAAATATTCTTATGAAGCTCACAAGGAATTGAACTGCATCTTTCATCCAATGCTTCACTGCTTTGCAGTTCATTTTGGTTTGTCGGTCACAAAAACTTCCAACTTTGGTGGCCAAATCTCTTTGCATGGAAATAATCATTCCTAATAGAATCAACCATTAGCTGAAATATCTGTCCTGTAATAGGGGCGTTTCACAATAGTGCGCTTCCAAGAGCTTGCAACACGTTGGTCAATCACAGTGTGCGAAATTTGTTGACCCGTTTGGAAACGGAGGGTCGACAAATTTTGTGCGTTGTGATTGGCCAACACGTTAGAAACTCTTGGAGGTGCGCTATTGTGAATTACCCGTATTGGTGTGAACATTTTCCAAATCTGTGATGAGAAAGTATATTGAGAGAGCTGTCAGTGTTCAACACATTGATTCATTTTGCATTGAGGGGAAGGTTTGTCTTTTTTAACTTGAAGTTGTGTCTTTTTTTACATTGTATTTCAGCTGCATTTTTTCTGGAGTTTTGTTGTGTTATGCCATGTTTTTGTTTTGTCTGTCGAATTTGTTCCATTGTTGTGTATTTCATGTGTTGGATGTGCTGTTTCCTGGCAGTGGTATTTTCTAAGAATGTGATTTCATTTTGTGTGTTTCTCACATGATGCATGTGTTACCTTCCACCTGGCCTCTTCAAGACAAGTTGGGAGCTGAGACAGTTTACCCAGAAAATTGACATAAAAAGTCAAACCTTGGGATTACTACCAACGGTTGGACTTCATTCCCCAGGGATGCATGCTGGACCGTATATTTTTCAACCTTTCACCCTTGGAAGGCTAATAACACACACTGCATGCCTTATAAGTGAAGTCTAATCCTTATGGGAAAGTTTGACATGTACATGTATGTCATTGCAGTAAATTGCATACTGATGGGAAATGTTGCTCAGCACTTCAAACACAGGGTTGGAAGTCCAGCCTTGGGCAGTAATGAATTGTGTATTTGACCATTCCTTTTTCTCCCTCTGTCCTTATAAAACTGACCTTGCAGCAGTTATGACTCGTCACATGATGGACTTGCAACCAATCAGCATTGCAAACCCAGGCAACTGTGTGAAAAAGTAGAACCGGTCCCCGAAAGGGTCTTGCAACAACCCCCCCCCCATATTTTTATTTGCAGCAACTTGGAGTGGAAACACTGGATCGTTTGTACTTCCAAAAAAGAATTTTTCTCACATTGCCAACTTTATGATTGTGTAGTTGAAAAAAACAGGCCTGCAAAGCACAGCCGCGGTACAAACACAATACATGTATTCTGACTGTTTTCCTGATGGTTGGTTGTGCAGAACACAAGCTGTCTTTGTGGTTCATCTTGGATTTGAAAGCCCGGTGCATGTATTCAACTGAGTTACTGACATATTTTATGGTTTGCTTTTTCACAATGAGTTAGGGAGCCAGGTCAGAAGGTGATTTATTATACAGAAGCTCTACAGATCATACTAACAGGATAATGTACAATCCTATCTTTGTCATATTTAAGTTTTTTTCTTCGGATGTGCACAGCCACATATTATGCTTAAAGGGTTTACACTTTTTCAGCCTTGAAAGACTCTGTTTTCTCGAGTTTCACTTCCCGTGATCACGGTTCCATTCCCCGAGACAACCTTTGAATCTTAATGCCATCTTAATCTGTTTGTATTTTCAAGGCTAACAGTTCTTCCAATTCAGATCTCTTTCTTGATTTACATGTATGTCCAATAGAAAGTGATCCACTTCACAATATTCATGCTCCGTCCAACAGGAGTGGACAGCATTGCCTTTGATAGATATTTGCTGTCCAACGATGATCGATCTAGTTGTGTACGTGATGTCCAGATTTACATAGTCACCCATTGGTTGAAGACCTATTCTCAATGGGTCCTTTTGATGACAAATTTTCTGTGTGTACAACAGGTGTGACTGGCAAAGTTGCAGGGGGAAAATACAAACGGACAATGCAGAGTATTGATTTATGGATTAATGGGACCATTAATAACACTTTGTGATACCTGAATAGTCACTGATTGTGATATATAGTTTTTATTCATAAATAGTGAGTTATAATTTTGCTTGCAAGAAACAAAAACTTTTTCTTAACCCTTAGAGTAAACCTTTCACATAACAACGGAAACATAAAAAAGAAGTTACATTTTGGCCAAAAGTTAGTCACAAATTTAGTTCAAATGCGAGGCTAACCACCAGAATACCGTCCTGGTAATCTTAAAGCATTTGGAAGTGGTTTGAAGAAAACTCAATTTTGGTCCAAAATTGAT